TGTACTGGTGTCTGCTAAGATTTTTGGATCAATATCCTAACTGGGTGTTGCAAACACCGTGCAGTACCAGAATACGGCTATCTGACACTTCTGTCATGACTCCCACTTTGGCCTCCTGACATTTGTGCAACCTAATAAAAATCAAGAAACCGAAAATACTAAAAAGATCGGCACTCATGCATTTTTATTTCCCCAAAGGCATTTTTGTTGTGCATCAAGATAGCAAACACAGCAAACCCATGCACAAAAAAAAACCAAAACTAATTTACTCGGCAATGCCCGGGGTAACAAGGAATTTGTTGTCGAAGTCGGAATTTATACCATAGAATAACAATAATATATTGAATTAAAACTAATGTTTTCAAAATTTTGCTGCAGTAGTTTACAATTTGAAGGCTATGTGCAAATTGCCCCACTTGGGTATGACAGCAGCGCTTTTCCACGGTCCAGGTAGTTGCCTGTGCGACATGGAACAAATTACTTCGTACACAACTTTGCAACAGTTCGATTTACTCGAATTTGTTTGCATTTGATAGGCCCTGGTTATAGTTAGCTTGTGCGCATTAATTAATCGGCCACCGGCTCACTACAAATTTAAAAATCAACATTTGCAACTTCCGATCGGTATGGAACAGTGTCGGAATGGGCTGCGCCAGTTTATTTATGCACGAAACTGTATACCGTCAGCCATATTGGTGACTGGCTGTTCGACCACACCGTCTTTTTATTATTAGTATCTATATCACTCAAGGAAAATATTTTAATACAACCAGGAAAACGATTTTGTACTGTTGGTTAAATTATAAAATCAACCCAGTTGTCCTCAGTTTCTTTGTTATTGGATCAGCTAATTGCCAGAGCGGCTATTGATAAGTGAGTATATGAGTTTGCATCATATGAGTTTGCGGCTCGGATCACTTCGCCCGATCAGGCAGCATGTGACTCCTATCAGGCAATGCCCAAGTGTCGCAATTTGCACCAGCTGTTTTCAAAAGTTAATTATTTTTTAAATCAGAGCTGTAAAAGTTTTTGAATTACTGGAGGGTCGAGATGTTATTATGAAGTTGGTACTAATTTAGTTTCAGTCTTCTGGCATAATCGGTGATTTATTTACACTTCGTAGGACTTTTCTTCAATTTTGCAGTGTTTTCTAAGCAGTGTGGCTGTTCTAGTGCGTTTCAACAAACAACAAAAATACTGTGTGCAAAGAACAATTTTTTGCTCTATCGAACGCATGCATAGTTGCAATAATATCAACTGCTATGGTTTTGAAAAAATTTTGTGAATTTTATTGGTGTTTTTTACACATAGCGACCGCTGCCAGGTTAATATTCCGGTCATTAAAGAGTTCGTTCCAGAAAATTGTCTAACAAGAATCGTAATCGGCCAGCACTCCTAGTTGCAATGTCGTGAAAATGGCAATCCCCCGGCTAGGTTGGTGTCACCAGACTTTTGACTTGATGGACCTATCCTGGAATTCTGCTTTTTTGTTTTGGCCTATTAAAACCGTCACTAGCGTTACCAAATCCAATACTTTACACCGTATTTAAGAAAAAATTCTACAATTGACTGTGCATATGTGCAAATTGTGGCGGTGACCTCCCATAGTTCCGCTTGAACCGGCATAAATTATTCCATAAGAGATAAGGAAAGTGAGATTTTTTGTTGTTTCAAAACATGTATTCGAAACATTCTCTTATCTGCAAAAATTTACGTAAATGCGTACCGGGGCCAGAGGCCGAGATTTCACGTGTCACTGTACTAAAAATTCCACCAACCTGGAAGAAAGCAATAAATAATCGAGGTGGATTGCTTACAGAAAAAGGGGTGCTAATCGCTCTGTACATAGCCCTGCTACGCTTCGGACATGCAGTGCCAGCAAAAAGCGAGTGCACTTTCCTAGTTTGAATAATTGTAATTTTAAATTTAATTTGAGTCAGTGCACGTGCCCTCGTTTATCCTTGCGGCACTGCAGTAAGTACAATGTAGGACTAAATGGTCGCATAGCCCCGTACCCAGCATTCTGTACGCAAGCGGTGCAGTGCACTTGTACGAAACGGATATTTTGAACTCAGTCGTACAGATACAGTGCACTGCGCTGCATGCGTGCTGAATGTGGAGATGTTGGGTATGCGGCCATTTCGTCCTAAGCTGTATTTACCGGTTTGTACGATGAAAGCCGGTATACTACAAGTTTGATGACCGAGTAATATTGTTACTTTTAGGTACCCATAATCAATTTGCCAGCAGTCAATAATTTTAGTCAACAACGCGGCCTCCATAAATTACGCCGTTCGTTACAAAGGGGAGGTGAGTTTTAAAAATTTGTGACGATTATGACGTCACAATTGTATATCTATGGAGGGGTTCTAATTTTGCTACGGAACGCTCAGGGAGGGATCTCGTTTTGTTAACACAGGTGACACAAGGGGAGGCGGGTTTTCACAACGCTCATATTCTGCGTTAAGTATTTTTGGATGCCGCCTAATGAAATAATTATACCAAAGCAAATTCTTCCGTTCCGACAAAACATGATTCCGTTACGAATAATTTAGTGTATATTGTTCCGTTTAAAATTTAATGTTCCGATTCCTATTCCGGAAAATTAATTCCTAATAATAGTGTTCCGTTCCAACGGCAGCTTTTCGATTTCATAGTATTCCCTTCCGACCAATCATCGCCGTCACCAATTCAAATGTGTAAGCCGCGTCACTGCCGATTGCAGACTGATACGGCCCTTTCAAGCCGTATGCGCAATGGAGTAATTTGTGTAAGCCCTCGCCCTTTATCCCACCAGATACAGGCTACGCACTACGGACTTAACTAGTGCTAACAAGTACCACTTTGGTACAGTGCGCATTGTCAAGATATTGGGTTTGTTCGCTTCGCGAATGCATCGAAATGGGGTAGGAACAAAACATTAGATTAGAAATTGGGAATTGGTACTGGGAATTGGTCCTTCTTTGTGTTTACCGATTGCCCGTCTGTATTTAGCACATGTGTTTCACATGTTGTAAGCAAAGTTTATTTACATGCATGTACAGTACCAAGTCGTTCTATTCGCCAGCCCACCCTCTTTTGCAATTACAAAAGCAGTCGAATTCCGAGGTTGGAGCATATGTAAGCTGTCCTGCTTTTTTGCGCATTAGAACCTTTATGGCTGTAAAGGGTTGAAACTGAAGTACTATATCAGGATTGACCCAATAAAGTTAGCAACTTTTCAATTGCAGTAAACAGTTTGAGTGTATGTACAATGCGTACATGAAAATTTTGCTACGAACCATTAGGAATACAATGGCCTTCCTTTTTGTAATGTTACCATTTTGACCCTGTAACATCTTTTTTGTGTAGGCGCTCAAAATTTGTTCAACCGTCCTCTAATCCTGACTACGGTTATATCTATAAATGTATGAAGTATTTTCTTGTGGCGCACAACCGCAAACAAAACAGCGAAGCAGCGGCGGTTTGTAACCGAAAGTAAGGGTATCATAACTGTAAAGAATGTACAGCAAAATGTTTGAGGGTGGAATTTACGGCAGTTGTTTTTCCATTCCCATTCCCACAGTGAAATACCATTCCCAGAAATACTCGTAAAGCGCATTACCATTACCAATCCCAGTCCCATTACCAATTCCCAATACCGATTCTCAAGTCCCACTCCCAGATTTTATTCCTACCCATCTAAATGTACTTCAAATACATTTCTTTCATACGAGTATTCCAGTGATAGCGTACTAGGTGTTTAATACAAACGTTTCGTAAAATGTTCGCCATAACTTTGCCACTTTGACTTTGCTCCTACTTGACTACAACGCCTCAGATTGTCTGCAACTCTGCTATTGCTTTGGCTCAGGCCGTGTTATTCAGTTTTCATTGGTTTAGTTTGCCCCTAGAGTTATAAACATCACATTCGGTAACATTATAAAAGAAAATAAACAGCATTAAGGCCGTAAACGTGGAACGGTCGAAGTTACAGACAGCGCATTTCCCCGTTGTGTTTCAATGCTAAGACGCTGCATCAACAATCTGTAAGAGCGTCGTTCTCCACTAGCATCTATTACCCGCATGCCCAGTTCCCGTAAAAAGTTCAAACATGCTGGGCCCATCAGCAGCAGTACAAAGGCGGGAGGAGCAGCCAGAAAAACGGAAGAAGAAAGCGCAGGAAGTATGATTATTTAGGCTATGATTGCGATCTCGTTCCGTTAGCTTTTGAGACTTTTGGTGTCACTACATTAGACAAAGCCAATGCGTCCACGCATGTCACATCCCAAGCCAATCGTTTGCCGTTTTTCCATGGCAACTGTGACATACCATCCAGCCGCCAATTATCTTCGTCGTGGACCCCACGCGGCTCCAGTACAGCCGCAACATTAGTAGCAACCCGGCTTCTCCGAATCACTTCATTTATTGACGAATGACGGGGAAAACGTCCGGGACTCTTTTTACAGGAAAGTCCGTGGTGGCCGTATTCATCCACAGGCAGGCGGCAGTCGGTACAGAGATGAGGATTGCAGATTGGCGCGCCTTGTTTACCCCGTAGCGCGATGGCAAAGTTGCTGTAAATTGCCGCACTTTAGCCACGCCCGAGCCTTTAGTCCCGCCCCATCGCGTTAGACCAATTACTCCATTGGTCTTGGACAACTGGTCAATTTTGCAGGCCATTCCGCCATTACGAAGAGTCTGACATCTTTCTCTGTTGGCTGGTGTACGGCCAGTGCAGCGCACCATGGTGCATAAGTTATGATTCATAGAGACAAGAACGGGTATGTTGAAAAACGGAGCTGTGCAGCGCGGTATCTTGAATACGTACGGTATAGTTCTTTTGACCATTCGGAGCGAAAATAAGCTCCGGATCGTGATAACACACGTTACCAGTCGTTTCTACTGCGCATAACGCACAAAAAACCTACATAGGCGTTGGAAGAAACCCGAATGTCTGAATCTCAGCATTGTACTTTTTATGAGTTACGTCAGTGAACTGGGCGTGCGCGAAACACACTCTATGTATGCATCTATTCCCCTTACAATTTAACAAGGGCATCCCTCCGCAGCATTATGTACCAACCAACCAGTAACGTCGGAATTAACAAACTGAACGCCCCACTACGAAATACAGACATAAAAGCACTTCAGTGACTTCACCGATCAGTTTCCGCTTCCGAAGCTACATTTTTGGTAGGCGCGGAGGTTGCGGACTTGCCGTCACTTGCGGCCGATTTCTGTGGTACCTTTAATTGATTTGTACGTTTTTCGATACGGAATACAGTCAGATTTTCTCCCTTTTTGAGTACGTAGGCATTATGCTTTTGGACGTATAGGGTAGGTGATGTGCCGTAATTTTTTTATATTCCGTCAACCAGAATAAAACACATGATTAATAAGAAAATTTATAATTCACTCAGTTATTATCATAGTTCTCTGATTAATAATTTGATTGTGTTATATTTGTGTATCATAATGAATGCTGAATGGCACCAGCTTCCTGTGAGTAAGTGATTGTCGGTTAAATAAAATTAATTAGTTAATTATTGATTTATGCTGAACGGCTAAGCTATATTTCCATAAATTCGTGCGTTTTTTTTCGTGCTGCCATTGGATAATGTCTTTCACTTCCCGGTAATTTTCTTAGATTATTGCGTATTTATGGACCCGGATGTAGCCAATTTTTCTGCCAGTTTCCTGATGCATTTGCACTGTTTCGCACAATTTATTTTTCGATACGGGTGCTTGCCATGTTTGTCCAGTAATATTTAAGGTAAAGAGCTTCGAAGCATCGTGCAATTCCTGGATGCCCAAGGTCGTCGTGATTAGCCCATAAAAGAGTTTTTTCTCTTCTTCGCATTATAGCCTTAGCCATTGTACTTTGGTAAAGTTTTCTTCCTCTTCGCATGGCCATTACAGGATGCGCGCGTTATGTGCTCTGTAAAATTTTTCAGTCGAAAATCTGATCCATTGTGGTTGCGTTGGCTTTATTAAATTCGTTACTCAATTAATTTTAAATGTAGACGGAGTATTAATTTTATCAGTTTTACAAGCATTGATAATTTTATTTGGTTTTTGCAGATTGTTGAAGTCCAAGAAGACGAGCAAATTCTTCACTACGACATCGTTTCCTTGTACCCATTCGTCAACAAGAAAGCTAAATACATAAGTGCCAACTTATACTGAGCCACAATTCAGTGGGGTTCGTCATCGTGCATTTTTATACGAATTCCTTTGAAAATTAATTGTGGAAGCTTAGCAAAATGGAATCTGCAGGAGGTATGTAATTTTTAAATGATAAATTAAACCGCGGAAATATACACGAAATTGACACCAGAATAAAAAATCGCAGCTGTAAGAATTTATTTTCGGTGGACGGTAACTATACGTCTATACCTGTTTAGATACGACAGCCATTACATAAGCTGATTTTATACCCAAATGGACGCGGGTCTTTGATCTTGTTTATCTCGCCGCCGCGTTCGTTTAAGGCCTCCTTATCCTGGCGATCCGATAATCGCTGTTTTGTTGCAGGTAACAGCGCGGCGCTCTCTGATCCGCTGATGGAACCGTGCCAACCAGACAGCGAAATCCTGCTGGCTCTTGTTTACCAGCACGCCTTAACGTAGGTTTCCATTTTTGCAGCTGATCTGTGCTATTTTTCCCTGGCTTTTAATCGCTTGACTGATTATATTCTAGAAATTTGGCGGGACAGGGTAAATTCAGTCCGGAGATGATGGAGAAACTGCAGACGGTACGCCAGAGGTTTTTGACTTTCTTGTGCGTGGTAATTAGTGCGCATGTCGCTGGCGCTCAGCTGACGAGGCACGCGCGTAATGACGGCTATACGGAGAACGGCAGAAGTGCGCATGTGAAATTGTACCAGCAGATAGAGTATCCCCGTACTTTGTTATGCAGTCGCGTACTGTACTGTACTGCCAAATGCCAATGCACGCAGCGTTGTGAATTGCAGAGAGCTGTTTCCATTTCCAGGTGCAGACGCGTAAAAACTTGATGCTGGCAGTGGATCCGCACGATATTAACATCGCCGATGTCAAAGGATTTGTTCTGAATGAGTTTAAAATGACGAACCACTTGGTCGAGGTTCGTGCAGTGAGGAAAACTTTTTTCGAAAGATTGTGCTTTTTCTGAAGATCAGAGATCATTTCGCTGAGTTATTTCGATTAAAGATGGTTTCGCAAAGTGTGCTGTGCAAGTAGTTTCCTTCGTGTGGCATTTCTGTTCGGATTTCGCCATTTTTTTATCCCATGGAGCCATTGGAATGCTTTGCAGATGGTGGTGATTTTGGGGAAAAACGTCGTTCCGGACTCTGACTTCATATCCGAGCTGATCGCTCGTGGCGATTTAGAAAAGGTACGGATTTCCTGGCTGCACATTGATAACAAATCATCCTTCTTTGCAGTTTTTGTTAAAATCTTTCAAAATCGGTACGATAAGCGGGGTTTTCCCAAATTTTTGTTTTTTGAAATTATATTTCTACCCGAAAATATTACCGCGAGTTACCGTGGGTAGTTTTCTCAGCAAATAGGAAACACCGTAGAGGCACATTCGCACAGCAAGTCGAGCAGGAACCCATTTATCCCAAAAGTTTGCTCCTTTTCGGATTTGCCTTCTTTATGCGCTTCGTTCACGACTCTGACTTGCAAAGAATAATGGAAAATTTAATTTAATAAAAACTGGATCATAAATTGATTTAACACGATTGTTTATCAAATTAATATTAGGGCTTGGTAGTAATTCTGTTGCTGTTTTAATTTTCTATGCGTTATGGATAAAATATGATAAATAAAAATAAATATGGAAAATGAAAATTGATGTTTTTAATAAAAACTGAATTTTTCCGTACCTGTATCTTTATTTTCTGGTATCATTGTCAGTATTTTTTTGCATTATGTTTTAATTCCGTTGGTTGCAGGTAGGCACCACGTACAACCTCGAGTACATCTTTCTGCCAGCCCAAGTGGCCTCGCCCACCGTCGTCGACCAGCAGAACTTTCTCGACGGCCTGCTCAAGCAATCAGATCCCGAGGGCGGCCACCCGCTGCACCCCATCAGTCCGGCGCCGTCCTCGGCCAATTCCACCCTGTCGGCCAGTCCCAGCACGTCCCGCCGGGACCGCACCCCGGACCCGGAGATGCTCCTGCCGCTCGCCCGCACCGTCACCGTGGATCTGCAGAGTCCGGAGCGCAGTGGCAGTGCGGCCAGCACCTCGGACGGGAGTCTGGTGGGCAGTGAGGCGGCGGCCCCGCGGGCGGCCTCACGTAAACGACAGCGTGCAGTGAAAAGTGCCGCCAGTGCGGAGACTCCGCTGGTCTCCATTATCAAGCCACCGGCGGGGGTGCCGGCGGAACCACCGGAGCCCAAGCGGATGCAGGTGTGGATGCCCAATAATAATGTGGCGGCCGCGGCGCGCAGTGTCTCCGGAGGCAGTGTCACGGAGCTTCGCGGGACGGTGGCTCCGGCGCAGGTGTTCGATAGCGGATTCGGACCGGTGGTTAACGGTAAGAACGACATCTCCAGATGAATTTTGGATTGTTTTGGGCTTACTTGTGGGCGCTTCCTTACTGATTTATTTGATGAATAGGTGTTCCGGGAATTTTTAAATATTTTTTCGCATTATTATTTATTGCTCGGGTTTCTTGACTTTTGAGGCTGCTTTTTATTGTTTTTCTCTTTGGGATTGTGTGTAATGAATTTTTGTTTACATTCCGATGTAACACGATGTTTTAACTTTTTTATATTTTTTGGTTTCATTTTTGGTGGCGAATTTGTAAACGCCTCGTTGCTCAAACTTATTAGTCAAAAGTTTTTATTTATAAGAATTTATGCTTGATTATTTTAATGCGGGCATTGCTTGTTGAAGTTATCTTTTCTTCTTCCTTTTTTGGTTTAAATTTTGGTGGCTGATTTCAGAAACACCTCATTTCTTACTCCTTAAGCTACAAATGTATAAGAAGAATTTATGGCAGTTATTTGTTCATCAGAATGACTGAATTCATTTTTCTGTTTCGAGTACAGTATTAGTGGCTGCCGAGTGCAGTGGTTAGTTTTTGCATTGCTTTTAGTGTATAATTTGTATTTATCTCTTTATGGCAGTGCTATTTTTCAAATCTTTTTTCATTTGAAGTCTGAGGTTGTTTCTCTAATTTTCCCCCCTTTTTCTCCAATTAGCTTCCATTATGAACATCCCGGTGCCCACCGGTCTGCCGGCCTTGAAGCCGAAACGCGTCAGTCCGCGGCGTGTACAGTCCGTCCCGGCGCAGCAGATGGCCACGGCCCCGGATCCCGGTCGGCGTTGGACCATCACATCGCGCCAGCTGGCCCTCATGTCGCAGCTGGTGCAGGGCCACCGCAAAGTCACCATCACCTTCGAGGACGAGCACGGCAACTCGCAGACCGTGTGCGTGGAGAATCGTGCCTGAATCACTCATCACTGTTTGCTCAGTTTTTCGGACTCATCGGATCTTTCTCTCGCCTGTGATCCCGGCATGATCACGTCCTTGGAATATGGTTTTTTTTCGCGATTATCATGGATTGGCATGCGGTGTTTCTCGCGATTATGGAATGGGCTTTTCATTTAGTTTTATAGTTGAAATTGTTTTTATACGGCGATCGTTGGACAGGACTTTGAAATAGTGTATCGCTCATATTATCTGATCTCTACCGGAATGATAGATGCATTTTATACTAATTATAAGTTTTATCCTTTTCCTAAAGCGTTTCGGAAGATGCTGCTTGGGGAATGGATTTTGCAGCAGAAACTGGGAGTTTTAGCGCTTTAAGTTGTTGTTTCCGTATTTTTGGAGGACGCTTTTTTTATTTATCGCATATGCGACCGATTACACTTTTCAGGAATGGTGGTGATATATTGCATAAGCAACAATAAAAGTTAGGAATAATTGTGGTGATATTTTCGTGCTGTTTAGTATCACACAAGTGACACAACCTTACGATTACCAAAATACTTAAAATATTGACTGTGTTGTAATTCTTTAGAGTCAACCAGTAATTATTACCTTACTTACTGTGTGTCAATAATTATTACCTTATTTACTGTGCGTATTAATTAATGCTTATTATTGTCCATATTTTGGCGGAAATTTAAATGCCTCGTATTAATTAAATCTTTTGACTTGACAAGCAGCTGATTTAATTTCTGTATCACAAATACAATGCCAATGGGAATTAAACTTTTAATAATAAGTGTCACATACGAGCACACACTGAGTACTAAATCAAAATTCATAATACAAACTATCCTTCACAAAACACAATGTACACAATACATACATTATTTTTAAATGCAAGAGTTTTACTCGTTTTTTCCAAGCAATTTCTGATTGTGAGAATTTAAAGAGCGAATTGAGCCATATCCCGATAAATTTCCCAAAACGAGTCACAAGTTTTGCCCGTGCACATATCTGTAGTACTCTGTAGTAATTCTCGATCGATCAATATCAATTATGATATTTCATTACATACAAATTTTACACATGAATGCATTAAGATACAATTTTGTAATACTGGAATTATTTGTTAGTAAGAGAATTGTTTTAATATGGAAATTATCAGCACCTTGCTAGCAGTGTTTCGATGACGTACCGCAAAAGAAAAAAATATCACAGAATAAAAAATATCAAAAAAAAAATTAAATTACATCATTTACTGTACCAGTATAAAATACAACAAGGAATGCACATCTGCACACAACAGGTGAATATAGCCCACCTAATTGAGAACCCTCGCATTCCGATTCGCAGTGCCGAGAACCGGAAGTAGTGCACATAAAATATAGCTACTTGTACTGTAAGTAAAATGAAAGCCTCTCACTGGTCAGTGCAATAAACTATTCCCGCATTCTGATGTTTTAATGTCTTGTTCAGGTTGTGCTCTCTGGTTTCTGGAATACCGAATGTTCACTGCAAATTTTCAATACATATTTACGTGGAAAAAACAAAAAGTTATTAGATTGAACCAATTCCATCAGCTTTATTTTCGCTGCAATTTTTCCGTTTTACCAGCGATAGTTTATACCCATCAGCGTTACGGTCCATTATCCGCGCTGCCGGATGCCAGGACAACAATCCGAATTACAGGATTGAAAGAATAAAACTCCCACAGAATTTACAAAAACAATTTCTCACCATATCTCACGATTTTTGTGACCGCTGTATTTTTGGCTTTATTCTACTGGCCGGCTCTTTGATTTCCACTTCAACTGGTGGTTGCGCCGGTATCGTCGGTTTTTCTGCGTTGCGCTGCATCTTATCCAGCGCTGCCGCGGCCTCCGTGAAGTAGGTCATGGTGTCTGCGCCGAACACCCTGTTAAAAGCCTCCCCATCCAGGATCCCCCCGAAGCGCGTACACAGCGTGTAGTAGTCCTTCGGATCCGATAATCGGGGCACGTGCGTGTAGAAGCGTCCCGGGGCCAGATGGCCCAACGGGGTGATGTCTGAGATGGGAAAGACGACGTTGTTCCGCTGTCCCCAGAACGTCAGATGGGAGATGAGCACCTACAACATCACACATTTATAAAATCAGAAAATTCACATGCAACTATTAATTCCAGAAGTTGCACAGATGACAGAAACCGGCTATTCGCCTATTCCCATTTGACACTGAACCCACAAAATATTTCATATTGTAAAATTAATATTAATGAAAGGGAAAATTAAAAAGTGCTGTACTCGAGTTTACATACAATTCATGCAGTAAAAACAGCGGCAAGCAAATCTCGTTATAAAATTTAAAATAACGGGAAAACCCACAAAGACAAAGCATTCATAAAATCAGAATGACAATTCACATGGTAATTTTAGAAGCTTCACAGATGGCCGAGCAAGCTACTACAATTTGCAAAATAGTTGAATTTCTGAATATTTAAGGGAAATTATAAAAAAATTCGGAAGGGAGAATTTAGGAAGTACTCCCGTTTATAAACAAGTACAATTTATTATTCGGGTAGTAATTGTAATTTGTAGCATTATAGGGAGATCAGAGCATACTTAATCAATTAAAATAGCTGCCAAATTGTTCATAAAATCAGCAAAAACATTCACATGTTAATTTCAAGAAGCGAGCTGACCGAACCAGCTAAAAAATCAACGTAAAACATATCCATTGTGAAAATGCAGAATAAATACAAAAATTCGCAACTATAGGATTTAAAAATAATTCGGAAACTCAAAGCTGAAACAAAAAATAACAATATTTTCAGAATAGTCTCATGTCAGACGATAATATCTGTTCGATTCAACAGTGCGAGTACGTAGGCAAAAAGGACAACCCATTCACCACCCGCCCACCGGGCGGTCGGCCATTACGCACCTTATCCTTAGCCTCATTGATGTACATGCGCCCGATCCAGCGCTGGAACGCGATGGTCGTGATGAGCAGGAACGCGAAGGCCATCACATTGCCCATCATCATGATCGGCACCGCGATTGGCGAGAGCTCAAGCCCCGCGATGGCGGCGGCGATAACGCCGCCGGTGAGGAGCGTGGCGCCGACGGTCTGGTAGAGTTTCATGCGCTGCAGGGCGCGGACGTGCACGATGAAGGGGAAGTGGTAGAAGGGCGTGAAGAGGCCGTACTTCTTGGTGTTTAGGGGCGCCCGGATATCCATCTTGGAATGGCCCGCGTACTGGCCGCCGGCCACCAGACGCCAGTCGCGGCCCTTCGCGCCGAACGGCGATCCCCCACGGGGTTCATGCGGCGGGGTGAAGATGCAGCGGCGAAAAAACAGGCGGCTGGGAAGGCGCGATGGCAGGGAGAGGAAAATGAGAGAGGGGCGCATGGCCCACTGTCTTACCACGGCAGGGAGTCGATACCCTCAAAACTGCTGCATAAAAGCTGAAAGGATCACGAAACGGAAAATTGTCGTAAATTCGCAGCCCGACCGAAACGATTGAAATGAACAGATGCTGTTCGACAGACAAGCCAGATTTATCAAGCAATTTCGTGATTCTATAGAAGTAAATTCAAATAATCAAAACTGTCCAAAATATAATAATTACGAATCTGCGTCCCATGGAACTCTGAAAAAGAAACAAGAGAAACTCTACGGATATCAGCTGAACTGATAGGAATTAGAAGAATAAAACTATAAAAGTCAAAAAGTCAAACAAACTGTAAGCAAAAAACTGAAAACTGAAAAGTGCTTCATATGTTGCGCTTCTGATTTTCACAACAAACGCAAAGCCGTGCTCCAAGGTAAAGCAGGCACACTGCCAACACGGGCGGCAGCTGCGTATGCATCGGCGCATATACATATTTCGACATCGTCTGCTCAGCCAGTCAACTTTCCGATTTTTGTCAGGTTTTGACGTTTTGTGGAACAGTTTCAAGGATTCAGCCATTCCCTATAGTTTCTTAACTTGGATAACAAATAATATCTGTGATCGATTGTCCAGTCTGGTATCATACAAGCGACAGCAGTTATGCCCAAGATCAAGAGCGAGAAGCGGAATGATGCGCGTAAATCGGGTTCTCTGCAGGGCCAAGGTGGGTTCTCTATCTTTATGATAAAGACATGAAGACTTTGTCATCCGTTCCATTTGATTGGAGTTGGATGTGCTGTATTCGAAGAGGATGGTCTACTTTCAGGTATTCATTTCAATCGCGATTTCGGTCAGCATATCTTGAAGAATCCCTTAATCTTGAACGCCATCGTAGACAAGGTAAGAACCTATGGTCTTTGTGCAGCAGCGCTGTTACGAAGTTTTACCAAAGTCCCAGATCAGTGTATGTGCGGGATGTTGTATGCTACCGAGCGTTTCGTTTACCAATTGGCAGCAACTTAAACATGTACGGCATTTTGCGTTGTTAGGCCAACATTCGGCCGTCGGATGTTGTTCTGGAAGTGGGTCCGGGAACGGGCAACTTGACAGTGCGTCTGCTGGAGAAAGCCAATAAAGTGATCGCCTGTGAAATTGATACGCGATTGGTGGCCGAACTGCAGAAGCGCGTGCAGGGAAGGTGGGCTCTATCGGTTTTACAGCTGATGCGTTTCTGTAGCTGTAGTTTGGTTGTTGTTATTAAATTTTGGAACCGTATTTACACTAATTACTTGAAGAGTTTCAACAGGTGTGTTACCGTATGTATCTTACTTAATGCGAACATTTGCGTAATATCGTTAATAAAATAATTAGTATCATAATATCTTGTACCTAGTACCGTGCAGACTGCAGTCATACATTTTGATATCGACAAGGTGCAGTTATTGTGTTTGTTTGGAATTTCGATTCTGCTGTATTTTAAGATTGTACAAGTTTTCGCCCTGATAAATTTGTCCTGAATCCGATCGTTAAAAATATTCTTTTTCGGCTTGTAGTCCATTAGCCTCCAAACTACAAATCATACAAGGCGATGTGCTGAAATTGGATCTGCCTTATTTCGACGTGTGCGTTGCCAATTTGCCCTATTCGGTATGTACCTTATATTGGGTGGTGGGCACTGGTCGGAAAAAAGTACGCCATTGCGCTCACCGGAAATAGCTTCCGGAACTAGGCAATCATTTTAGAAAACGGTTTTTATGATAGCTGTTGTATGATACCTAACGTGTACTGCAGGATGATTTACCCGACATTTTCCGCTGGCATAAACTGCATCCCGTTTTTTTGAGACCGTTCACGTAACTTTTAATCAAAATAAAAATTTCTTGAAGACAGTATTCATGATTTCCTTACGTATGATTTCGACATGGCTAACATGGAAGTAGTGTCAACAACTTTTGAAAGCAGTTGGTTGTTTAAGTATTTGAATTCATTGTGAAAACGTGAAAAATTAGAAGTTATGGTAAATTCTGAAAAATGTAAGACATACGGACACGTAAATAGGACGTAAATACATGTGATCACTTTAAGTTCTGACACATACACACATGGTAAAAACGACATTGTCAATGAAATTTGTAATTATGAACGCGTCCTGCAACTTGTAGATATCTTCCCCCTTTGTATTCAAACTCCTCCTGCATCGTCCGCTGTTCCGCTCCGCCGTGCTCATGTTCCAGCAGGAGTTCGCCCAGCGCCTGGTGGCACAGGCCGGCGATAAGCTGTACTGCCGGTTATCCATCAACACCCACCTCCTGTCCCGCGTCGACCATCTGATGAAGATCGGCAAGAACAACTTCCGGCCTCCGCCCAAAGTGGAGAGCAGTGTCGTCCGCATTGAACCGAAAAATCCCCCGCCCGACATCAATTACAAGGTGCATTTCATGAAAAATATTGATAATTTTCGCTAGTTAATTTGCTCATTTTGTACAGTACTGACCAAATGCTGCATAATTTCCCTCTGTGTTTTTATCTAACGAAAAGATTATCCGCACTTTAATTGAGGGAAAATTAATTATTTTATGAAGTAGTAATTAGGATAATTAATTTCGTGAGTATATACGGTAGTTGAATCGTAGGACAATTGATAACCTTGAAAAGTATCGGATAATCTAATGTATCATATGACACGCAATGTAGATCGGTTGTTGCTTTTCATTTTTCACTCAATGAGTACTTACAATTAATAATAGATGATCATTTTTTGGTGTTTTGTCGTTTTGCAATCGGTAATTAATTCGGTATCGAGGAAAGTTGACGTTTGCTTGTTTGTGTTGCGAATTTTCACATTCCTATCTAACTGATGCTCTATATTATCGGGAAATTGCAATTTGCAGTGTATGTTCACCCATCAGTAGCGTTATGATTTTCATTTATTTGTCAGGAATGGGATGGGCTGGTACGCATTGCCTTTGTTCGGAAAAACAAGACTTTGGCCGCGGAATTCAAGTAAGCACAGTCGTGTTATTTGTTGGTCATGTCAAATTCGGTGCCGCATTATGACCAGCACGTTTTCTGTTACTAATTTTGTGAGATTTGTGCAGCACTAGGCATACTTGGGAAGCTGACACGATTCATTTGGTTGTTTTAGGGCCAAAACGGCGCTGGAAGTTATGGACAGGAATTACCGGATACATTGCTCGCAGCATAATTTGGTAAGACGACTGCTAACTGTAAGCACTAAACGGGATCGTTAAATCGACGGAAAGTATACAGCATCAGGCGTTAAGATTTCCGTTCTTCTCCGTTGCGGGAATATGTGGTTCTAACACATATTATGCTTGTCCGCTCTCTATGTGATGCGCGCAGTCTCTGCGCGAATCACCTGCACAGCCAACAAGTTCAGAGAACATATTGAGATACGGCGCGCTGCTCCTCCAGTGCTGCTCGCAATTCCGCGGTAGACGCTGTAATGAATGCACTTAATGTTGTGACCGTCGATCCCGGGACGGTGTAGCAGTGCAAAACCGAACCATCACTAGTTGTACTCATAATCGCTCAGTTCGGCCTTGCCGAAACGTAAATTAAAATGGATATTATATTCCCGTAACACACGCGTACGCGCAACGGAACAGCTTCGCCTGGGACTGAACACTTGATGAGGCTCGTCGTCGGTGTGATCAACGGAAATCGATAGTTATATTGAAATAGCGGACCAGAGTGAAGGCTTTGTGTAAAAAATACACAGAATGCAGGTTCAGGTTTTATTCATAACCTTCGAAGTCAAGCTTTCCAAACTGCCTGGCACAAATTTTGTGAGACAACAACGAAAATACTCCTTATGTTGTATGCGCAGCAAATAAACCAGAAAAAAACGCAAACCACACCAGCACATCATGACGGGATTATGCTATCGCAGCGCGTACGTAAACGCTTGTCTGACCATCTCAGATGATGTCAGAACACCCGTTTTAAATGACTTATTTAAAATGTCGGTAGGATTATTGTGGTTGTATATGCTGTATTTTTGTCAAGTAATGTGGCGGACATGAAAAATTTACATGATTTTTTAGCCGCTTCCTCCCGATTTTGACATCCGCGGTAAAGTGGATGAGATTCTGCAGAAGAGCGGTTTCGCGCAGAAGCGATCACGGAATATGGACGTGGATGATTTCCTCCAGTGAGACACGATTTTTGCAAGCTGTACTTCTCTTTTCTTATCTGGTATTGAATGGCTTCGTTGCAGGTTGCTGCAGGAAATGAATGCCGGTGGACTGCACTTCTCATGAGACTGCGATATACATGCGACCAGCGTCCAGAGACATTATTTGATTATTGTTAGTGTACTGATGGAAGCGTATAATATCAAAAATATAAAGAAATTATCGGGCGATTTGTGTTTTGCGGTGTGCCGATTAGAATAACCGACGATCTGTTCATTCGTACTGTACGGTTGTACTGCAGTCTGTAAAACTCGTGTGTGATGCGTCGTTGGCAATCGGCACTGCCTTCTTCCGAAGAAAACCATGCATAAATAAAAACTTGAATTAAGATTTATCTTCACAATTTAGTTTTAAAGGAGCTGCAATCGGCGCTGGGTTTTTCGAGAACTTTTCGAACTGATTTGTGCTAAATCAGTGTTTTTACGGGTGGTACACCCACCGTTATTCCTGGCTTTTGCGGGATTAGCGTGCGGTCTTTGAGCGAGAAGGTCATAGGAGAGAGAAATCTCCCGGAAAAGGCACGCCTACTGGGAGTTTGCTTTTAGGCCTTAATAAAATTCTATAGGACTATTCTATAGGCCTTAATAAAATTCTAATTTTATGCAATTTAATTTTTCCCAGGCATATCGTATTATTATATAGTATAAATATACGATTATAAGAGGTAGATTTGTACTTCTGTGCATGTTCTATGTACAGTGTGCAACCGTGTTGAGAAGTTTTAATGTTTTTGTATTATTCGGTTTACATGTAGTACCTCGCTTCGCTTTTGTGCTAGAATTGTGTGAAATGTGAAGTGATACAGTATAGTATTATACTGAAAAGTGCAAGGAAAACGTTCAGGAGATTTCTGCGATATTCAACAACGCGTAACAAATGAACATGTTCGGTATTGGTAAATTTATTATGTATGTACAGAGTACAGGTAAATCCCAGATAAAGTCTGTGGGTACCAAATCCTGCATGAAGTTATTGTAAACAAAATTACATTAACTTTTTGTAATAAAGACCAGGAATTTCCAAAATATACAAAAATATTTATATAAATCTCATACACGAGTACAGTATATATAGATATAACTGCAATATTGGTTTGGCGTATAGTTCAGTTTGGTGGCTTGTACAGCAACTCGCTGCTAGTGCCGCTAAAAAAACGTTTCCTTTTATCGCAGAAATAGAAAAACCATGGGAAAGACAAGGAAGACGTGAGCCGCGTGGCGGTGTGTGACAACGGCCGTGTTGCAGAGGTTGGTCGAGCAGACGCAGACGGTGCCGGTGAAGGTGGACACAGTGGTGCCGGACGCCGGATCGGGACTGTGGTCGACGGCATCCACCACCGTGTGGCATTTGTCGGCTTCGGCGGCATCCGTGTGGTTACGCAGCTGCGCCAGAGTGGCACATCCGCGCTCCATGATGCCTGTAAATACGCACGTATTACGGAAAAACTGTACTCAGTGGTCTTTATTATTTTATGAAATACCTTAGTTAAGATTTCGTGCTCTGCCGTAGTTGGTACATAAACTCAATCACTTAAGTTTATTCATCGATATTGACATTTTAGAAATTATACAAGTCACAATTCATAAAGACAAAATTACATATATCTCGCATTATATCTATATAATAGTAATAGTACTGTGTATCACATCCGCCGTATATGTTGCATATACAAATATAGATATTTTGTACTGCGCCTTTTCCTGTATTGCACTGACATGTGACCATCCTCCAGATCAGTTCTCGAAAAGGGATGAACGTAACGATGTTCGTACTACTTTGTAATTCAAATAATAAGCAAATTGCCGGTTTTCATACGAGAAACAACTGAAACAGTTCGTACTGAAACAACAATGTACGACTACCATATTTACAGTTAATATAATAATTGTTATACTGGTTCAGATTCTTAAGCAACCGGGTTTGCCTAATTGCGGCTATGAAATAAATAACTTTACGGACAAATGCTTGTCTCTGTGAACTGAAAAGGGAAAAATGACGAATGTTATTTATGCTGGTTCGAGTTTTGCTTTTCTATCGGTTTCTGTTAACTATCATACCGCCGTGCAGTTTTGTAGGGTTATTTCATTCCCTTATAATTTACAAGTTACAGTACCTGGAATGGTGGTCCCGTCATCCGTTTCACTGCCTTCCAACTTGACGCACACGTCCTGATAGATCTCACAAAACTGCTCACTGATGTTGCCGCACTGCCCGGTACCCGGCATCGGCGTGCAAAAGAAGCACTTCAAGGCATTCGCTACAAACGTATGAATATTATACACCGCCGCATTAGCTTATTTGCAGAATCATTTCTAATATAAGAAATCGACTTCGGACAAATTTTATAGCAGCTTTGGAAAGCGCTCATTAGTTTTATTTCTAATAAAACAATTAGTTACGGATATAAGTTTTCTACATATTGTATGATCGTACACAGAGATTTTAGTAAAATACACTGTGTACAATTTTTTATCGTCAATTGTTCCAAGAGTACAGAAGTTACATAATAAGTATAACATACAATATGCACATGTGTACGTATAGAAGGACTGATATTACGGTTAGTAGCGACGCTTGGGGAAAATTAATTAGAACGAAAAAACAAAACGTTTCTTACAGTTTGAAACTGCAGCGATAATTATAGTTGCAATGACATAAAGGAATATCCTCGGTAGTTTCATGATGCAGATATGCAAATGCTGCAAAATGTCAGTTAATTCAATGCTCAATGGAAAAAACCATAATATTTAAAAAATTTATGACTGAAAATGATGGAATTCGGTCGAACACTGCTATGAAGTTGTACATATAGATATTTAGCATCCCGTTGTTGTGGAAAATAGCGGAAATAAAGGAAATGAAATGATCGTAGCGGCGCCGATGCACCATTGGCGTTGGTGGTGACTTGTAAGTGATTCCGGTTTACTCCGACCCCGGTGACTGATAAGGAAGGAGTCAACATCGTTGTTTTCTCACGGAATTAGTGCTGACCAGCTGCAGCTCTTGTTGTTATGTATAAACGGCAGCCGTGTCTGTGCCGGCCGGATGACGCGCCTCCGTGATTTTGTTTTCATTTGGCCTAGATGAATCAACGACGCTTTTATTTTTAGGAATTTTATCAAATCAATCTAATTTCACAATTTGCCGGTCGGCTGTTCCCAGTCAGCTGCAGTTTGGTCAGAAATGTACGTAATGATATTATTTTTGGGAAAAAAATGAAACTTTTTTGTTCTGGCTATGGTAACAACAATACTATGACATTGTTTGATATACATATAAAATATAATTAAAGCATATACATAATTGTATACCGCATGAACAACCTAAGAATACTATATTTAATTATATGGAAGTAGTTAAATTGTACTCGCATTAAAAGTAACAAAAGTAATATGATCTGCTTAGTTTTTGCTGTGAACAGTAATCAACGTTGAACAACGATTTGAATTTCATTCATAAACATGTGAAAATGTTTTAGAAACTGCGCTTTATCCAATAGATGAGTAGTTGAGTACGTATACGTCGGGAAAACATTTGCTTTCATTTCCGGCTTAAAAATCAGAACCCAATGCAAGTACAGGGTAATACACCAAGCTGCAACCTTGTACAGTGGTACACAGTTGCTTTTTGTAATGCGGAAGTAATGACAGTATAATGTGAAGTTCTAGCAGCGAAATATGGATGTCCACATTAAATTTTAATGTTACATGTGTTTAATCAATGGGATCGGATTCACACATAATTTGTCGTATTTTCACTAATTTTCTTATACCGTTAAGTTGTTAGGTATTTTAGCACCAATTGTGATCGCTTTTGATTACTGCTCATTGTCATTTAATTTGGCAGTTATGTCCAAGCGCAGGCCACGTATAATAAATCACATGAAAATTAATGTGTCAGTATCTTACATATATCATGCGTAAAACAAAACCAAATTAAAGGACAACCCAAGTAAAAAAATTGAAAATACCAATCACAGCCGAATTTTCAAAGGAGTATATGTAGAACTAAAATGATTCACGGACACCGGTGGGCCGCGGTTTGAACGACAATTAAGCAATAGATTTTTTCGCCTTGCCACCTAGGAAGCTAAAAGAATTACATTTATATAAATATAATTTGTAAAATTATTGTTGTTTACTGTAGTTATTCGCACCAGCTTCTGTACTTATTGCATAATCGTTGTTCAAACCGCGGCCCACCGGTGTCCGTGAATCATTTTAGTTCTACATGTACTCCTTTGAAAATTCGGCTGTGATTGGTATTTTTTCAATTTTTATACTTGGGTAGTCCTTTAATGTTCTACAGCAGAACAGTAGAAATATTATTATAATCGTTTTATACATAAATGATAATTCTGCTCGTAGAAGTACTTATGCTTACAGCTTACTTAACTTGCCGACGCCGAATTAAACACGAGGCTGTGGAGTGTGGAATGCGGTAAACACCGCAAATCTGGTTATTATTCAGTCGCTACACAAATTCTGTACAATTTATATCATAAAAGTCAAATAAAGTTTTATTTCTCAATATGTACAAGGCGAGCTTCGCTAATAATAACAAATGACAAAGTGCAAAGTCAAACTACAAAGTACCAATAACTGCAACGTACATAATTGGCGACCGCCCACCGGGGCGTCACTTCATTCATTTCTGGACCGTTCGGGTCAGCTGACTTATCTCACATGACTGTCACAAGAGGCAATGCTGAGCCCGTTTCAGTTGCAAACTTACAAAAAAATTTCCTTTGTGACTCTGTCAATCATACGTCCATAAATTAATTTCGGTGGTATAACGCTATAACTGATATTGATATTCAGTTTTATTCTGGATCTGCGAAGCGACTTCTTTCCCTAACGGTTCGGCTTTTTATTTATGTCGGTTGTTATTTATGTGTATGAATGTCGGTCTCATATCTATATTCGTCACGCAGTCGTGCAGCGATTTAAGGATCAAGCATTCAAGCGTATGCAGAGAACCCTGTGCCTGCATTCAGGATTAAAACCCCTGGCTTCCCATAAAAACCGCTGGAATTTCTTCCTGGACACTATAGTGTCGCACTGCTTTAGAATGTAGTCACTGCTGAAAGTGTTGAATACTGAGACGTCGCACCATTATAATCTGGACGCTCGATCATGGACACTATGGACCTGGTACCCCCGGCCAAACGCAAACTCCCCATCAGTCTGCGCGCTCGCAAGATCCTAGCCCGGCAGGGACTGCTCGATCTGAGCCTGCAGACCCCCAGCAGCACCGGCTGGGAACCGGACATCCCCACCCCCGCGCCCCTGGAACCTCCCGACGACGTATCATCCTCCAGCGACAGTCCCCCCGTCGCCGTCCTCCCCACCCCCCTCGAGACCCTGAAAAACTACGTCCAGTCCGTGGAGATGAAGCGGTTTGCGCCGGTGGTGCAGCGATTAAAGGATCAAGCGTATGCGGAGAACCCCGTGGGGTTCGTGCAGGAGTTCTTCGCGTTGGGGGCACAGCAGGGGACGTTGGTGGTGTGGGTGGACGGGGGCGAGGTGCAGACGGGGCCGGTGTTGGCCAGTCAGGATGGGACGCCGCGGTGGGAGCAGACGGTGGAGTTGTGTGGGAGGGGGTTCACGGCGCAGGCGAATAATAAGCGGGCGGCGAAGAATGGCGCGGCGCTGGCGGCGGTCCAGTGGATTTATGACTGCCTGGATGATGTCCTGTGCATAAGTAAGGCAGGCTTATTTTCCAGTGGAAATTCAGCGGAAAAAAGTGATTGCGATAACGAAATTATTAAACTTTACTAAACAGGTGAATAGGTAAATAAAATTAATTTGCAAAGTAAATTAGGTATGTAGAAAATTATTAGAATTATTAGATAGCTGATATTGAAATAAATTAGGCTGATAAATTATTACGAAAATTAGGTGTGTAAATACATCAGTAAATAAGCTATTTAGTGAATTAGGCAGATAAATTAATAAGTAAAATCGGTATGTACATAATTAAACCGAATTGAATTAATAGACAGTTAGCCACGCAGCGATTGTAACCGAATGATGGTTTTTTTCGGATTAAACTGCATCTGACTGGTAGTCAACCTGACATACATAGTTCTATTTGACCGGATACTGATGGCTTCTTTTGTCAAAATTTCGTATTGATGATACCGATTTTTTTGACGATAATTTCGTCGCGATTCGATGGATATTGCCGGTAGAATGGCAAACGCCGCATTAAACCGAATACCGAAAGACCAATTTCTCGAAAGTGGAGCCGATCTCGAAACTCGAGAGCCGAAAGGCATTAACGCCGACTCCGTAATATTACGGTTACCGATTTCTGCTATCGATAGCGAACATATACCGAAATGCGAAATAAGTCGCTAGGACCGTAAAGAGTTTCGCACGTGTGCGGAAGTTACGCGCCGGAATGAAAGACTTGCCTCTTGGCGGTAGCAGGCAACAGGATATCGAATACGTGTGTATAAATAAAATAGCAGCATATATAAATAAAAATATATAAATAAAAAATATAAATAAAAAATATGTAAATAAAAAATATATAAAAAAAGAAATATAAAATGTGTTTGTATAAATAAAATAATCGCGTACTTTTGTTGCCGTTATTCGGCATTAAAAGTATTAAGCATCTACCGTTGACCGTTAGAGTCTATATGACCGATTCGGAAACACGGAAAAAGACCGTACTACCGCTACATACATACCGGTAAATACTACATACATTCTGGTACATACATACCGGTAAAATATAAAACCGTTTTTCCTGGCGAAGCTATGACCGGATCGTGCAGCGATAAGCCGAACGCAATAAGCGTTATCGATAAGCATGATGAAAACCCGCAAATACCGTTTCGGGAAATTGCCCGACTCCGTAATATTACGGTTACCGATTTCCGCTAACGATAGCGAACCTGCCGAACCTATACCGAAATGCGAAATAATCGCTACGACCGTTAAAGAGTTTCGCACGTGTGCGGACGTTACCGACCGAATGAGAATCTGCCTTTTGGGCAGCCACCGGCTCAATTCTGGTCCATTGCCAGCCGTCTTAAGCGAGCGAAACGCTTTTGAAGAATAATTCACTTCGGTTACAGCGTCACTTGGAACCAGTCCACCGGAAGCGCGTGGATCCTGCGGCAGTGCTGCATGTGCAAAAGAATTTAAAATGGATGGATAGTGTGTACAACATATGCTGGAATTATGGAGTGAATTACTGGATAGAGGATAATATCGGGTATGCGTACAATCATTAATATCAACGGCATGGGTATCCTTGGATTGCGCGATATGCTGGAACTGGTGGCTGTGCTTGGGGATCACTGTGTGCGCTGATTGGCTGGCATCCGGCTGGCGGCTTCTAACACCTAACCTGTTGCAGTTGCTACCATGCTAACGTAGAATACGGGCTCGTTTCATGGCACGGATAAGGAGTACATTAGTGCTTACACTTAAAAGAGTACATTAGTGTTATATTAAAAGTTTTAATTTTTTTGAAAACTGATTTTTTGGTTTCGATAATCCCGTTTTGCTGCATCATTTCAATAGTCAAAAAAATAGCCAACAAAATAACAAATTCAAGCGCGGGCACACTACATTTCTTTTTATTGGATACTTGGTACGCAAATTCACACTGCTTGTTTTCGGTTTTAAAAATTCGTGTCTCAACTACGATAGCGGTTTGTCTTCCAACCGAGCTGAAAAAAGTAATGTAATTAATTAGGATTATTTTCGGAAACCCAGCAGTGCTGATTTGATCGTTCCGGGCGCGTGTCCTGATTGTTTGTCTTAATAATTTAAATTCTTCTTATGGATAGAACTTCCCGGAAAATCGAAATTCCCCCCGCAGATCCCAGCCAGACCGATCGCCGTTGCGAAACCTGCGGTACCTCGCGTTCTTCCGGGGGATGCCGATAACACCTTCGCCAATCGCGTTGCCGAACTGGTGCATTCCAAATACGCGGAGGTCATGGAGCGGTATGGTGTGGCGGAGGCGTACCGCCGGTATGCCGTTCTAGCCGGGATTGTCATGGAAATGGATGGGAAGATGGAGTGTATCTGTGTGACAACGGGGACGAAATGTATCGATGCACAGCAACAGGTGGGCACATAATTTAAATTTTGTCAATTATTTATCAGCTTTTATTATTTCGCTTAGTACAGTTGGTATGCGTTCTGCGTGGTGCGTTTAATCTGGCACCACTGCTGTAAATTTAGTATTGCGCTGACAGCTGTAAAACAGCAAAATTGCGCAAAAAACATTCATTCAGCACTTTATCAATTTATCAGCAAAACAGCAATTAGAATGATTATAACCGTAGCCGATTTACCTCGTCACAACGTTTTGGCTTGAGAAATTACTTAATTACTAATTCAGTTCGTAAGAAATAGTTATCGTAACAAAATGTCAGGCACCAAGCTTCTGGAAGTTTCACAGCAAGCACACTGCGCAACGTTTTTGAATTGTACTATTTAAAGTGGTCAAAATGTTTTTCCTGTAATGCACAGAAGTGTTTTCCAACTATGTCTGTACGTAAGCTCAAATGACGGATATAATGGTTATTTATATTTTTGTAAATATGAAAATATGAATTTGAAGGAACGAAAAGGGACAGAATAATGTTTCCGAGTTTATCATTGCGAGAAATATTATTATTATTAGAAAAGAAATAAATGTTCGCATTCGATAGTTTCCATTCTTCGTTGTAGAGTTTAACCGGGCAGACAGTGAAAGACATGCACGCCGAAATCCTGGCCATCCGCTGCCTGAAACGCTTCCTGTGCGCCCACATCGCCGCGCACGCCTCCAACCCCGCCACCTCCCTCTTCCACCCGGACACCACCCCCCTGACCCCGCGCGCCACCTTCACCCTGTACATCTCCTCCGCGCCCTGCGGGGACGCCCGCGTCTTCTCCCTGAGCGACCACGCCGACGGGACGGACGCCCACCCGCAGCGGCAGTGCCGTGGGCAGCTGCGCATCAAAATCGAAGCGGGCATGGGCGGCGTGACCGTGCCCCCGGGGCACAGCGGCCGGCAGTACTGGGACGCGGTGCTGGGCGGGGAGCGCATGCTGGTGATGAGCTGCAGTGATAAGCTGCTGCGCCGCAATGTCGTCGGCGTGCAGGGCGGGCTGGGCGCGCTGATGCTGCGGCCAGTGTACTGGAAGGCCGTGGTCATGGGGCATCTGTGGAATGGGGATCATGTTGGGCGGGCCATGTTCGGACGGTTGAAACCGGCCGCGGAGACGCTGCGGGAATTACAGGTAAAGAGAATATGGACTGTTTGCGCTAGAAAATGTTAAAAACTTCAGAAATTTAGAATCGTAGAAATTTTTACTATTTTACTTCCGTTACTATTTTATTTTAGTACTGTTTTTTATGATTTTATTACAATTACGTCTCACAATTTTTGTTGTCTTAATTACTAATTAGCCACATCCAGTAATGCCGATCGAAATTTTAGTCGGCCTGGGCGTTTAACTGAGAAACCACTATGATCTTGCTTTCTCGTCGCTTTCATAGTTATATGCTTTTTTTACTTTTTTTACCGCTTTTTCTTTGCTTCTCTTATTGTTTTCTTTACGTGACAGCGCGGTATCCTGATTTTGTGGTCGGTAATAATGTTTAAGTGTTTGAATTTGTAATATTTCCGCTTGTGTTCAAGTGGAAAAAATATGTAGCTGCACGCCACTGTACGGTATGAATTGATGTAGAATCGTAGTGCATTGGCTGATTGTTGAACTGTTACCGCCATCGATTTCGACGAGATATTTAAGATGACAGGCAATGTTCTAATCGAATTTCATAATTGTTAACCGTCTACGCTTTTTATTGTTTGTCGTTTTCATTTCTGTTACTGAGTTAAGATGTAGTAATCTTTCCTTGACATTTGTATACGAGTATACTTGAGTGGGCGAATTAAATAGTCTGTTCATGCACCACTTCTACTATTTTGTAAACAAAAATAATAATAAGTAACAAGTAATAATAAGTGCAACAGTAATTAATAAGTACAATACAAAAATAATAATAAGTAATAAGCAGACATATTTGTTTTATTTCCTGAAAAAATATTATAAAAGCCAAAAAATATTACGATTCTTCTGCTTTTTATGGATTTTACTTGAAAGTATTAAGAATGTTTTGATAATATGCCTGGGAATGAGATCGAGCACTTACTCTAGGCATTTCGGGAATTGCCCGCTTCGAAGAATTGTATAATAAATGAACGCTGCTTGATTTACAGGAATGCGGCTTTGCCTTCCAAGCGCCGGCCTTGCTGCACAGCACGTACGGCGAGAAACGCCAGATCACCGTCAAGCACAACATAGCCGTCGTCTGGCTGACCAACCCGGCCGGCGCCGACCACTTCGAACTCCTCAACTGCGTCAAAGGGAAGACCGTCGAGCAAAAACCCTCCGTGCTCTGCAAGAAATCATTGTTGGACGCTTATCTGGATGTGTGGGACCGGGCGGAGACCATTCTGCCGCATTTGGTGGAGCTGCGCGATAACTGCCCCTCGCAGCGTCCCACGTACGCCGTGATTAAAAATTTATCCGCGGAGTATGTCCGCGGGAAGGCGTTGTTTGAGGAGATGGTGCGCGCCAGTGGGATTCGGTGTTGGGTGCATAAATGCGAGGAAGAGGAGGGATTTGATGCGCTTTGATTTTTTTATGGTATTTTTCTTCTTTTGATCTGTTTTATGATTTTATGTTGTTATTTTTCGGGGAACGATTGATGATTTTATTGTGCATGGGTGTTAGTATGCAAATGATGGTAATTTGTTACCAAGTTTGATGGTTATTTTCGCTGATTGTAGATTAATTTGGTTGGAGTGGGTGATTGTATAAATGTACTTAGGTTGTATAGAACATCAACGAAGTAAACGCATTTCTCGCGAGATGTCAAGTGGTACAATGTGCCGGTTTTTTGTAAACTTTCCACCACACTAGAAATTTCTTTTTATCAATAATTTATCTTTTTGGCTGGTATTGCATAGGAAAACGTGGTATCAGGTTTATTGACGCATGTTATTAATCCGCTGAAGATAGACTATTTTGATAAAGGAACTGGATAAAGCAATTTTGATGATTTCTATAAAGTATAATTTTATTACAAAAATGTCTAACAGTTTTATTGGCACGATCTCAGGTACTTCCCGCACCGAGCGCAGTGATACGAATTAATTATTGCTCAATTACAGTCCGTTTTCAGACTAACTGTAAGAAGTTTTTAAAAGTAATAAAGGACCAGTTAAGGGATATTAATTTTGTCCAACCGTAGATAATGTGTATCATCAATAACATGGAAATTAAGTAATTTGACCTTTAAGTCCCGGTGGACAGTCGCGATGACTGGCGGCATGCGCCAACCGAAACGTCGGCAACTTCAGTAATTCGTCATAAATTCGGAAGATGCTGGGGAAGTTTACCGGGTCGGGATTGAAGCGCTTCGTGCGCCAAACCAGCCCGATCAGACACATATCCGCAAACGTTACAATGTCGCCAACACAGTATTTTCCGCTGGTTTTCGATATCAAGTGCTCCAGTGCGGTGAAACCTTTTTGGAAAAATTCCAGTGACCATGCTGTTTGTTCGCTCACTTCTTTTGACGCCTATATAAAACATAAAAACAGGAAGCAAAACACGGCATTGAGAAGCTCCTAGATGTGGTTTTTTACTATGATTTCCTTCAAAGTTTTACTGAAAAATTCATAAAACTATAAATTTATTTATAAAAATGTAAGTTTAAAAAACATAATTTTAAAAAACTATTTTTAAAAAAATGTAATTAATAAAATCATAATTTATAAAAATGTTACACCGTTACACCGCACAAAAGCGGAGAGAAAATAAATCATAATAAGATACAGTACATGGAAAAATTCTCAACTCGTCCATCGATGCTGTAGAGTTTTGTTGGTACTTGTAAGTACTTGCTACATGTAGTTGGTACAGTACGTACAAGCCTACGAGGATTGCTGTGTGCAGACTTGCAGGTAAAATACTTAAATAATTAAAAATAAACCGTTGCAATCCTAGGGTAATGATTGTGTCTGTGGAATACATGCAGTACACACAATATATCAATATGTACAAGCCCGAGCACATAATATTATAGATATCATTGACCATGGACATGCGTAAATACAGCAACAATTCTAAACTTATGGGTTACGCCAGCCTTCCTACCTCGGCGATCTACGGCACACTATTTATGCGGTACATGCATTTTGCATATTTATAGGTGATGCATGATAAAATTAATACAAATACCGTAATGCCCGTGTGGACGGGAGCTAGGCGAAAGTCAGTAAAGTAAGGGACGATCTAACTGCTGAATTACAGTTTCTCTTTGCACATAATTGTAGTGCATTGGCTGATATGGCTACTAATATGGCTACTAATATGCAAGTATTAGTACTCGTATGACACTTATTTTACACTATCTGTTCCTTTACATGCTCAGTATGTATTAAATCAGGCTTGTACACGTAGAAGATATTCACTTGTATGTTTTCATAACGTCACATTTTTTACCCGTTGAGCGGTGGCCGGATTCTGCAGTGGTACCATGTAAGAATTAATAATCTCCACAATTTGTCGCACACGTGCACGATCCAGGGAATTCGTTGGGAAGATGGGATGCTCCGGCCGGGTTTCTTCTAAATATTCGCAAATGGCAACCGATTGCGTTATGTAATGTCCGTCAATGAACAACACCGGCACCGTATTAATCGGGTTTAATTTCCCAAATTCCTCCGATTTCTGTTCGCCTTTCATCAGATTCACGGATACAGTGTCAAAGGGAATGGATTTCCAGTAGAGCACATTACGGACGCGCCATGCCGAGTTACTGTCGAAGAAATCGTAGAGGACTACCTTATTAGCGTCCATTATATTATATGTACTTCTAAATTTCTCAATTTCACAACGGGGGACCGTAGTGGCTGATATCCACAACGGCTGATATCTCTAATCAAATTTTATAAATGTACGAAAAGCTGGCATTTGGCAACAACAGACAGTATCAGCGTTAATTACGAGGTTTCTACAAATTACAGTGCAAGCGTATATTATATAGATATTCAGTATATAAATATATCAGTGCAAGTCTGCACTGCAAGAAGAGCGTCGTTGCTGGAAAATGCCCTTAGGTTAAACCGCTAAAGCAGGTACGAGTAGCGTTCTGTACTGTACAAGTGCCGGTGCTTTAAAGAATTCGATCACTGATTTTCCTTATTGTGATGCACTGCACGAAAAGTTCATACTACAATTGATTGCATAACGTTCATTTCCGTTCATATAATAATATGTACATCAAAGCGACGATATAATAATGTAATTATTATTTTTCTTTGCTCCGCCAAATTTGAGATTTTTATAAGTATCGCGATAGACTTACATAAAGCGGAAGTACGACATGTACATTCAACGAACGCTAATCACTCTAACAATGTTTTATGCGCACAAAAACTGTACTGCAATTCGAGCATACTGAATCCTCCGTTTAAGCGGTAACAGCATAATTCAAACACTGTCAACAACATACATATATAACAAGAAAATATATTTCAACGTCTGGGCGTTAATCTAATCGGACTTAATCGCTAGACACGCATCCGCTTTGATGTCCGCGGGGCAGTGTGGATGGTTGGCCGCGTGCGCTAACCGGAAGGCGTTCAGTTCCAACAGCTCCTCGTATAACCGGCAGATCGTGGGGAACTGTGTGAAATCCGGCTTTAAGCGCTTGGCCCGCCACACCTGCGGCACGAGGCACATATCGGCAAAGGTCACCGTGTCGCCCACCGTGTAGCGCCCGCTGGACTTGGCGACCAGGCGCTCCAGCGCTACGAAGCCCTTGTAGAAGAACTCCAGGGACCAGGCGCGCTGCTCGTTGGGATCACTGCAAGCCTGAAGTGGAAAAAACACTGAAAATTTAACAGAACGTGGAAAAATAAATTTAACAAATCGATCGGACAACCGTATTTATCGAGTAGTGCCGAGACAGTTCGAGACAAATAAAAATCAAATCAACTGTGAAATGCTACATTATTCACAATCCTTTCGAACAAATCGTACTGAACTGTACCCTTTAAAAATAACAGTACTGATAACCGAAAAAAATTACGAAAAAGACGAAGATTTGATGGAAAAAACATGAAAAATAAGCAACGATTTAAAAGAACGATACGGGGTGATTATTTATGTATTTTTAGTTTACATTGAACCTATCTGAATATTACGTTAAGGGAACAAAGCTGGTTTTATTCCTTACTCCATTTTTGAGTTGCTTGATTTATTTCAAAATTTTTGTTGAATGGTTCTTTATTTAATGCCCGCCAAAAACTCAAAGTTGCTAAAATTTGCTTATCAAAATTAATTATTATTGCTAAAATAATTTCTTGCTTTTGTTATGTAACGCATGGTGTGAATGCGAATTTCAATACATTAATAAGTGCTTTAATAATGCTAATTTAATTTGGCCTTACGCTATCTTGCTCGACCTTTTTGGCCGTGGTGGGATTCTGCAGCGGTACCAAGTAGGAGTTGATAATCTCCACAATTTCCCGGACCCGCGCACGCTGTGTTAAATTGTTCGGGTAAATGGGATTTTCCGGCCGGGTCTCCTCTAAATATTCACAGATGGCGATGGATTGCGTGATGTACTGTCCGTCGATATATAGTACCGGCACGGCACCGTATGGATTAATCTTCAGAAATTCCGGCGTCTTCTGTTCACCCTTAACGAGATCAACGGTCACCGTTTCATACGGGATATTCTTCCACTGCAGCACCGTCCGTACGCGCCACGCACAATTACTGGCGAAATAATCATATAAAATCACTTTATCCGGCGACATTTTTCTGACCAAAAATTGTTTAAAATACTAACAAAATTCACGGTGAAAATGTGGGCGATCGAAAGACTGGGTGTCTACGTGAAGAGAGTTAATTTTGGGTACAGTGTAGCACATGCTTGGCCGTGGGCGATTTTAGTTGTACTGTCTACGCGATACAGCGAAAAGATGAAAAATTCATCAAAGTTTGCTACTGGCAGCATGCCGGTGTGTACAAGTACTGGAGAAAACGCGGCGCTAGGTAATGAGTATACAGTCTAATGTAGCGGACGGGGATGGTATGCAGCGTTTTACCGGGGTCGCGCCCATACTATACACTGTCGCGACTGCAATTCCCACAGGGCAGTGCCCATGGGAAGTTAATAAGCAAGATATTCACTTAACCGCAGCCATTTTTCTCCTCATTCACTGATCGTGTCAAATCATCCCATGATGAGCGGCGATCAATTTGGGTGGAAGAGCGACTCGTCATCGTCGTTTTTATTATGGGCCTCTTCATTTTCGGCTCGGAGGGAATGCTGCTGTTTATTATTAAGGGAAGGACAAACAAACTACTAAATAATAGTAATAATGCGTGTGTTATTTGGCAGATTAATTAATGATTATTAATTAGCAGTCTTGTATACGTGATGTATTTGCGAGTTTTGCGTACTTTTACGGTTTTACCAAAGTTGCTGGTGTGTGCCTATTTAGTTAGAATCTGCTATGCACGTTTTCAGGTTAAGAATGATTTTGCAAACGAAACTGTGCAGAACAAACCCTCGAAGAAAAATGTTAACGCGGGTGAGCAAAGGCTGTAAAGTCAAACATAAATCACTGCGGTCTATGGTTTATTTTTTCGTGTAAAGTGATGAGGCAGAATGATTACCCAGCCGTTGGCAATGCCAGTCCAAAAACTACAATAATCACGAAAAATACAAGTGACGGTTATATTCATGCACAAAATTGATCAAATTATATTGAAGTTTAGCGATTAGTTAAAGCTTTAATCCGGTGCCGTTCTCTATGGCAGATCGAGCCGCATCGATCATAGATTATAATTTGATAGGTTCAGTTTTTACAGAGCTCAACTTATGAGAATTTAATGACTAATCACTCAATGTTTATTCCAAACGCTAAAACGCTGTTTTTCACACCAAAACCCTTTAAACCTTCAAGCGTTTAATTGCTAATAAAATCCCGCTTGAAACTAAGTGCGCCGTAAGCACTGCCGTCTACACCGCACAGCATGGTGGCATCGCTATGCGGCAAACATTTCCCGACAAACAATAAGGTACGCTCATATCCGGTCGGTGCGCGTCCGTACATACACATCATTCTATCTGGTGTATACATGATACATCATCCGCTTAGTAAAGCCAGTCACTGCCGGCTTCCATAAACAACCTCCCACCCGTTTTTCCATTGACTGGGTACACAACGCTACCAACGGCTCGTTAAATCCGGTAAACGCTAACACGATACACTGCCGACCCGATCAATCTATGAAATAACACGCCGCTTCCGCTCAACGACAGACTGAGCCGTATCGATCCGGGGAGTGCGTTTTTTTATCATCGCCACTGTGTGTGTATCGCAACATCCATTTCCGTAATCCGAGCATTAGCGTGTGTCTTACGCTGGCATATTGTTTGTGGGTCTTTTGTGTAATTGGGATAAAAAGGTATTAAGCGCGATTACAATGTATACTCATCCGGTGATTGTGTTGTACATCAGTGTATTCAGCGTCTTCCTGGAGCAAGGTGAGTGCATGTGATGTAATGTTGTTGTTGCTGTTCTCCTTGAAGACATGTAATGTTGTGATGGTAGTTTCCTGTCTGAAGTGTAAGGAATGCGACAGTCCGGATCAGCCGCAGTGCCCGGTGGTGAAGGATCGCGATTGTGGACCGGGATTTGATGCCTGTGTGACGTTCACCGGGAATTTTGTTGATCAGAGCGGAAAGAGCTTTGCGGGTGTGTATGATAATTTATGTTTATGTGCTTAGTAATTCGATCAGAATGTCGGTAATTACGGAATCTGTTTGCCCAGCACCTACTTAAAAGGTGGTCTTGAATCGTTATTATACATTTTCCTTTTCCACTAGTGTGTTTTCAAAAAATTCAATAAAATTAAAAAAATAGAATTAAAAAATGAACAAGTTCAAAATAAGAAAATTCAATTCGTCTACTTTAAAACAATTTCCGAAGCAATTCTTACACTATTCTTGCAACGTCTCGTTTAGAGCAATGCATGAGCTGTTTTTAAATTGTTTTCTGCACAGGTTCAAAAACCACGTAATTTGAAATGTTCAATGTTATAGTTCGCAACAGAAAATTTGCATCTGCACGCGCTGTTATTTACAGCGTTTTACACTGTGTGAAACGATATACTGTACTTAGTTATTATGCGACAATTTGGCGTTACAGTGCATACCACTTGTATACTGCTTACATTACAACGGTGCATAAAATCTAAGAGTTCCTATAATTATCTGTATTTCTATTCGTATGACTGTGTAAACGTTGTGTGTATTTTATAGGTGTGATTCAAAGTTATGTGTGTTATATACGTGTGATTTTTGTTTTCCTTTTATGTAATGATAAAAATGTCTCTATAATTCTCTGCATGCTGGTAAATGCTTACACTTTACAGAGTACATGCTTTTGTAGGAAATACCGTCAGATCCTGCGGCACACTTCAGAAGCTACAGCTGATCTCAAAAGATATCGGCAAGGACAGATGCACCAATGTGAACAACGCTAAAGATCCAGAAACCGGTTCGACATTCTCAGGACGCTTCTGTTTATGCAGCTCGGAGTTGTGCAATGCAACCGGCTCATCCAGCATGGTCATGTATTCAATGTTCACTGTGTTGACATGCTTATTACTAGCGGGACTCATTTCTACACACTAGAGATCAGAAACCCGAAATTCTGCTGACGCAGCAAAGTGTATATCTGTTGGTCGCACAAGAGGTGCTTGCACACTTTCTAACGGCAAAGGATTTAGAAATATAAACAGGGTGGAATGTATCAAGTTTCGGGAAAATGCTTTAGATACTTATTAGCTGGCTTTGATTTATGCGCACAAAATTAAACCATGCCGGCGTAACGGTTGTAAGTAACAAAACCAATAAACATGTGTTGTAGTTCCCACAAAAACAAAAACCGCCGAATAATGGTAGACAGACAGGTAAAACTTATTTACGAAATTTACTAGCTATACTCTGCACTTCAAGTACTAAAACTACGAGTAGTTAAGGAATGTTAAATACAGGTCGTACCTACAATAAAGTAATTGCCTTACTAAGTACGTTAATTATACGGTCATTCTCGAAAGACACGAGTGTAAAATCTTTAAACCGCCAAAAAGGTTCATGAAATGGCCCTTTTATTTGTTTCAAATAAACAAAACAATTTCAAATAAATAAAATTTAAAGCGATGGCAAATTTACGTCACACAACAATTCACAGACAAGGTTATACATTTTGACCAAAGCGTTGTGCTCATGTAGGTTTACCCGTTGCAGTTCCTCTACGAACAATTCACGGACAGGGATAAATCATAAGATTAGTTATAGTTGCATATCTTAATGACGATATCGACCGTGATGATAAGTGATAAAGCATGTAACTGTTTGTGGTTTTCACAGATAAGCAATTAACAAAATCTACTACAATTTTGGGTGCAGTTAACTGGCTGAACAAGAACGTCGACAGCGCGCATCTTGCGTTACTTTTGTTCCCTGGGCGCGTTTCGTCTACGTTGGTTCTTTGACGTTTACAGCCTTTTACTTCCAGCAAAAGATCTTTGCTACTTGTTTGAGCAACGCCGTAATCAAACCAACATCAAGCCAACATCCAGATCGAGCAGCTAACCAGACCACTTTCCCACAGAACGGCGATTCGGTTGTGAAAAAGTTTAGCGGCGACATGGCCGAGGCGATACTAAGTGTTGCGAAGATTGCGGAAGTAGCTGGCCACTGTTATAGCGCTGGAAGGACGGCGCATCGTGTTTCCCAGAATGCAAATTAAAGGCAAACCTTTTTAGGTTGCGGCCTTAACATCATCATCATGGATGTGTGGGAAAAACGCCAACATAACTTTCACCAACGAGAAGCTCCTTTTAATGGTATTCAGTCACGGCGATACGTGGACGAACCCGTCGCTTACCGTAATTGACCTCACCGACTCCAACCAGCCTCATGTTAAAGAGACAATCGTCTTCGAAAGACATGCTCTAAATATGAGCAGTATCACACGGTTTACTATAAGTTCTGACGATCGCTTTATCCTTGTACAAGGTAAGCAATTCTGTTTGTAGTGTACGTACATATATAGACTGTACCTATTGTCGTATAGCAACGATGGTTATTGTGATACTTCTTACTTGTTGTTATTACCAGTTATCATTCAGTACTTGAAGTATCGATTGTACTGATGTGTGGTTAATGAATAAATATTAACTGCAATACGGAGAGACTTCACACTGTTCGTGTCAAACGCAGGCAAAAATTAGGCTTTGTGACAATGTGATCAACGTGTACCTTGACGATGCCCATTGCTCGAATGTTTCAGACGGGGCTAATGTAGCCTGGTTAGTTGAAAGGAATAACGTTGATGGAAAGAAAGTCAAACTGAATCAGGGTCGTCCTGTTTATTTTTCTCAATGGTTACGTCACCACGGGATTCTGCTGGTGTCCAGCAGCGAAACCATCCATGTAAATACGTTCAATAACTACGTCTTTCGAAGACAACGGATAAAGAAAGGGTTGAAAGGGCAGATGGTTACGGACTGTCAGGAAAGCCAGCTTGACAACTGGTACTTCGCTGCGGTAATTCAGCTTAATGTGAGTATTAGTAGCATATTTGTTTTACCAGCAAACGTTTTTGTCTTCACGCATATACATCAACATTTCCGCGCGATATGTAAAGATTATAAGTCTGAAAAACGTCTAAGTCTCTAATAAATAATGGGTACGACTATTGCCACCCCTCGTACCCCCTTTTGACTATTGTCACCCCCTTTCTCACACTCTTTGACTATTGGCGTCTACTGCCACCCCTTGGCCATTTCTTATAAGAGTTCAAGACACGGGAATCAAGATTGTGAACCAGTGGAAAGGTACAAAATCTGTGTGGAAAAGGAGCAGCCATATGTACTTGACTCGGCGCTGCCGGCGTAACCCTCGATACCACTTCTGTGGGCACCACTGATTAAGAGAACCGGAAACAATGTCACCGGGAATCTTTTTTCGCGCGCGCAGTCCCAAGGGAATGGTCATAATTGTGGACTTTTCGCGATAGAATTCGCTGCGGAAGTCATTAGCACAAGAAATCCTGAAGATGCTAATTTTAACGTAAAAAAATATGGCCGCATATTAGCGATGCGTCAAGTGTCCCTAAGCTTCGCTTGGCGTCTCTCCCTGCCGGTGGTGACAGGGAAAAAAGAGCAGCTGGTTGCAAAATTAAAGCAATAAATCGAAAGGTGGTGGGAATAGCCAAAAGGGCGTGTGGTAAGGAGTGACAATAGTCAAAGGGGGTGTCTATTTTATTTAAATAAAGGGGTGGCAGTAGTCAAAAGGGGGTGCAAAGGGATGACAACTGCCATTTCCATAAATAATTCTGTGGTTCCGTTAGTATCTGCACAAGACAATAACCCAAGCGCTCTAGAATGCTTTATATTTTTAATGTGCGTTTCTTACAGACTCATCAACCGAAAGGATTTCTGGAACTTTACTGCATTAGGGATTATAAGATCGTGCCAGAGGTTATTGACGGATTTGCTGGTACATTCTTGTACGCAAGTCATGCGGCTTCCAAGAGATTTTGGTTGCCGATGTTGATTGGCAAGGAGATTGCCTGATTTTAAGAAACACCAAGCTAAAACAGGAAGACTCCATAAGAATGGGAAAATATGTATCTGTTATTAAAACATTAAGCATACGTACCGCGATTCTGACCGGGGAAAACTGCAAATTTAAAGCGGAAAACGATATTCCCGTTGCGGTTAGGGTAAGGTCACCACTTTACTACTCGTATGCAAATTAAATCAAAGTTCCTTAGAAAAGGTGCTTGAGCTTTGTCATTCGAGGTTCTGAATTTATGTTTCGTAAAACAGAAGTCTCCTATTTTTGCGAATGACCGCACATATGGTCGACTTATGCTTTACATTTTGTTTAACATATGTACGTATACAGTACTCGATTACTTCGATTATTTCGACCATTACTTTGAGCTCAGTCTTATAAAGATTTGTAATGCCATTCCATGCTTAACCGAGCATAGTTATAAGTTTATAACTGTAATTCAGAAACGTGGAAGTCTTCAACTTTATTAGCTGTTGATTCAGGTGGAAGACGGTGGTACTGATTGCCCTCTTGCAATTGTTGTGACCAAGAAAGGATATATGCATTTATTCGACTACCGCATTATGTGCCATTTGGAGTCGAAGCGAATTTTCACCGGTATCGCTACCGTTTCCGTTGTGGGACCTTTACGCAAGCCGGGGCTACTGACTGTTGTAGATAGCGAAGGAAAAGTAATTATTAGATAATCCAGTATCTATTTATTTCCGAAAGTAACGTCAACCTTACCCTTGTGCTGTTTTGATCTGCGTAGGTATGGGAAGCTGCAGTCTCCCTGGAAAATATTGTGCCGGTTCTTGTAGCTAAACATTCACCCCGCGAATCGGTAGAATACGCTCTGCTGTGCAAGCGTCCATTGAGGAACGATGTTTTCATGTCGACATTCGAGGGTCTATTACGTTACGATAAACCAGATTTCGGTGCCATTCTTCCCTTCTGCTTGTTAAACACCGGTCATTTGACAGTGGTTCAGAGTCAGCAAGTGCTTACTGAGTGCTTTAGAGGTTCACTGGGAATACTGCACTTTTCAGGATATATAACACAGCTCTCTCTGCAGTTATTCCAGCGGGTCAGCTTGGAATGGGTGGTTGCTCTTTATGAGCGTAATGAGACTGCTCCCAATGGCGGAGGTAAGTACTCGTAAAACGATACAGTAAACGGTGTATTTTTACTCTAAAATTTGAGTTGGGACTTTACCTCTTATATTAGAGTCAAAAATTTAGAACCGATCTAACAGGAGCAAAAAGTAAGTTCAATACATTTGTGTTCTGCACCTCTTTTAGGTCTTCTTAAGCTGCTAAATGTTCTTAGACTCCATTTGATGTCTAGCAGCGCTTGCCGAGGGAAACATGCTGGAACTGGCCAAGAAAATGTTTGTCGAAGGAAAATGCTGGGCAGATGCTGTGCGCGTGCAGGTCAGTGATTACTAAAAACATGCAATCAGGCAAACAATGAGCAAAACTGCTCATACAGTGATACTTAGCATCTGTCCCACGCTACGCGCGCATGTAAAACTTTTGTGCATCAGGTACAGCTTTCGGAGAGGAGTAAAGATTTCCTTGCCGTTAAAGAATTAGCGTGCATGAGCGGAGATCCCACCCTGTTGACTGAAGTTGGCAAAATCTGTTTGGACAACGGTCATCTAAATTACGCCATGCAGTGCTTCTTAGATGCGAAATGCTTCACCTATTATAACGAAATATGTCTGCTGGCGCAGATGGACAGCACCAACTGTAAATGTTTTTCTCTGGAGATCCGTCTGCAGAACTAAGAAAGCTGTCTTGATGCAGGTGAATGGAATTTACTTATTCGGTTTCTGGAAGGCATGCAACCCCCGGTCAAGAATTCCCGCTATACTGTAACGCTTGCGCTGGCCTATGGAAGGGCACATCGTCTCGCAGATTTGAACAACCTCGGTAGGTGCCGTTTGTAGATGTACGGTACGTGGATGATTTTATTGATTGGTGTCGATGACTTGCTTTCACTGTATCTGTACACAGTGGCCGAAGGGACCGGTTCAGCGGCTTCTCCCGAGTCTAAGCTCTGCCGAATATGCGAAGATGGTCCCAAGCAAATGGTGTTTGGGCCATGCGGCCACCTGGTCACCTGTGAAGAATGTTCCAAGAAGGTCGATTTGTGTCCAGTTTGCCGCAGCCCAATACAGCAAAAGATGAGAACATATGACTCGTAAAAAGGGAATCATGAGTGCCTTATAGCTTTGCAAACTATTGTCCCGGTTCACCCTGGAGCTTGAAAAAACCGAGAACCACCAAAATATGACGAACTGTAGCTGTACGTACATTAGCAGCTACATACTAATTCTAATGTATTGTAGCAATAAATATGGCGCATCTACATGTTAACCGGAGAAATGGATTTCGGTTGTTTATTAGTGTTTAACTTATCTTAGTAGTGAAGTAGTGTGCCCACGTTTGCAATCTTTTGTTAAGTATTGTACTGGCTTTTGCCTGTTAAAGTATACGAAGTGGAAAATCGAGTAATGCATGGGCTTCTGTAAAACATTATGAGATTCTGGGTTTATAACCACTTTATCGCAAACTGGAAAATACGTCCACGGACTGAAAATTATCTGGACAAAATACAATGTCGCTGTAATGGTGAACATTGCATTCGACAACCTGGGGTCCGAATGCACCATGGCAAACCAGTACACATCCGCCGGAATCCAGCAGATCAACACGGTAACCTTCGTCATAGTCGGCACAATAAGTGGTTTAACCCATATCCTTCTGATAACGCCCGATATCGGTCTGGTCTGGCCTTTTACCAGAAATTCAGTACCCGAGTAGCTGCATTAATTAAAGAATTGGTACCTTGCGCTTTCATTTCGATTCTGAACTCTCACGGAGCCACGGCTACAAATCAGTCTGAATAGACACTACGAGTAGTGATTTAAAACAGTAATGCTGGATGAAGGAGTCAGGAGGAATGGCATATAAGGGCGCACTGCTACCTATAGAGTACTTGCAAATTCAGCGCGGAAACGCGGCTTCTGTCCTGGGGACGGTTGGGTGTTCTCGAGAGTTAGAAGAGTTATTTTTCTTGTTCTGATTATTGGTATTTAAAGTTTGAATGTAAATGGCACTGGCTTGTACAAGTTGATAATAAAGAATACACTTGCAAATTTTTATAATTAGGTCAACAAAAACGTACTGTAAATCTCAGAGAAACCAAGGATAAAGTCGCTAAGTTACCAGAAAGATAGGTGAAGTGGCCAACATCTTGGCGCAACCGGAATCCCCCACCCTATTTTTATGACTGAACACTAATTAAAGTGATGATACATTTACGCGATAACGTGAACGCGTTCCTGGCACTTTATGTAAAGCGGTGAGTACCGTTATTAACTGCAATTACAGTTTAAGGCAACCCACAAACAACGATAAGATGTTGTAAATGTATATAGTATCTTTGATGACGTTATTCCCGGTGGTGATAAGTTGATAACGCACGCCGCCATACACACGTGCAGTTGCAGCCGTATGTGGTTTCCGCAGATGAGCAAAACGCTAATTTCTACTGAATCTACAAATTTATGTGTTTTGTACTTTAACTGCTAACTGAGCAGTTAGCAATAGGGCTAGTACTGCTATACTGGCATATGGCATTGGATTGATTGTTTTTCAGGTTTACTGGCGTTTTGCGCTGTTTATCTCCGAAATCAAGCTAACAAATCTCTCCAGATCGAAACTTTAAACCAAATCAGTAGAATTGCAGCTCGATTGTAATAAGTGCCTCCCTATAATGACCCAGACGCCCAAATACGGCATGATGGAACCGATACTCAGTGTTACAACGATTGCTGAGGTAACTAGGCATCAATGTTGCGGTGATAGTGGGGTCACTGGGGTAACTGGACTGGGGTACGCTATGTACATATTGCACAATCTGGAGCATTAAGAAAAACATTTCAGGTTGCGGTGTTAACATCATCATCATGGGTGCACGGGAAAAATCTCAGCATACTTTCCACCAAGAACAAGCTTCTTCTAACGATCCTCAGTCAAGGCGATACGTGGACGTGCCCATCGCTAACTGTGATTGACCTCACCGACTCAAAGCAGCCTTGTGTCAAAGAAACGACTATCTTCGAAAAACATATTTTAAATATACCCAATATTATACGATTTACTCTCAGTCCTGATGGGAGCTCCGGCCTTGCGCAAGGTATGCATTCGAATGCTTTTGAGGTTTCGGTAGAGCTTGGAGAGTAGAAAAACTTCTAGAGAAGTACATAAATTGCTTTAAACAATGCAAAAATTTCTGGTAAACCGTTACTTCTTGTTTTTTTCTGAACTTCTTAATTAACCGCTTGTTTTGTGTGGGTGAACGCACATCCATTTACTGTTGATTTACATATGTGTCGTATCACAGTAATATGCTATTGGACTATGAGATACAGTGAGTATCACTGTTCTTGCACTCCCGTAAAAGCGTGTGCTTTAATGAAAACTTTTATTTCGAAAATTCTGGATGCTGTAGACGGGGCAAATGTGGCATGGTTAGTTGGAAAGGATGGTGTCAATGGAACGAGAGTCAAACTGAACCAGGGTCAACCTGTTTGCTTCTCTCAATGGGTAGCTCCAAAAGGGATTGCACTGATATCCGACCGGGAAACCATCCGCGTGAACACGGATAACAAAGTTCTCTTGCAAAGAGAAAGGATAAACGATGTGTCGAAAGGTCAAACGATTACTGACTACCAGAGATCCCCACTGTTCTCCTGGTGCTTTGCTGCACTGGCTCAGTTAAATAATGTAAGGAGCCGTAGCACATACCGGTACTTTGCCGAAAAACTTGTATTCGTTTATGTTTTTCCTTCGGGACATTTAAAAATTATCATGGTAGAAAAAGATACATTCATTTGTAACTGCACATTGCAAATAATGGGCAAACTGAAACACTCGAAAGGCTGCATTTTGTCGATATCGATGCTCGTACCTAGATTCACCACCCAAAAGGATTTCTGGATATTCACACCGTCAACTATGGACAGTCGGCCCCGATCTTTATTGACGGTTTTGCTGGTGCATTTCTGCCTTCCGATGGTCGGGACTGGGAACAAGAAATCCTGGTTGCCGATGTTGACTGGCACGAAGACTGCCTGATTTTTAAAAACATAACACTAACCCATGAAGGCTTCCTGCCAAGGGGAGAAGATGTGTTTCCTATTAATATTTCGAACATACGAAGTACAAAGCTGACAAATGTAAACTGCACATTTACAACGGAAAACGACATTCCCATTGCGGTTAGGGTAAGGTCATATAATTATCATGCGCATTTAAACCAGAAGTTCCACAGGAACGGTGCTTATGTTCCATTTTTAAGTAAGTGGTCTAAACTCATAATTGTGTTCCCTAAAATGGCCGTTGAACAGCAACTCATTTAAAATTTTGTATTTTTAAGGCAGCTCGCTTTTTTATATGCTTTAATATTTTGACTATCAATTGGCCAAGATCAAAAGGTGGTCTGCAAACGTTGGCTGACACGATTAACCGGTCTAATTATTGAACAGAATTGTAAATAAAAAATTTTGAATAACCTCGTTTTTACAGTTTTTGATATCTGTTTAGGTGGACCACGATGCTGACAATATTTCACTTGCCGTTGTTGTGACCAAAAAGGGGTATCTCCATTTATTCGACTACCGCCTCATGTGTCATTTGGAGACAAAGAGAATTCTCACCGGTTTTACTACCGTCTGCGCTGTGGGACCCCTACGAAAGGAGACGCGACTGACCGTTGTCGATAGCGAAGGAAAAGTATTATTCCGCATGGATCGATTTCGTTCCAGATTTGTTGCTAAAGAAGCGTTAATCGTATCATCGTTCGGTTTTGATAACTAGGTGCAAGAAATTGAAATCTCCTTGGACAATATCGTGCCGGTGTTTGTAGCCAGAAATCTACCGAACGAAGCAGTAGTATACGCAGAGCTAATCGGTCGTCCGTTGAGGAATAACGCTTTCATGTCGGCATTCTTGGGCCTTGTGCGGCACGAGGCCCCAGATTTTTGTTTAATTCTTTCTTTCTGCTTACTGAACACCGACCATCTAACCAAACTTCAGGGTCAGGAAGTGCTCACTGAATGCTTTAGAGGTGCACTGAGACTTCCACAGTTCGAAACGCGTTTAATGCAACTGGCTTTCCTGTTATACGAGCGAGTAGGTTTGGAATGGGTGATTGCTCTATATGGGACTGGCTCGAACGATAAGGGTAAATCGAGCATGAATTTAAGTGTGCACGATTTGTGCCAGCACCTGTATATGTACTGCAGTTGCCTGTAAGGGTTTGCAGATAACGAACTCGAAGCCTATATGTAGCTGCAAAATCTGCTTGCGAAATCAGCATGAACAGTGCGTAATTTTGATAACACTATTAAGCTGTTTGTGGATTGAATTTGTTTTGTAGGACTGCTTATGCTACTAAAAGAAGTTCCACTTCCTGTAATGTCCCTAAGCATCCTTTGCAAGTATATCACAGTACGCATTTACAGTAAATCCTTTATTGCGCACTTGGTGCACAATAAAGACTAAAGGTAAGTATTTCGCAGCTCGCGGTGCAAAACGGAGATATGGGCAGTTTGATGTGGCATGAAGAAGTTGATTATGGTGATCGCATTCCACATGCGGAAAGTGTTGTTGACTTTCTGGTCTCCGGAAACTTACCAGCTCAGCTGATTGATCCTCTTCTTGAAAAGCTCTGTATCAGAGTAAAATGTCTTGACCGATTGGTTTCCTTTCGCATGGCCAAAGGCTTCCCTGTACAACTACGCTTCCTGCTTGAACAACTGGAGCTTACAGTACGACTAGTTTCGGTTTCCCCAGTTCTGTTTTTAACTTCCACTAAATTAATTTGGCAAACACAACAATGATTTTAGGACAAGAGAGCACAATTGCTCCGGATAATGACAAAAGTAGCGTTGCCTTTGCTGGACCGATTCACCGGTGATATTATGTTGCAGTTGGAACGACAGCTTGATCTTGACCTGAATTTGGAGCTTCTAAGAAGCATCTACAGAAACGTAGTGGTCGAGATGATTCGACAAGACAAACGGTATATTACAACGTTTCTACTTAAAATAAGTTAATCAAGTAAAAAGAGTGTTTTTATTATAGAACGGCGGCTGTTCGTTTCATGGGATATTTAGCCAAAAAAGGCATTCCTGACGCTTACATTTATACGTGTTTGATTACATACTACGCATCCAAAAATCGTTTATCTGAATTGAAAAGTTTGCTCAGGTGTGCATGGATTTTTTGGAATTTAATTCGTTGTAAGTTGTAACATACAGATGCATAAGCATAAATTTTGGATCCACTGATCATGCAAAGGTTAATTTATCGCTTAAATTTTATGAAGGGTTTTAATTTTTTTATGATAGAGATAACCAGTTCTACTCAGCGGCGGTAGTCGGTAAATGGTGTGAAGTGTCCAGCGATCCTAGAATTACACCACTGGCGCTATTTATATATGAGGAACGGGAGCTGGACGACGATTTCCTCCGTGTATGCTTAGTTTGGACTTTGGAACAACTTTAGTCCTGTATTGTTGTAGTTGAAAGCGTGAGACTAACTCTCGTCCCTTCAGGTCACGAACAAATTTGGCTATTTCCGGCAGCAGGCAGGTTATCTGCTAAAGCGTCACAGCGAAGTTCTTTGGCAAAGAGTGCTGGATGCAAACAGCAATCCTAAGCGCGCTAGCCTTGTGTATGCTATGTTATTTTTGGACGAAAATACAACAGCTTTCAATAATTTTGACCACATTGTGGTGCTGCTGACCGTTATTAGAAAAACCGATCTGATTTCACACACACAGCTGCTCATTCGGAAACTGTTAAGGAAAGGCTACAACAACGAGCAGGTCAGGTATGGCAAAACGTGTAAAATGTGTACAAGTCCAGACTGACCGTGTTAGTGTCCTTACAAAAACAATGAGATTATCTAACTCCAGTGAAGATTGTGTCCCGGTATTATACAGATTTCTACAGCGCTTTTCTGTCCAGTGTCTTGTGAATAGCCAACTACCGGAAGGCGAAATCGATAAGGAATACGGCGAACAGCTTAGCACGTACGATCCCTTGATAGTCGGAGCAGCGCTTGCAGAAGGGAGACTGCTTGAACTGGCCAAGAAAATGTTTGTACAAGGAAAGTGCTGGAGAGACGCAGTGCATGTGCAGGTTAATAAGTAGAAAACTATTCGTACTCGTCAAGGAGATCGTGATGGGATAATATTTCCCTTCCCTATAGTTATTACTTTGTAGTACTTTACGGCGACACTACTGGTAGCGTTTTGTAAAGAGAATATTCCTGGCAATTTCTGCACTGCGTGCATATGCAGGTGAGACTTGGGAGAGATATGATACTAGTTGACTTTTTGAGCAAAGATTGAGAAAGCCAGTTTTATCGTGGACGAAATGATGTTTTATTGTAAGCGTGTTACCTAACACAAAATGTATGCTGGTTTTGCTACTGATTTTGGTCAGCTGGTCTGCAGGTCTAGCGTCCAACGGACGAGAGTATAATGTTATACAAAGTAACATAGTTTACTGTACTCAAAACGTTTTTCGTACGTGCGTAATGCTTTTTTTATCAGATACAGCTATCGCAAAACAGCAAAGACTTCTTGACCGTTAAAGAATTAGCATGCACGAGCGGAGACCCGGGCTTATTGACCGAAGTTGGCAAGATCTGCTTAGACAACGGCGATTTGAATTACGCCATACAGTGCTTCCTGGATGCAAAATGTTTTCTCTATCATAACGAAATATGTTTGCTGGCGCAGAAAGACGATATCAACTGTATGTTGTTTCCCTGGAAATTCTTGTTCATAGATCTAGTTCGCAGATAACTAAATATTCTGTTGCAGGTGAATGGAATTTACTGATCCGTTTTCTGGAAAGCGCGCAACCTCCGGTAAAAAGTTCCTGCATTACTGTAACGCTGGCACTGGCATATGGAAGGGCACATCGTCTGGCAGATTTGAACAAACTCGGTTAGAATTTGCAAGTGTCACTTTTACAAGTGTCTGCCCATGACGACTGTTAACGTAGCAACGATTTCGTATGTGTATAGTAGCTGGAGGAACCGGATCGATAGGTTCTCCTGATGCAAACCTTTGCCGAATATGCGACGATAGTCCCAAACGAATAGTATTTGTGCCATGCGGTCACCTAGCCACCTGCGAAGAATGCTCCAAGAAGGTCGATTTGTGTCCAATTTGTCGCAGCCCGGTGCAGCAAAAGATCAAAACATACGACGCGTAACTCACAATTGCCTGTCTGTAAAATTCGAGCACCATGCACCAGAGTGTAATGTGTTCTAGCCTTTATCTGCATATTTCTTTAGCTACGAAGTATTTATCGAGGTTGTGCTGCTTCCATTCGGTACTTTCGCCATTGGGAATGTTCATTTGTTCAACCGAAACTACTTAGTAAATGCTGATATCTTGTTACCTCACCGCTGAATTAAAGAGAGGAATGTTTCGCAGCTTTAACCACTGATAAACATGAAAATACATCGCAAATGGAGAATACATAAAACAATGGGACTCTTTTAAAAGTTAAAGTTTTTGTGTTCATTTTATCTCAAACTGAAAAACCACATCAGCGGATAAAAAATCATTTGAGCTGAATACAATGTCGTTGTGATACTGAACACCGCACTCGAATCAGACGTCCAAATACACAATGGCAAACCAACAGACATCCGCCGAAAATTCAGCAGATCAGCACGCTAACCGACGTTATAGTCAGCACAATAAACGGCTCAACCCGTCTCGTTTTGATAACGCCCGTCATCGGTCTGGTTCTCCATGTCCCCGCTCTGGCCCGTTCTACAGCGGTCGTTCGGATATACTATAATTATACCAGGCGCGACCTACTGACCTACTTTTAAGCGTTTTATATCCAACTTTTCTTCCTGAATCCAAAAACGTTGGTCCCGACTGAGGAAACTCAAACCTTCCAGACTTACAGACAAAAACAGAAAACCCGGCGCAACTCACAAATACTGCGTACTCACTGTGTTATTACATACGCTAAACAGCGAAACACAAAAACTGAAACAAAATCGCTTTCAAAACAACCTAAGAAACCTGAGAAACCTAAGAAACGTAAGAATAACGTAAGAAACCTAAGAAACCTAAGAAACCTGAGAAACCTAAGAAACCTAAGAAACCTAAGAAACCTAAGAAACCTAAGAAACCTGAGAAACCTAAGAAACCTAAGAAACCTAAGAAACCTGAGAAACCTGAGAAACCTAAGAAACCTAAGAAACCTAAGAAACCTAAGAAACCTGAGAAACCTAAGAAACCTAAGAAACCCAAGAAACCTAAGAAACCTGAGAAACCTAAGAAACCTAAGAAACCCAAGAAACCTAAGAAACCTGAGAAACCTAAGAAACCTAAGAAACCTGAGAAACCCAAGAAACCTAAGAAACCTAAGAAACCTAAGAAACCTAAGAAACCTGAGGAATCTAAAAAACGTAAGAATAACCTAGGAAACCTATGAAACCTGAGAAACCTAAGAAACCTGAGAAACCTAAGAAACCTGAGAAACCTAAGAAACCTGAGAAACCTAAGAAACCTAAGAAACCTAAGAAACCTAAGAAACCTAAGAAACCTAAGAAACCTAAGAAACCTAAGAAACCTAAGAAACTTAAGAAACCTAAGAAACCTAAGAAACCTAAGAAACCTAAGAAACCTAAGAATAACCTAAGAAACCAAAGAACATTAAAAAGTTAAAAGAAATCTACGAGTTAGAAATAAAACAAAATTAAAGCTGGTGCGGTCTAGCTAACCATACCTCGAACGACAGCTACTGGCTGCTACACCAAACGCATGGACAGACTTGCTTGAGTGCACTGCCAGAGCATAACATTGCTTGTTTTGCATTTTCTGAAAACTTTTTTTTCAAGAGTTACTTTGGGTTTTCCTCACTCAAAACACATATAAATATAGTTAAAAAACATTTCTATGCGTGTTTCAATCAAAAACGGTCAAATCGGCTGCGCCCGGTAAAATACGATATCATCGTGCGCTCATACAGTTTTGGCTGAACCCATGATTTCCCGCGTCGTAGCAGATGACTTCGCATTGTCTTTGCCGGCGACGGGTGGGGGGATCAGGTAGGTAGCAGTACGCCCCTAGTAGCGGGATGAGGGGATCAGACGGTGTAGTACGAAATCCGTCCGGTTCCAGTGTATCATCGAGCCAGTAATTGGTTGACAGCCGCTCCGGTGGATTGTCGTAACCGAATTCAGCGAGGAACGCCGAAAAGGGTACCAGATGAAAGGAACCAATCATAGTCACACACGCTAAAACTGTTAGCTTTTTATGATGATGCTGCCCGTGCGACATGGGGTATTTCATGGTCCATAGGCGGTTTACAGAAGCAGTACATGGGCCAGAACGGGAATGATGGTGATGACATTTTGGAAATATACAAAATACAGATACATAAACGATGCACATTTACATTTATGTAACTTGCTGATGGAATCGGCTGATGTGAATATTTTATGGATATTAAAGTGTAACATACCACGAGTAGTAAGTTTTCAATCAAACTTTTAACTAGGTCACACTTCACCGCTGTTGGCTGGCACTAAAAGACAGAAGCAAAGCGGGAAACCAAATTCCAGCAACCGTTTGCCAAAATTCTTATTTGATGTTCCGCTTTGTTTCAAATCGTAAGGGAATGGTTACACAGACATGATTTTGTAGGAAATGCTGATTTTGTAGGAAATGCTGATTTTGTAGGAAATGCTACAGCGCACTTCGCACTTCGGAGGTCAGCTGGTAAAAGATGTCGGCAAGCACAGGTGTACCAAAGGGAACAACGCTACAAATCCAGAAACCGGTTCGACAGGCTCAGGGCGCTTCTGCTTATGCTAACTCTAAATTTTGCACGCAACCGGCTCATCTAGCATTGTCACATCTGTACGTACCACTACCCACTGTTCACTATGTTGGCCTGCCTGCTACTAACTGAAAGTGATTTGAAACAGTAGAACTCGCAAACGCAAATTGTGCTGATGCTGCCAAGTGTTGTACTGAGTTGTACGAAAAACGCGATTGCACATTTCAAATGGCCAAAATGCGATTACCAATATGGAAGGTAAACTAACTTAACTAAGTAACTATTTATGTCTAACGATTAATGGTTAACCGCCTTTACGCATGGTGATGTCGTTCCATTATATGTCTGCGTGTCACAATTTTGTCTTTTTCTGAAATGAAAAGATTTAAAAAACATAACCATACGAGTGTTATTAATTCATTTATTTACATTATGTAAATCAGAGCATTAAATTTAAAGGGAAGAGACGCTTTTATTAATTGTCCCAACACCTACAATAGAGTACTGGATACCGGGTAGTGTTTTTTGGCAATCTAGGCGAAATATGTTGCCGGTTGGCAGAAATAAATAATATCAAAAGAAATCGAAAACGATAAGCTACGTTTAGCATTATTTTCGAGAATCGGTCGATTGTCCATAGCCAGTTAAACAACACTTCCGCTGTACGCATACTTGTGGCCGTATGTCATTTATCCCAGAAAAGCAAATGCAAAATGCTAACCGCTGCGGAATAACTGCAGTTTTGTGCCTTGCATTTGCGTGTGTTGCACTTGACTAAGCTTCTTCGTTACCGTCCCAGTGCGCAGCTAACGTTGATTGTATGGCTTGGGTGTTTGCTAACGCTTCTCTTTTCACGAGTACTATAACCTTTTTGTTGTAGCATAGCTTGCCCATTAGCCCAATCCAGCCAATGAAAGCGACTTCCAGATCGGGACGTAAACGAGTACCAGCGCCTAACAGAATTGTACCGTAACTGGATTATACGAATTATCTTTCACCACGAGGCAACAGCATGGCCGAGCCGATACTTAGCGCTACAATAATTACAGAGGTAAGTGATGAGTATTAATTCGCTGGGGCAAAATGCGCCCTCTTTCAGAATCCCGACTCTTCGAGTCTAGAGTAAGTATTTGTATCCACCTTTCAGGTTGCGACATTAACCTCGGCAACATGGATGTGTGGGAAAAACGCCAATATAGTGTCTACCAAGGACAAGCTCCTTCTAACTATATTCAGTCATGATGACACATGGACAAATCCGTCCTTAACTATCATTGACCTCACCGATTCAAAGCAGCCTCGTGTAAAAGAGACGACTGTCTTCCAAGGACATGTTATGGATATACAGAATATTAAACTGTTTGCTTTGAGTCCTGATGAGCGCTTTGGACTTGTGCAAGGTAAGCATTATTATCGTGCCCAGTAAGCAAAAATTTATGTATTCTTCTTTCTCTCTGGGATGCCGTTCTGCTTTTTTTGTATTTCTAAAGCATCAGTTTCTAAAGTTCTAAAGTATTTCTAAAGTTTCTTTTTTTGTATTTCTAAAGTAAAGTAAAGTATCAGTTTTGTATTTCTAAAGTTTTTTGTATTTCTAAAGTATCAGTTTCCGTGAATGAGAGAATAAACGGCAGCAGACCTTATAATTATTATCATTTCAAATTTCCGACTATCAGTTGCATTGTTTTCTCACAGTTCTTTTATAACGTGCGCTTTAATAATCGACCGAAGCGAAGCGAAGGTCCTCTATGTTCAGGATAACAGGAATTTTTGTCGGTCATGTCGGTCACGCAATAATCTGTCCGTCGGTCACGCTGCTCACGCATTATGTAATAGCAGAAACCCTATCCCGGTTCTACGGCAAGCAATTTTTTGACGTGCTTTAGACATCGTCTGAGCACAACACGCCGTCTTTAGAACGGCATGTTTCAGTATACTTATGGAGCCCCTTTATATGTACATTTTCACGTCTAAAATACTTCGTCCACGGAACTATATTATGGCTTTTGAAACTCAAAAACACCCATCCAAAGACATCTTTTGGATGAAGAACACATGGGCGCTTTTTCTCCAATAGAACCGGGTATATTATTATTCCAGAGCATAGTGTGAGGTTATATAGGGGGCAAAACCGTCTTAGTGGAGCCGGTTTACGGCGCTGCTGCCGTCACCAGGCTGGAATGTGACGTTACGGCAACACATAATAATTACGGCTAAATCGGGCGCGGTACATAACACCATGTTTAGCCACAACGTAAGTATCTCCAGCCGGGTGACGGCAGCAGTGCAGGAGACGGTTCGGGTAGACTGGTTTTGCCCCGATATTATGGGAATGCCTGTGTGTTTTCACTGCTGTGTATTTAATAAAACAAATCGGCATTGTAAAAATTTCAAATTTGTTGAATTTTGTCAACGTGCAAAACCGGTTTCTTTAACATTGCAGACGGTCCGATTCCAGTGCTTCGTGTTTTTCCTTTATGAAAATCGTAGTAAGTTATTGATTTTGCTTATTGGTTGTTTTCCTTTAGTGATTTTATTTAGTGCCTTTTATGCGAAATGAATCAATGAGTAAATTCTTTATTTAATAATTTTTTGGAGCAGCAACGTTTTTATTAGGGCCCGCAGTGGGGTACTAATGTACCCCAACGAGCATAATTTTTGTTTGGCTTGGCCAGTTGCTGTTGACCTACACATAGCTATAGTTTTGCAAATCTTTCCGTGTAATCACATGTTGCCGAAGTTAGCATCCAGGTTTTGAATAAGTTTGTTGAGCGACGAAATCTGATGAAAACGTGGGTCAGCAATACTGAATGAATGTCGGGTGGAAAGTGGGAAGGAGAGAATTTTGGTACCAAAAAAGTGTTTGGGAATACTGTAAGTTAAACAAAGTGTTTTGTGTACAAAATTTGGTACCAGGGACCGACATACTTCCCTCAAATGGGTCAATATGTATTTTTAAGGGCGGAATAAGATTTATGGTTGTAAAAAGTACTCGTTGTACTCCTTAGTTAAGTAATTCGTATGCATTTCTGTATACTCCTTATGAAGAAATACAGTAATTATTGTTTTTAAACTAACACAACTTGATAATTTTTCTCTGCTTGTGCTAGCTCTACACGTGGACGTGCTTTATCTGTGGAATTTTTGTCAATCTTCTTCCCTAAAATGCTCTACTGTAAACTTTCGTTCTGAGGTTGTTGGCAAATCATTCAAACTGCATAATATAGGCAGCAGATTTTAATGTTGACTAGAAATATGTGAATTCAAAATTGGACGAAAATTCGTAATACAGGAAAAGATTTTGTTCAGAATGGACCATCTTACGGAAATTTCTGGCTTCGCTTCGGTCTTTTAGTGCTAGCCTGCAGCGGTGCACTTCCCTAGTTACCAGTGTTTGAATGCTTCAGACGGGGCAAATGTAGCATGGTTAGTTGGAAGGGATGAAAAGCATGGAGAAAAAATCAAACTGAATGAAGGCCGTCCAGCTTGTTTTGCTCAGTGGATAACTCCCAGCTTTTACGGGATTGCGCTGATATCCGACAGCGAAACCATCCATGTAAACGCGCTAAACGAAGTTTATTTCCAAAATGAAAGGATAAGCGAAGTGTCCAAAGGTCTGCCAGTTACTGACTGGCAGAAATCTTCTGGTGGCGCCTGGTGCTTTATTGCACTGTTTCAAACTGATGTGAGTATCAGTAACACATATTTTTAGCAGCAAATAACAAATTTATGCTTGCTTCTGCACAGTCATACGATATATGTACATTGTTCACTGACACTTTGGCATTATGTTTTTATGCTGAAAATGGGAAAAGAAACTGAGGTCAAGGCAGTATTCATAGATACAGTGCTCACTGTGTTAGAGAAGTGCAGGCAGTTTAGAGGTTCGGGCTTCAGATACGTAGTTCCAGCTTCCAGGTTGCGCGGTTCAAGCAGGTGTAGTAGAAGCGGAAACAACAATCCGAAAATTGAGATCATTTCAGTCCGTTTGTGACAAATTTCAGCCCAGAGTTTTCAAAACCCTAACAAATTAAGATACTTATTGCTCCTCATAGATTAACCGGCCGAAAGGATTTTTGGAAATTTATTGCCCCATAATCAAAAAAACGAGAACGATGTTTATTGATGGTTTTGCTGGTACATTCGTGTCTTCCGATTGTGACCTTTATCACGTAACGTTCATGGAGGGAACACAAGAGATCCTGGTTGCCGATGTAGACTGGCAGGAAGACTGCCTGATTTTCAAACGCATCACTCTAGAGCACCCAGACATATACGGGAAGGGAATGTGTGTTTACTGCTAAAATCACGGATGCACAAATCTGTCGGATCCCGAAGCTAACCGATGCGCAGCAGCCATACTGCACCTTTACAACGGAAAAGGATGTGCCCATTGCCGTTAGGGTAAGGTCATGAGCGTATTTTGGACGAATCTGATGAGCCAAAGGAAGAGTTCTTAAATATTATTGAAAGCTCCGAATGTTCACACATATGCTTCTCAAATTTTTAAATTTCTTTGGACGGTAAATGATTTGAGCTACATATACAGTAACAAGGTAACGAACTTCTTTACGAATATTTGGGTTTTACTTACAAACTGGAGATTTAATCATTATTCTGTAAGAATTATGATCTGTTTCTTAAACTTTCGCGGCATCAGTTCTTCAGCGCAATCAAAGCTATTTATTGTCGAACAGAATCGTTGTCTAGAGAAACGAACAATCCTGTGTCCCCATTTTTTTGTCCGCTTAGGTGAAAGACGATGCAAAAACTGACCGTATTGCAGTGGTTGTGACCAAAACCGGGTATCTTCATGTGTTCGACTACCGTAGCATGTGCCATTTGGAGTCGAAGCGAATTCTAACCGGTGTCACTACCGTTTCCGTTGTGGGACCTTTACAAAAAGGGATGACACTGGTTATTGTGGATAGTGAAGGAAAAGTAAACATTCGGATGCGTCGTTGTGTAGCATTTTTATTCGCTAAAAAAACCGCTCGTACGACCACTCCGTTTCGATATAGGTGTGGGAAGCTGGAGTCTCCCTGGAAAACGTCGTACCGGTGTTAATCGCAAGAAATTTACCCGGCGAAGCAGCTACATACGCATTGCTGATTCAGCGTCCGTTGAAGAACGATGTTTTCATGTCCGTATTCTTGGGCCTTTTGCGTCATGATACCCCCGATTTTGGCGTAGTTCTTCCCTTATGTTTACTGAATACCGGCCATTTGACAATGGTGCAGGGCCAGAATGTACTCACAAAGTGCTTTAAAGGCTCACTGGGACTGCGGCAGTTTGAAGCGCCTCTAACACAACTTGTTCTCCTACTGCATGTGCGAGTCAGTTTGGAATGGGTGATTACTCTATATGGTCCGGCGGGTACCCATGATAAAAGTAAGACGAGTGGTCTAAGTACTAGAGCAGGGATAACGAGAGAATCCACTCTTTTTTTGGGTAAAACCGAGTTACCCCCGTAACATGAGTTTATCACTGCTTACCACAAATTTGTAAAAATAATAAAATGATAAAACGAGAATCCAAGCCACAAAAGTTGGACTATTAAATGGATAAATTATAATACGGTAGCAGCGTACGTACGTTATCACGCAGCCAACGCCAAAGGGTAACTCGATTTTAATCAAAACAGGGTGAGTGCAGCCGTTATCCCCGCCTTTGTACGTAATAAAACGGTGTAACCGTGTGCATTTACGAACATGCTTTGACTCTTATCAGGGTTTTCATAATTAAATAATTTAATTTTTCATCCAGGAAAGCTTACAAAACTCCCTATGTACTGTACCTGTACAGATATGTCAGCTCTAAATATAGCTAGACATATCTGTACAAACTGCTGGAAAACCAAAAACAGCCCATCCAGGTTTACTATATGAGATCTACGAATTTGAAATATCTGCACACAGAAGCAACGTAACTTTCCTAACCTTCAAATGGCTCACCGACATTTCGTCGACTAACACTTCGTCGACCGACAAAATGTCGACACACTACGTCGACCAGGGGCGGAGACTAAAAAAAACTGAAATGGTTTAGCTAAACAATAGTTCGACGGTCGATATCTTGTCGATTCGACGAAGTGACGATCGACGAATTTTGAAATTTTCGCCGAAGAAATGGCGGGACATCCTTCAAATTGTTCGTGTTTTGACACTCTGTTTAGGACTATTATTATTGCTAAACGCAATTCCACTCCATGCGATGCCCGTACGCGTCCTCCGCAGATTTATCGCAGTACGTGTAATAAAGCAACTGCTTGTCCATAGAGAACCACTAGCCTTTTTGTAGAATTGTATTCATTAGCTCGCGGTGCAAAATGGAGATGTGGAGAGCCTGATGCGACATGAAGAAACTGTTGGTATTCCACATGTGGAAAATGTTGTGGGCTTTCTGGTGCAAGGAAACTTCCCACCACTCTCGATTAATCCTCTTCTTGAAAAGCTCTGTATGAGAGGAAAATGTCTACAATACACCGGTTATTTTCCTTCCGCACTGTTAATGGTCTTCCTGTGCAACTGCGCTTTCTGCTTCAACAACTAGAATTTACGGTACGACTACAGTTTTCGTTAAAACTTTCTCTGAATCTGCCTTTGAACTTGCTTAATTTCACACTTGCAACAATAATTCAGGAACAAAAAGCGCAAATTCTTTCAACAATGACAAACGTACTGATACCTTTGATTGTCCGAAACCCCTACAAGTTGAAAATGGTACGACAGCTAGATCGTGACCTGAGTGTAGCGCTTCTGGGAAGCATTCACGGTGACGTTATGGCGGAGCTTGATCGACAAGGAAACCGGTACATTTCGAAGTTTCCTTTACCAGAATTTTAACCTTATGAAGAACTGTGCATATTTATTACAGAATGGCAACAGCACACTTCATGGAATATCTGGCCGGAAAAGGCATCACTGATTCATGCATCTATACTTGGTTGATTAGTTATTATGCATCAGAAAATCGTTTACGTGAGCTAACGATTTTCCTGAGGTTTGTGTAAACGTTTAACCGGCATCTTTGGTATTACGTATGTCAAACACATGCTCTATAAACTATCAGCATACACGTGAATCTTCAAATATTCTAGTTGGATAAATTTGAGATTTCTTCGACAGAAATAACCATTTGTACTCCGCTGCGACAATTGGCAAATGGTGTGAAGAGTGCAGCGATCCCAGAATCACGCCAGTAGCTCTGATTACATATGAAGAACGGAAGCTTGACGGGGACTATATCCGGGTACATTCGTTTTGGAGCATTTGAGTATGATTTCGTTTTAGAAACGTGAGATCTACTGTTGTCCTTTCAGGTATCGAATAAGTTTGGCTACTTCCTGGAGCAAGCGCGTTACCTGCTAAAGCGCCGCAGCAAAAACCTTTGGCAAAGGGTGCTGGATCGCAGCAATCCTAAGCGCGACAGCCTTGTGCGAGCCCTGTTGCATCTACAAGTCCAAGATACACCTGTCAGCAATTTTGCACACATTACGATGCTCCTCACCGTGATGGGGAACACGGATCTTATTTCACAAACGCAAGCGATTATCCACAATCTGCTAAAGAGAAGTCTCAGATGCAATAATGACCAGATTAAGTACAGTAAACTGTCGGCCCATATCCGCACAATAACACTAAGAAACTAAAAGCAGTTCCAATTAAGATGTACAACGTTACGTATCGATGTTATGTATGTAGATCTCTACAGCGCTTTTCTGTCCAGTGTCTGGTCAACAGCCAACTGCTAGAGAACGAGATCGATCAGACTTACGGCGATCAGCTGAGCACATACGATCCCACAATAACCGGAGCAGTTTTTGTTGAAGGAAAAATGTTGGAATTGGCAAAGAAAATGTTTGTCCAAGGAAAGTACTGGAGGGACGCCGTACATGTGCAGGTTAGTGAGCGCAAACTATCTGTTAAACAGTGCCACCTCGCAGGGTATTTTTGGTATTTATACTAATATTAATACGTATTTAGAACTATTCGTACATTTGTGCTTACGTACGTATCTGTTCGTAATGCTTTTGCCATCTGTTATTTTAAGTAGCGTGCATCAGCGCCAGAATACTTATGCATGTGTGTTGGCTTTTGCTAAATAAGAAGAAAAACTTTTGCGCATTAGGTACAGCTGTCGCAAGGGAGCCAAGACTTCCTTGCTGTGAAAGAATTAGCAATCATGAGCGGAGATCCCGGCTTACTGGCTGAAGTTGGCAAGATCTGCTTGGACAACGGTCAACTGAATTATGCCATACAGTGCTTCTTAGATTCGAAATGCTTCACCTATCAAGAAGAAATATGCTTATTAGCACAAAAGGACGATGCAAATTGTAAGTGATTTCATTGGAAATTCCTTTTTGAATAGAGTAAACTGTCTATTTGCTGCAGGTGAATGGAATTTACTGATCCGTTTTTTGGAAGGCGCGCAACCTATAAAAAAGAGCGGCTGTATTATGGTTACGCTGGCGTTGGCGTATGGAAGGGCACATCGTCTGGCGGACTTGGACAAACTCTGTAAGTTTCACTTTTACATGGACGTGTAATGTACATTTAAAAGCGACACGTAACGAGTTTGTTCAAGTTTTTTGTTTGTTTGTATGTGTACATAACGACTTTGTATTGATGATGTATCAACAATTTCGTCTATAAATAGTGACTGGAGGGACCGGATCAGCGGCTTCTCCTGATGCTGATGCTAACCTTTGTCGAATATGCGTTGATAGCCCGAAACAGAATGGTATTTGTGCCATGCGGTCACCTAGCCACCTGTGAAGAATGTTCCAGGAATGTCGATTTGTGTCCAATTTGTCGCAGCCCAGTGCAGCAAAAGATCAAAACATACGACGCGTGAATTGACATAATTAAGTATGTGTGATTTTTGAGTTTACAATCTTTACATTCGTCTGTAAAATCGAAGCCATTAGATCTGTAACGGTCTGTGACCTGCAAGTTTCGTAGCTTTATAAAATTATAAACTTGGCGAAATTAAGTCGTATCTGGAACCAAAATAGTGAAGCTGTTAAGAAAATAATGTTCTGCGTTCATTTTATCGCAAACTGAAATACCACATCAGCGAAACAAAAATCCAAAAAAGTGATTCGTAGACAGGTGTACCGAGTCCTGCCGGGAAGATGATCGTCCTTCCTTCACCTTTATACATGTGGTTCACGCGAAAGTCCCAAAAAAGGTCAACTCTCGCTTCTTCCCACATTTCTCCTTCTTCGTTCATCTCTTCTATCTCTCTTTCAAATCTCCTTTCTGTTGCTACCGGATCAAGAGGATCTTGGATTCCTTTCTCGACACGTTGCAACCAATGGTTTAGCCATCTTCCTCTTCCGATGATGAAGCTCTTCACGCATGATAGCCAAGTCCGGTATCTGTTACAGTGGTACCGTTCGATGTGTGGTTTCCACATTTCGTTTGTCCGCATGATACTTTGTAGTTTCTTTTGGGCATGACCTTTAAGGTCTGCTATTGCGGCATTACATTTCGGCCATTGTGAAAGGTCATCTTGGGAGGTATTTTCGCAACATTCTGCACATTCCCATTGTGGTTGTATTCTGCACGGGTCCTCGAAGTAGCCGTGGTGACAACTCCTGGCTCGTTCGTCTAAAGTTAATGTCCGTTGACTCGTTTGCGGATTAACATCTTCCCGTGCTGTGGCTTCTTGTTCACATTCGATTGGGGTCACGCTTATGTCCTCAGAGGATATTTCGATAACCTCTGGTTCTTTTTCTGTTCGGTGACCTTTCAATTGTTCGAGTGCCTTGTTGCGGATTTCACTTGTAAACATCTGTTCCTCTTCAGCTATTCGTTTCAAAACCCGTAACCTTTCACTCTTTTTATCCTTCCCCACTTTAGCCGTCTTTATTTCCAGTGCCTCTGGTACTGGGATAGGCCTTGCCCAATCCATGCCAGGCACGAGCGATTGTTTCGCTGCAGCTGTCGCTTCTTTCTGTGTGGCAGCTATCTCTTCAAGTGTTGGTGACCTTTCGTCATTGATAGCAGAGTGTGGTTCGAAAAAGGGTTCCTTTTGAAGATCACGTTCTGTTATTTCTTCTTTGGCTTTATCTGGTGACCTTTCATTTTGGGTAGCAGATCGAGGTTCGAAGAAATTCGGAGTACACTCTGGTACTTTTATCGCCGGTGACCTTTCATCTTCCTTTCCCAGTGCCTCTGGTACTGGGATAACTTTTTCGACACAATCTTTTTCTGTGGCTCCTTGCTTACAGTCATCTGCGATCATACTTCTCCCGTTCGGGAGAAATATGATCGCCTCATCCATGTCTGGCGCAAGCGGCTCCTTTTTCCTTCCGTTGACTTTTGCACTTTCACTTTTCTTCTCCGGTGCCTCTGGTACCGGGATTATCCGTTGGCTGATCTCGTTCTGCTGCACGCTCGTTATTCCCGGTGCCTCTAGTACTGGGATGACCTTTCCTCTTCCCTTTTGTGGCAGCATTGTCCGGTTCAGTGTGTTTTCAATTTCCTGCTGGATCACTTTCAACTGCTCAAATGTTGACAATTCTTTTTGCACCATCTTTTTATTTTCATTTCCCGGTGCCTCTGGTACTGGGATTAGCGTTTTATTATCCGTTTGAGCATTTCCCGTCTGTTTTACAAGTTCGGTGACCTTTCCGACTTGAACTTCGGCGACTGGTTTTGGGTCCTCTTCTTTCTCTTCTTCGCCTTCGTTATCCATTAGTACGAACTTCTTCTCTAAGAAGTCGAATCCCAATAACACCTGTACGTCGTCACACTTCGGTCGGACGTAAAAGGAATGTTCGCTAGTCTTCTTCCTTAAGGTCACCGGTGCTACACAGTAGTGCGTCACCATGAATCCTGACGTTCCACTAATTCCATTTATTCTCACCAGTCTGTCTGGTGGTAGTGGGAGCATATGAAGTCCATTCTTCTCACAAAACGGTTTGCTGATCAGCGACGTCTCAGCGTCGGTGTCCAACATTGCGTTGACTTTATGTCTCCCACTTTCACTTCGTGAGTGTATGCTTCAATTCTCTTGGGCAATTTTCCATTTTGAATCTTCAAGGTGTGAATCTTACATTTCACAGGGATGAGCGATACTGGTTCCGGGTCCATATCGGGAAGCACTTGTCCTTTTGCTGGAGCGCTATGACCTTTCAGTATTTCGCTCAGCTTATCAATCCTGTGTGGAACGTTAGTCCGAACATCGTAATATTTTCGCGGCTTTTCTTTATTTGTTTGCTTCTCTGTATCCATTTTACCGCTAATGACCTTTTCCACATTCTGCACTTGCTCATTAGCTTTTGTGCTGTGCATGTGACCTTTAGTCACTTCATTTATCGTTTGATGGATCAGTTCCTCTTTGCGGTTTTCATTTCGCTTATCTCGTAGCTTCTCAATGACCTCACTTGTTATTTGGTCCGCTCGCTTCAATTCGTCTTCTTCACTATCTTTCATCTCATCTGGTGACCTTTTATATGTAATCATATCATATCCTTTTTCGGTCATCCATTCGATCACCTTCGCGGACACTTCATTGTTCGTTTTCGTCTGATCAATTTGTGTAACATTCCGTCTGTTCGGGCTGGTGACTTGTCGTTAGCGTCCTTCTGTAGTGCTTGTGATAAGTCCCGTGACCTTTCAACTGCGCTACTCTGTTGCGTTTGCGCCATCTCATTTGATCGTCCTTTTTGTTCGTTTTGCGCTAAGTCCTGTGACCTTTCGTTGCGCTTCATGACAAATCCGCCGCCCGTCAACTTTTGTATGGGGACTTTTTCTCCATAATTCGGCGGTTTATCCTGTGGTGGAGCGTTACGTGAATAATTCCAGTCAGTAAATGTCTTCTTATATTCTTCTGGATTGAATACTGGGACTGGGTTCGGTGACCCTTGGGCTGGTTTCCCGGTAACCAACTCTTCTAATCGCTTTCTTTCGCATTGCGTTCGCAACTGTTGCATGTTCCAGTAATCCTCTTGCGACATTCTCGTTTTCTGCTTCGCTTTCGGCGTTACGGGTATCCACATCCCGTGATTCCCATTCGGTCTGTGGGCCACTTTTTGCCACTTTTCCTTCTGTTGCAGGGTTGCTGCATCAACAAGTGAGTCATCGGAGTCCTGTTGTGCCGGTTCGTTATTCTGTTGCTCCGCTGTTCGCAGTGTCAAGTCTGTTTCTTGACCTTTTAGCACGGCGCTTTCACCGTGACTTTTAACATTCATACCCACTCCTTGACCTTTCACTTGGACTTTTCCAACAGAAGGTGACCTTTCATCTTTACTGTTAGTGATATTCTGCTCCATCCATTTTTGCCTTATCAACTTCTCTTCTTCGTCCTCTGAACAATTCCAGAACTTTGGCTTTATCTTCCCGTGACAGTCACAACATGGCTCATTCGCTTTGTCGTTTTCCGCCAAGTATTTCCGGAATTTCTCGTGTTGCTCATTTTCTTCTTGCGCAGTATCGTTCTGCGGTTTCTTCTGATTCAGCAGCGCCTGTTTAATCTTTGCGTTCCGTTGTGCGCGTCGTTGCGCTAACACGCTGCAGTACGGTGACCTTTCATTTTGCTGCACTTTTTGCAGTGTCGCGCTACCGTCACGACAATTTCCACTCGCAGTACCATTCTCCGGTGACCTTTTATCCACTTGAGCGTTTCCACTCGCAGTGCCATTCTGCGGTGACCTTTGATTCTGTGACGGTATCCTTATAACCGTTCCATTTCCTTTTTGCGATGACGGCATCCATATAGCCGTTTCTCTTTGCTGTGGCGGCATCCATCTAGCCGTTTCCTGTGGTTGCGGCATCCATATAGCCGGTCCACTTTGCTTTTTCGCTGACAGTATCCATATAGCCGTTGCGGTGGTCACATTCACTGCAGTACCATTCTGCAGTGGTGACCTTTCCCTTTTATCCGGTGGTTTAGGGTCGGGTCGATCAGTAGGCTCACCGGTGCCTACTGATCTTGCCCGTTTCCCTGAACCGGCGCACCACCTTGTTGCGCGCCTTGCACATTTCCTTGTTGTTGTCCGATATTATTTGCCGGGTTAGGATTCTGTCCATTTCCATTATTGCCGCCATTATTGTATTGACCACCACTCTGTTGATAGTTTCCTTGGCCTCCTCCATTGTTCTGGCCTCCTCTAAAATTTCCTCGGCCGAAGCCTCTGCCCCTTCCTCTGAAGCCGCCGCGGCCGAAGCCACCGCCGCGATAGCCGCCGCCTTGGCCACCGTTTCCATTTCCATAATTACCGTTTCCATTTCCTTGCTGATTCTGGAAGTTCGCTTTCGCCTGATACCATTGTGTAATCAGGTCATATCCGTTATCCACCGCTTGACGCCATCCGCCCGTTGCGCGAAGCCGTTGCCACTCTCTGAAGGCAAACAGATTCGGGTTCTGTTCCGGTAGTGTGTTGGCGAACTTGCATCCTTGTGTCTGATGATTGCCATACATACAGTACTGGCACATCTGCACATTGTTCGCCACCCATCCGTCAATCATCTGAAACTTAAATTCCGTTCGTGACCCTTGGTTCTGCTGGTAGTTCTGGTTTCCTCTATTTGGCTGAAAGTTGCCTTGACCTTGACCTTGGTTCTGGAAGTTTCCTTGACCTCCATTCCAATTCCCATTTCCATATCCGTTTCCGCCGAAGTTTCCGTTACCCCCTCCTTGTTGTGGTAATACGGCATTCATAGGGGTCATATTCTGTGGTACCGGTGGGGCTACATTCTGGGGAGCCACGTTCTGGGCTACTGGTCTCACTTGAGCTGCTGCCTGTATCGCCGCCACCATCGCATATGTTATCGGTTGCCCCGTCTGACTGTCAATAAAGGTCACCTTTTCTGTGACCTCTCTGACCGGGGTCTCCACACGGTATTCCACTGGTTGTTGGACTGGTGCAGCCGCCATCCTCTGTTGCGGTACATTTTCAACCTGGCCTTGGCGGATGGTCACGTATTCCTGGTTACGTTGACCTTTTGGCGCCTTATACTTTTCTTTGCCCGTTGCCCAATGTCGGAAGAAGTCTTTCACGTCCGTTGGCGTCTTGCACTTCTGTATACGCAATGCCTTGTAGAGTTCGTTATCCACTCTGCATCCTTCAATTAAGAAACCCACTGCTTGTTTTTCCGTAATAATCCGTTTTGCTTTAAACCGCATCATCGCCTGGTAATACTGGTCAAGCGATTCCTTTCCGAGTTCGAATTTCCTCGCATAGGCCTCACGTAAGCCTAAGACTTCTTCGTCTCTGTCGCCGTATTCATCTTTGAATTTATCCATCCATTCAGTTATGGAGTATTCGATTCCGTCTTCTGCTGCAATGTCCTTTTCTCCTTCGAACCAGGTTTTTGCAGGACCTTTCACTGCACTGGCTATCTCGATCATGATTTGGTCGTCTGTGAGCTGGTAAGTCCTTTGAGTTTCTTTTACCAGTCGTGTCCATCCACTGACAGTATCACGACTGCCATCAAAGGTCATGAGGGGCGTTTTCCGAGCCATCGAGTTGAGCGCTTTTGTCAGTTGCTCTGCTGTCCTTTCTGCTCTAAGATCATCCTCTTCTTCGCTACTTTCGTTATCGTTTTGATTTCGTTTCGCCTTTCCATAACGGGATTTCCCTGGACGCTCCTGCCGGCTGGAGGGTCTGTCCCGTCGCCCTTCATCGATGAACACATTTGTTTCAAAGTGCGGGGGAAATTGTGAAGGGTCACCTCGACTCATATGCGGGTGACTTTCCGAGGGTGGCTCTTTGTCGTCTTTGACCTTTTCGCCATCTCGTTCCGTTTTCACGCTTCCTTTACCGGTACCAGTTCGTAATGGCATATCAAAATGGAAGCTTTTGCCCGTGCCCGTTTCATGCGCCTTGCTGTAACTGGGCGGCGGTGATTCCACTGTTGTTGTCCTGACTCCATATTGTAGCAGCTGTTCATCTTTATGTTTGTTCGACATGTTGAGCGCCTTGTTTTCATCTTCAAGGCGTCGGACTTTCAACTGGAATTCCTCTTTTTCCGTTTTCAAATTCTGATTCTCCTCGTTGACCTTTAGCATGTGCTGATGGAGTTGGAAGGTCTTCTCCTGGATGACCTTTTCAGTGTCATTCTCCACCTTTTTAATGTGTTCCACCAACTGGGTCACATCCCTTTCCAACGTCATGTATTGCTCGGCTGCTGCTTTCAGCTGATTCTTGCTTGCAATCAACTCATCATCTTTCGCCAGTGCTGTAGTGGTCATCTCGACGAGGTCAGTGTTCAGCTTTGCAATTTCCTGACTCTTTTGAGCGACCTGTTGTTGCCACTCTTTGTCCTTTAGCTCCAATGTTGTGACCATTGTGTCCAGTCGCCGTGCTTCCTTCTGCCATTTAAGTCCTTCCTTAGTGACCTTTTCAATGTCTTCCGTGACCTTTTCGTTCTCCTGGTTGACCTTTTTAATTTCTTCTTTCAGGCGTTCTCCTTCGGTGGCTGTGATGTCTTTTGCCTCTCGCATCGCCTTGATTGCCTCATTGCGCAACTTTTCAGCTTCGTCAGCCCGTTCCTGATGACCTTTCGACTCCTTCTGTAGGGTACCGATAGCTTTGTCTCGTAGCTCAAGGTCGTTCCTGAGCTTAAATGTTTCGGCTGCTAATGTTGTCAGTCGCTTCGTGACCTCTGCGAAGTTGGCAGCATATTCATCTCGTTTGGATTCTGCTTCAGTGACCTTTTGACGCAGTTGGTCACATTCGTCCTTCGATTCGGCTAAGTGTCGTGCCCTTTCAGCTGATTCTTCTGACATACTCTCGTTAAGGTCACTGACCGCAAGATGACCTTCCATTTCTCTGTCATCAACCATTTTCAAGTACTCTTCGGCCAGTTCCCTTTGCTTTTCGTATTTCACTTTCCATTCTTCTGCTGTACTCTCCAAGTAACCCCATTGTTGTTCTAACTCAAACAGTCGGGTCTCAAGCGATGTCAGTCTCTCTTGATATTCCTGTTTTCGTCTCGCCGTCAGATCTTCCTTATTACGGAGTTCATCTTCCAAATCCTTCACGCGCCTCTTCAGAGTTGACGTGGGGCTATTCGGTGACGGCGGTCGTACGTTGATGACCTTTCCCGTTTGTGTCCTTTCAATAAGGTGCTCGGGTATGTCCTTAAATGGTGTCATCCCTTCAGCGCGGTCAGCTTCCTTCATCGCAGTTTGGAAGGACATGTTCATCGTCGCTTCATCATCCGTGAAGTAGGACTCGTTCGATTCGTCTGAGACCATCGGAGTTGCCCAAAGGTCATCACCGACAGTCTTATCGTGCAGTAAAAGGTCATCCAATCCCAGTTCAGCCAATTCCATTTCCGTGACCTTTGTCTTATCCATTTCCATTCGAGTCAGGTTCACGTTTTTATCCTGCTCATTTGTTCCGCTAATGGTAGCATCCAGCTTCGATGCTCCAACTGGTTCCACTCCTCTTTCTGTGGATTTTTCCTCCCCGGTGACCTTTTTCTGGTTCATCGGTTGACTTCCCGCCGCAGACGCGGGAGTATGCTTCTGGTCGTCACTCGAGCTTTCCTGGTTGGCGACCGCCTCGAGCGCCTTCTGATAAGTACTATCAGAGCCCCGTGAATCCTTTTTCTCGAGTGCCTTAGGCGCTCGAGTATTCCGCTCATGTCCAACTGGACGTGAGTACGTGTGGAAATCCCTTTCGTATGGGTTTGGTGCACCTTGCTGTGAGCTGCGGGAGCTTCTGCTTCCCTGACTGCTGTTGGATGCCGGTTCCTCTTTGTCTTTATCCATGTTGATCGGATAACTTGGACGCTCCTGTCAATTGTTCTCACACACACGTTATTGTATGGTTTATTCGGTTGTCCTAAAGGCCACTTTGTGCTTCGAAATTTTTCTAAGTCCTTTGTAAAGGTCACTTTTCGGTCGAAAAAATGTGACTAAGTCCCGTTTAAAGGTCACTTTTTTGATAAAAACTTCGAGAGATTTGCTCTAAAAGGTCACTCTCGGACAAAACTTCGAAACAGCTTTTACAGTTCGGAACACGTTAGCGAATATAATCCTACAGCTGCTGATATCGCTGTATCACTATTCAGTTTAATTACACTTCGATAAAGGTCACCGTGCGTCAGTTTCGGATATTAAAGGTCACTCAAATAGGTCAATCTGGTCAATTCCAACTTTTTAGTAAAGGTCACTTTTCAAAGTAAAAAGTTACGTTCTGATCTTAAAGGTCACTTTCAAGCTCAATTCAACTCAAAAGGTCACTTTCCAACTCAATTCGAGCTAAAGGTCAATTTCCAGCTTAATTCTATCAAAGGTCACTTTCTGACTCGATTTTGATCAAAGGTCACTTTTCCTTTGTCTCAACTCAAAAGGTCACTTTCCGTCTCAATTATCTCCTCTCAAATCCAATTTCCCATTACAGCTAAAGTTCAACGGAAAATCCCCATCCGGGTTGTTTACGTCTTTCCTATTGGTCAGCTAGCTCAAATTATTCGGTTCAAATTTCAACCAATCACAGCTCAGATAACCGACCAATCACGTTGCTCCTCTTAAAATTTATATCAGCCTGACGTCACGGTCAACGGCCAGACGTGCGCACCGTGTGCAAAACCCCGCCTACGTCTACGCTCAGCTCAGTACGGACCAATGAAAATTGCCAATTTTACCAACTAGCCAATCTCGTAATTAATAACGGTTTTCTACCTGTTAACCGTCCGTCCGTTCTGCGTTCCACGGGGAAAACGATCCAGATGATCCGGATTCTTCTTCCACGATCCGATTCCCGCGTCGCCGCTGTTCCGTAGCGTGCCTCGCGCTATCAGTTGGCTACTGTGCCGGCTGTGCCGTAGCAGCAGTAGTTTTACGCTCTACTCCAGTTTGGAGGAGTCTGATCTGGCAAAATCCGTGCGCCCCTTTCGGCGCTTCGTCGCTTGTGACCCACGGCTTAGGATTCGCTGAATCCTTGCCGAGTACCAATGACACCAGTGTAGGTCTTCGCTGAAGACTCTACACCGAGGAACACTGGCGACTGATCTCTTGAACTCTTGCACAGCTAAGGAAACAGTACGGTTCTTCGCTGAAGATCCCGTACCGAAAACCGAAGCTGGAAAATCCACGTCAGATGAGGCAGTTCACCGCTTGTGGTGTGCGCTTTGCTGTGGTACAGACCTGTGCCTTACTGGTCGGATAACACGTCGGATAACAGGCCAACTTTGCCTGACACAAATCAAATCAAATCAGAGAACCGCTGTCGGCTCTGCTACCATCTAAAGCTAGATCCAGAATGGATCCAGGGACAGAGACTCAAACGGGATGAATCCTGTGGAGTGAGCAATACGATCTGGATTGCGAACTATGCGAAATCACAAAACGTCGCACCGTAAATTGCTGACTTTTAATAATATTGAAAGTCTGGAAAACCAAAAATCAACACTGATCGGCGCAGCTCGATCGTAAAGCGTAGAGCCCATTCAACAGTGTGCATCACTGTGCAGCACGTGCTATGCCGCGCCCACTAACACAACTCAAGCCAATCAGAAGAGACACAACACAGACACGTAATCCTAAGGCGTAGCGCCACAGGCGTAGCGCCACTGACGTGAACGCTAGTGATCCCGGTCTCACATACACATGATGCAACCTCACATTACATCTTGCTCTTTAAATTTCGCTGCAAGAAATTCGAAATAACTTCTATTACTTTTCATGGAATTTCTAGCGACTTTTGCAGCGAAATCGCTCGAGAATTTCGCGCTGTAATTGGCAACAGATGGTGTAATTTTTTTTACCTAGCCCCCTGCTTTACATGCAAATTATCAAACCAGTTTAAGTACTTTAAAAACTTTCCAATCAGTTTCTGCAGCCGATTATATCAACATCTTAGATTTCTCTGGTTCTCAGAGCCCCTCCCGCCGAAGCGAGTTACATTCGCCTATGCAATTTAACTATTGTCGCCTCCATACATGTGCGGCTGGAGTGAACGGCAGCAGCGAGTATTTCCAATTTAAAAAAAGAACCTCTGGAACCGGTACCGGGTAAAATGAACAGAAACAAAACGATACAGTCACCTGCAAAGCGTTCTCCGAGTACTCAGGCTTGCCACAAAGCAAAGGATGCATCGCTTTCACGTGTGTTATCATATGTTTCGTGTTAGCCCTGGCGATGGCATCACATCCCTGCAGAAAGAACCCGAATGTTTCAGTGATTACAAGCAGCATGCTAAAAAGCAGGAATGACCTGTTCCAGGTGCGCAGTGAAGAGGTGACTTCTGATTTTTCGCGCAGTGACGAAGACGTTTTCTTTGCAGGGTTCAAGGTTGCAGACGTAATTCAAGCAACGATTCTGCAAAACACACACTCAATATTCTGCAAACTATCATAACATCCATGCGGCAAGCGTTCGGCATTTCCTGTGGGCCAATTGGCCACATTACAGTAAATGCTACGAGGCTGCACGTACCCTTGCGACGGTTGGCTGGATGAACATATCTGGAATCAACTGGCTTTGAAACGGCTGAGTCACATCGAGTGTCCATTCCGGAAACGTTTTACGCCCATCCAGATGCTTGAGATAATCTAGATCTTCCGTTCTCTGTTTTCGAAACGTGAGTTAAAACCGATTAATACCTGGTAACGATAACCACATTACTACCAACCTGTCTGATTAAGGAAGAATAAGCAGACTGCATAAAACTAGAGCGCCAAATAACCGGAACAATTACGAGTAGAGTACCCAAGTTATTAACAAATGAAATTAAAGCTTGCTCAATTACATGCTCTATTTTGTTCATTTGCGTCAAGTGCGTTTATTTGCGGCGCGCAGGCAGAATCGGTTGGATTTACTTCCTTTACAAAAATTTATTAGTATATGTACTTCAAAACATCAATTAAACACTCACAATGATATTCGTACTTAATTTGTTCTTTGATTTCTTTAGGGTTTCATAGAAAAATTTAAAAAAAATCACTTCTTCGGGCGAAAAACTAAAAGTCAAAAGAAGTGCAGCCTTCAAAAACTTCTTGAGTAAGCCGAATTACGCTGCCACACCGCGCGGTTTCAACTGCGCGTTATGCACCGGAAATCCCTATCATTTAGTTTAAAGTGCTCATCTTGGAGGGTCTTTGTTTTTAATTTCAGCTTATTCAGGTGAGAAGGAGATTCATGCACGGATCACACGAATTATGAGATAAAACGTGCTACAGCGAACCAATGCGGCTTCCAGATCCAGGCAATGACAACTGTGCGAATACTAACAACTGAACTTTTTCTTCTAGTAGACGAAAAAGTTTACTTACTTCCTTCAGCTTCACCGTCTTCCTATAAGAGATGGCTAACACATCCAGCTGTAGATAAAATCATAAAAGAGTATTCTACCGACAAAACCAGTATGGGTGGGGTTTAAGTTTTACAGATACCGGATACTCCTTCTAATACTTCGTAATATACGAATAATTTTTAGTTCTTGCTTTCGAGAAGACCAGTACTACCCTAGCTTCTCTGTCCTCTGGCGCATCTGAACTTGACGGTAACGACGGCAAGTGCCCTAAAGGCCTGAACCAACCACCACAAAAACTTCTCCCACTGATCACTAGTATGCTAATGGCCCGTCCAAGCAACGCTGTTTTTGTATTTGTAAACAATTTTCGTTTAGGGAACTATCGGTTTTTGTATTCTGTGCAGCGATCATACCAAATCATTTTTCTCCATAAATGCGTCAATATCATCCTGGCTATTATCATCAGTACCCACGCAGCACAGCAATAATTGTAGTCTGTCGTAAAACGGTTCATGAGCCGCTATTAAATGATGGTCCAGATACGTTCCTGAGTACTGATCATAAACGGCAACCGGACATTCCACATTTCCATTGCATTCCGCCGGACAGGGACACAACAGATTGATCTGCACATTGATTTCCAGATGTGCCTTCAGACTATCCGTCGACGTGAACTCTGCTTTCTCACAGCCGTTGGTTGTGGTCCCATACGGACACTTGATAGGACTGCGGCCATACTGCAGATTATAAGAGGCAACTTACAGACATAATAATAGCTATCCGCCTGCTGCTATCGTATTATTAGTATTAGTTAACAAAATGATCGCGCAGAACAAAAAACGGGCAACATCTGCCAGATTTGCTGTTAGGAGCCCTGTTACCTACGCTCTTACCGATACGGTTCCCATAACAAGCACATGGTTCGCCCGTTTCGTTTTGCGAACAATAATTTTGTGAGGAATTATGGTCGTTTCCAGCACTTTCGTGTCGGGTCGCTCGGAATAATCCTGCGAAACGAAAAGTCACGTCTATGTGACTATGTCCTGTGACTCCCGTCCATGCTCGAACTGTTCACCGCGCAATGCCACAAGTCGGATAACTGCGGTATTAAGTAAGTACGTATCATATTTTGGAGAAACCTCGTGGTTTATCACTTTTACGAGATCGATAAGTCAACCAATGCAAACGAAAGTCACGAAAAGCTCCTTTTTGTAATTACAATGAACTGGAAACGCTAGCAGAACATTAGAACAACTGAATTTCTGCAGTTTTGCTTGCTCTGTTTCAAAGCTTGCCTTTTGGCCTAATGCAGACTGCAATAGAAGACAAGTAACAATGGAATTAAATACATCTGCGTTTTACTGATCTTCATACTTCGGGCTAAAAGTTCTAATGATAAGAACACGTTTTTCTCAAAAAATATACCAGCATATTCAGTTGTTCCAGGGCTTCCTCCACCGGTATTCCGTCTTGGAACGAAGAGCTGGGGCTATCATGCGGGTCGCTACTGGATTCTGTTGCGCGAGGAAATTTGTGGTCTCGCTCCCCTCTTTTCCGCTTCTGGTTGAGCACATCAGCTTCGTTGGCATTATCTGAGCAGGCGACCTTCGCTGACATTTAACAGTGAAGAAAGTGCATAAGCGTAGAATCCAAAAGCGTGCATAAGCAGAAGCGCTCTTCATACAGTAGTGAGTTTACGGCGCCCGGTTGCTTCCCCAGGCGGACATCGCCGACTCACTAGTAGTGATGACTGCTGCCTGAACTGGTAATATGGTATCACTGACAAAATACACCCGTACAAGTTTACTACCCTACGTATTTACTAGCAGACTAGATATCACTCATAAAAGCACATATTTGAAATTTGAATTTACAAGATCGGATATATACTTGTAATTTTTCAGTTTTACAACCTTTACTGTTAAAATATCTTATAATCTGCTCTGTACAATACTGCAATGCAAATATCGTGCGTTTCTGTGTTATGTAAAACACAGCTCTTTTACCACAAACCCCGAATCATGCTAGGCACAAGCTGGACAACATGTCTTGTACTGATTTTAGCATTTTTTTCTACAGAAACAGCCTATTCTACCACACGGGAGGCACTTGGTAAATGGTATGAAAATTGAAAAGCACAGTGATCTTAGTGAAGTACTAGTGACTGGTGGTACTGTACCATTGGCTCTGTTTATATGATATTAACGCGCTATGCATAGATTGCGCGTATGACGTACGTGTTATGACGTACGTGTTGTCTGTTCCGTTACGTATGGCTTGCTGTTCTTATCTAACGCATTTGATCGCTAATTGCATTCACGATTCTGGTTTAACTAATCAGTCTGAAGTTTCTGACTTCAACTAAATCTGTGAGCTTGTTTCTAGCTGAAAGGTCGTGTGACTCTAGGTTAGAAGGAAGTTCGTATCTCGTTCTGTTCTGTTCTGTTTGTTCGTTCGTTCAGTTTGGTGATTAAACATTTGGGAAGTTCCTGAGTGTTTGGGTTTCGGTAACTTTCGTTAGGCACAGCAATCCGCTCGTACCTAGCGGAAGTAGGCAGTAGTACCACTTACGGAGTCCAGAGCATATTCCCACTCTACCGATTGAGTAGGTTTGGTCATCTAGTGCGGTTGTCGCGGTGCGACTTCCGCATAGCATGTCATGGCGCCCAACGGATTTTAACAACCCCTGGGAATCTGGATCGTCTGGTAAGTGGTATTGGTTTTTGGCGTTTTGTGTGGTTATGTTGCTTGACCACGTGGATTCTCAGAGAATCCCGTGAGGCAAGGTTCCTAAGTGAGAACCAGGTGCTAGACCGCAGTGTGTACCGCAGTGACCTTAGAGGGTTGCGCGAGGCACGGTTCCTAAGTGCGAACCAGGTGCTGGACGGGAGTCCGTATACTGTACTCGTACTGGTAAATAGTACTGACTGTACTGAGAAGTGGTGGCGTAAGCCCTGTTATTCGTGTAGCAGACTTACATCCGGGTTCGGTGACCTGGATTACTTGTCTGTTGTTTGTCAAGCAGGTGCAATGGATGGTACAGTGATTGAACCATCAGCATTAACCGCTGGACAGGAGGACGGTGTAGAAGAGCCGTCAACTGGCAAAAGTAAACCGTCCCGTCGAAAAGGGATGATAAATGTTGATGAGTTTGAAGCCATGTTAAAGAAGGCGGATTATTTATACCCGCCAACTGTGCAGTGGTTTCTACCTGAAGACGAAAAGGTTGGTGATTTCTATAAGAAGTGGGAAATTGTTCTCCCACGTACTGGAGAATTAAGCCAAGAATGGGTTGAATATGACCTTAATGGTGGTAAAAAACCAGGAGGTTATGATCAGTGGATTCAGGCAGGAAGGAAGATTCCCGCCCGTAGAACGATCCATCTGACCTTGCATGATTACGATCAGCAGTATGGCACTGAACTGCATGGCAAATGGATGCAGTATCTTGCCAACAAAAAGCCTGATCAGTCTGCATCAGGTAGCAGTAAAACTCATCCAGGGTCGCATGTGCAGCAAAGCGGTGTGCAAGCTGCAGTAAGTGAGAGCGATGCTCTGTGGGCCAGTGGTTTGAGTGGTACTGTGAAAGATACCACGGTAACTCAACAACTGGACCTGACAGAAATGAATAAGGTTTTGGAGCAAATTAATAATGCTCCAGATTATTCAGCTGTTGTTACTGGAGATAATGAAGATAGCGATACGGAACTGGCTGCTATTGATCAGCGTCATAAGGGCGCTGATTTGCATTACAGTCAGAAGCTTGGCAAAGAAAGCGATGAGTCATCAACCGCGGCTGTGGTTGATCAGTTACGTAAAGAGTTGGATGCAGAAAGGGTGCAATATCATGCACTAGCTTTAAAGTATAACGATTTGGTCGAAAAATACGATGATAGTGTTGATCATCGAAAGAAGTTGACGGATGATGTAAAGTTGCTTACTGTTATGCGGACGCGAGACGCAAAGTTGATGCAGGACGCGTTCGAGCATGTAAACAAAGAAGCGAGAAGCTTCAACTGGAGAGACAGAAATTCCAGCTGGAGAAGCAGCAGGCGCAAAAAAGTTTTCAACAAGGCACAGCTGCCTTGAATAAAAAGTATGCGAGTTTTCTGGCTGAACAAGCAGCATTTAATGTTGCTGTTGATAAGTGGAAAGTTGATCGAATTGATAGACGCCATTCAGTAAAAGATGACGTCAACTTTGTCCCGCATGTTGAAGCAGGTCGACGCAGCGCAGTAGCACAGGATATGGCCGAACCTGTACGAAAGCTGTACAGTGTTGTTCATAAGCCTGCCTTTGTAGTCAAAGAAACCCAGAAGCTGGAAGATTTTCTGAACTTGCGTGAGCGTGTCCACAATATGCAGGAATGTTTGGGTGAGTCGCGTAGTCCCTCACCAACGATATCAGAAGTCAGTACGACTGCTTTGAGTAAGATGGAAGCAAAGGTTGCTGAACTTGATCGTCGTTTAAAGGAACAGGAGGCCAAGGGCGGTGGTACTGTTTCCGCTCCGTTTGATATGGATAAGTTTACGACTGCTATAAAAGGTGCATTCAGGACGGATACAATGTATCCTGAGACGTTTGATGGGAAGACAGATACAAATAAGGTGGAACAGTTTATCCAGAGTGTGAATAATTGTAAAAACCACAACAGTTGGTCTGATGGTGACGTCATCAGTAAGTGCCTGTCGCGCTGTCTTACTGGTACGGCGCTTACTTGGTATCTCGATAAGTACGATTTTAATAAAAAGTTGAAGTGGTCTGAATGGAAGAAGATGATCCGGGAACATTTCTCGGATGAGAAAGATTTAATGGCTGTTCGTGATAAAATTGCTGATCGTCATTTTGGTAGTGACGATACACCGAACTCGTATGTGGATTGGTTCACTACGTCGTTCAAGAAGTTAGATCTGAACGAATCTGAACGTGTGTATTATCTGAAGCAGGGTTTAAAGAAGAACCGTTTCTTTTGGTTCAAGTACATGGAGGAGAAAAGAGTGGCTGATGTTGAAGAATTTTTGTCAGAATTGAAGCTGCAGTATAAACTGCGTAATAGTAACCCTATTTCTGGTTACTCTGATTCGAAACAGTTCGTTGACAGGAAGCCAAGTGAGACAGATAGCAGTGCAGTTAAGGCTGCCAGTAATGAGGCGAAGAAATCCGAAGGAAGTGCAGCTGATAATGGTAAGCAGGTTACCATTAATTACGCAAAGTGGTATTTTCCAGACGGACAGCCGATTTGTTTTAAATGCCATGGTGCGCATGTGGGAAAGAAGTGCACCAGCACGGGACCTCGCAAGCCTGTGACTGCTGAACCACCGAATCAGGTGATTAAGGCTTACATGATGAAGAAGTCGATGGGAAAGAATCCCGAAAGCAATAATTTGGGATCGTTTTTGATGCGTAGGCCGGAAGTGAATTCCTTTACTGTGCAGGATAAACATGCACAAGAATTTACTGCACGGAAGCAAACTTGCAGTGGGGGCGATGCCGCTCAGGTTCAGTTCAGCTCGATACGCCGTCCGACAGGGCATTCGCTTCGCAGTGGGGGTGCTCAGGCTCGTATGGGTTGGCGTCGGAAGCAAAGTGGTAGTGCTTATGTGAAGCGCTTAAAGTATTTGATCGAGAATCCCGAGGCGGAGATGAGTCGGGATGAAAAAGAGAACATGGAAGGATTTCATGTTTATCGTGGAATTGTGTACCGTAGCAAGGGCGGTACGTACGGTAGACACCGTGTAGTCGTACCGGAATTTAGCCGTCAGGACTTGTTACGAGACTGCTATGAAAGTTTTCATGCTGGTAATTTGCTTGATTACTGGTCAGTCCGTAAGTATGTTTTGCGGAACTATTACTGGCCTGGAATAAATGCTGAATTGTGGAAAATCGAAGCACAATGTGAACAATGTAGTGCTCATGTTTAAGTTTTGGCTGCTACGTTATGAGTCCGCTGTTCTTTTGTCGGTGGTGTACTTACGGTGTAACTTGCTTTTACTCATAACCGCAGGATTTATCAGCAAAAAGGGGATGCTGATTGTTGAAATATAAGGAAGTTACAAAAACTGGTTGTGTGGGAAAAATAAGTACTCATTAATCGAGTACTGTGTTATGTGCCGTATCCGCCGGTGTGGTAGCTACGTGCATGAAAACGCTGTGCTGCGGTGCAGTGTTTGATTTCTGCAAAAATGACTTTAAAATCATTTTAATTCTGCAGTTATCAGCAGTTACTGTCTGCTTTGATTTTGATAACTGGATGTTTATAAACCAGTTAGGATTCGAATCGTTCATCCGGAAATTAATCTTGAATGATACTGGTTATGTTTTGTTTGATATTTGTGAAGAACCATGCAATCGTATCGGTTCTTGTGATCTGGTTGTGATTGACCGTGTTTGATCGTTTGACTGCAAGTGGAAATTTGCAGTGGAGGTAATTGCCAGTAATTAGTGGACATTAATTATCCACTTTTCATTTTACTGAAGATGCTGATAAATGAACGGTATTTACACGTTCTGATCTGTGTTTTTGAATGATTGGCTGTGGCCAGTGTTTATCAGAATGATTGCCATTTCTGATGTGTCTGGCCGGACGGATTGCGGATCTTCGAGCTCTTCGGAGGGAGAGGATGGATGAAAACCTTACCTGGATGCAAAATGTTTGGATGGACTGATGATACTGGACGCGCATGGAACCAGGAACTTCGGAGAACTTGGACGGAACACCAACTTCATCAACTTGGACCTCCATTCGAACCCCCGTCAGACCCCGGATTCCACACGCGAATGATGAAAAGGATCTCCCAGGATTACGGTACTTTCCTGGATTTCGAATTGTCTTTGATTTTGGTTTTTGTTTGTTTGTTTGCTTTGATTAACGCGGACGTTAATTCTGTAGCAGTGGGGGTAACGCGCTATGCATAGATTGCGCGTATGACGTACGTGTTATGACGTACGTGTTGTCTGTTCCGTTACGTATGGCTTGCTGTTCTTATCTAACGCATTTGATCGCTAATTGCATTCACGATTCTGGTTTAACTAATCAGTCTGAAGTTTCTGACTTCAACTAAATCTGTGAGCTTGTTTCTAGCTGAAAGGTCGTGTGACTCTAGGTTAGAAGGAAGTTCGTATCTCGTTCTGTTCTGTTCTGTTTGTTCGTTCGTTCAGTTTGGTGATTAAACATTTGGGAAGTTCCTGAGTGTTTGGGTTTCGGTAACTTTCGTTAGGCACAGCAATCCGCTCGTACCTAGCGGAAGTAGGCAGTAGTACCACTTACGGAGTCCAGAGCATATTCCCACTCTACCGATTGAGTAGGTTTGGTCATCTAGTGCGGTTGTCGCGGTGCGACTTCCGCATAGCATGTCAATATTACAGTATATATACATATGAGCTCTGTGTACAATTATTTTCTTCGTGTACGTTAATTTCGAGCAACTATAGCGGAGTATTTTCCGAGTCGTCGTCAGCTTCGCTTGAAGGTTGACGAAACGTTAATCAGGTATTCAGAAAACCAGCGCAAATGAGATCCACCCAACGCCCATTACACGTTGAATCAGCGAAATAAAGAATATGGAATATTTACTGTGTCTTGAAAATAAATTATTATAATTTTATAATTCTTTATGGTCTCGCCTCCCCCCCCGTAAAAAAGAGCCTAGATTCGCCACTACGAACATGCGACGATAGCCCCAAACGAATAGAGTAGTATTTGTGCCAAATGAATGTATTTATACCTGGCCTCCTTCGAAGGATGTTCCAAAAAGGCCGTTTCGTGCCTAATTTGTCGCATTCCGGTGCAGCAAAAGATCAAACATAAGACGCCTAAATTAAAACTACTTGTGACGTTGTGATCATGAGCCTTAAGTTTTCTCCGCCGGCAACACTGGAGTGCCACCAGACTACATGCGTGTTGTAACTTGCAACCTGCTTATTTTTCTTTACTTATTCAGCGAGGTAATGCTTCTCTGTTTTTATGTTGTTGAGGACGCTGTTTGCTCAACCGGAACCAGGTCTTGATATTGTTACGGTGTTTCTCGTTCTTTGTTTTACAGAGGACAAAGTTTTGCAGTTTTAGCCAGTGATAAGCATGGCAGAATTACATCGCAACAAGAAGTGAAGCACTGAGGTTCTTTAGAAATTTTATCGTAAACTGAAAAACCACATCAGCGGATCAAAAATCATTTGAACAGAATACAGTGTCGTTGCGACACTGAACACCGCACTCGACAATCGAACATCCAAATACACCATGGCAAACCAGTACACATCCGCCGGAATCCAGCAGATCAGCACGCTTACGGACGTCATAGTCAGCACAATAAACGGTTTTACCCGTCTCCTTCTAATAACACCCGTCATCGGTCTGGTTCTCCATGTCCCCGCTCTGGCCCGTTCCGCGGCTGCTAGAACGGCCGTGCGTGCGCTGGTACAGTTCTGGCTGGACCCACGATTTCCCGCATCCTGATCGGTCACTTCACGTCGTCTCTGCCAGCGTCTAACAATAATGTATATATATACACCGACGATAAACACCAGCGGAATCAGTCGGTGCAGCACAAAATCGGTCCGGCTCCAGTGTATCATCGAGCCGGTGATCGGCTGGCAGCCACGTTGTTTCTCCGGTGGATTACAGTAAAAAAAATCAACGAGGAACGCCGGGAATGGTACCAGATGCACATAACCAATCATCGTCAAACACAATAAAATTGCGACCTTTTTATGGTGGTGCTGCCGGTAGGACATGGGATATTTAATAGCCCATAGACGGTTGATAGAAATCAGCACATGGGCCAGAACGGGAATGACGCTGACGACTTTCTGAAAGTACAGGAAAATGACGCACAAGGAGTGGCCTCCCGTCCATGTGTTCGTCAAGGAGCTCAGTGTGCCGATCGGTCTGACCACGGCTAAGTATACCACGTTGCTAGAGCAGATGACAATTAAATAAATGGCAAAGGACGTGATTTGGGTTTGCGGTAGAAATTGTAATATTAACGCCGCCAGGTTTAGCATGAAAGATATGCAAGTGACGACCGTCACCTCAATAAGCAGCGGTGTCCATCCTGGATTAAATAAAGCGGCGCGGGTGATGTTGTAACTCTCCACCAAATTGCTCGTATTCCAAAAGGTAGTGTTGCTGAAGTTGAAGCGGTTCATAGCTGTCAACAAGAGGTAATAACAGTTACTGATGCCATGAAATACCGTATTAACGAGGAGTCTTCACAGATTGTAACACTGAACAGTAGCTCAGCTACTGATAGCCTTGGCAGATCCAGCTATATGTACCGGTTTTCAAAACGCATGTAATCCATACCGAATGAGCACGATGCTGAATATCGCTGCCGTCTGCTGGTGTTGTTAGATGATCACCTTGAGCGGAAGAAAGAAAGAAATATTTATGAAATTTGTCTGACTGAAGGGGCTAGTGTGAATCATAATGCAGGCATAACATAAATTTTCGATTAAACTTGTAATTAAATACGCAGACAAAGATACATACACATGATAATTATTATGTATTATTCTAAACCCGCAGTAGTCAGCGTATCCCAAATAAGCTAAGGCCAGATACACTACAGACAAGATTTAATTAGTGGTACATGCCGTTGCCGTAGTGGATGTAGTCCTTGTGGAACGTCCGTGTGCTAATAAATTCCGGAGTTTGTAATCGAATCAGTTTCTTTGTGACCGGTAATATGATTAGCGGCTAATTTGATCCAAATTAGTCCACTTACTGGAACATATGACATTATGAAACACCGCCTAACAAAATTACGAAAATGTCGAAAACGATATTATAATCACGCATCCCGGATCATGGCCGGATGCATTGATTCTTAAGGAGCGTTCTGCATCAAACTGCATTTCCATGTGGCGTTTGTCAATCTCTGTGTATGAAGCCATTTAGAGTTAAGACTGCATTGATACAAAAATTTAGCAGCGTCTGCGTCCCGCAGTTGACCTTTGTTATCGAGAGACAATCTAATTTTAACATGCACGCAACCGGGTTGGATCTGTCTGATTTGCAGTTTCTACCGTTGTGCGTCAACCATTTCACTGCGTGATGCTGTGTATTTCCTTGCCGCTCTGTGGTTTGCAGCCCATTCAAAATTCATATACTCTTCATAAATCTGATGTCGGACTGCTACTCAACCGCAACAGGGTTAACAACAGAAATCCCGGGAAACAGCAAACAACAAGTTTAAGGCCAGAATATTATTATTTAAAATGTAGTTGAAATAACGACACCCTACCGCAAGTTTCGACTGCTGATGCATCGTACAACGAATAAAACGCACTGATGATATTGTGCATCGACGCTACGAACACGCAAAGTTCATTTCACATTTGCATTCCTTCAGCAACACTCGATAGAAAAATCAATGAAACAAGGAGTGGAATACTATAACGTGTCATTATCTCCAGCAAATACCCGAAGAATTTGCCTGGAAGCATTAAAAAAGAAGCAAAATTATGTGGACACAGATATGAAATCAGCACTGGAATTGAGGTTAATTAAACCATGTATAGCATGTACGGATAAAACAATCGTGCTTTGTACAGCGAAATCCAAAAGCAATCTAAAAGCCCCAAGCAGTATTGTGAGCTCCACAAATAATCCGCCCCAAAACAATTTTAATGACAGGCAGATGAATCAATAAGCACGAGCATTATGACATACTTCGTAAAAATGTCGATAGTTATAATATCAATGTTCCTTTATCGCAAACTAAAAAACCACATGAGCGGATCAAAAATCATCTGTATGGAGTACAACGTCGTAGTTACAGTGAAAACCACTCCCGACATTCGGATATCCAGATATGCCATGGCGAACCAGTAAACATCCGTTGGAATCCAGCAAATCAGAACGCTAATGGACGTCATAGTCAGTACGATAAACGGTTTGACCCGCCGTCTCCGCCGAATGACCAACCCGTGCTGAACCCGACCAACGTTCGCGCCTGCTCCGTAGACACCGGCGACATCACCCAGCATCATAGCGGGATCCGTGGGTTGTTGCTCGCGTGATGATTCATTTGGCGGGCCGTTGGTGGTGGTAATGCGCTTTCGCTGCCATCTCTTCACAATTATGTAAACGTAGATACTGACAATCATGATCAACGGAAGCAGCCGATGCAGAATAAAATCCGCTCGATTCCACGGGATCACCGAGCCGGTAATCTGCTGGCATGTCCTTTGTTTCTCCTGGGAGTTGTAATATAAAAAGTCTATTAAAAATGCCGGGAACGGGACGACATGGACGTAACCGAGCATCGCAAAACACACGGCGATTACGGTTAACTTGCTTTGATGGTGCAGTCGATACGACAGGGGAAAGCGAATCGCCCACAACCGGTCCATGGAGATGAGGACGTGTGCCAACACCGGGATGACACTGGCTACGCGCTGAAAGTACATATACGTCACACACAGCGCGTGACCTCCCGGCCAGACACCGAATAATGAAGTGAAGGTACTGATTGGCCGAACGACCGCCAGACTGACGGCGTTGTAGACGAAGATAACGATAAGATAAATGGTAAATGGAGTGACTTGGGTTTGCGGTAAAAACTGCAATATTAGCACGATGACGTTCAGGATAAACGACACACTAGAAATACACGTGAAACCAATGAGCGGCGGCGTCCAACCTTGTCGAAAAGTGATTGCCGGCTTCAAGTTGTAAGATGTGTTTGCGCTGTTCCCAATCGTAGTAGCGTTCCAAAAAGACTGCATTATTGCCGAGAAAAAGTTAACTTAAACAGGAAATTTGCGGTGCATTTTGTTTAGGCGGTATACGACCCGTGTTTTCCAATCTGTACGGAATTTGCTGAAACTGTACGCTGAATGCTGCATGATTTTCGCTGTTCTGCACATCAGCACATGCACTATTGACGAGTATGAAATAAATTAGTGCTTGAAGAACAATCGACGAGCTATAATTTAGTGGGCACTGAAAGGACTCGATGATGTCTTCCAGGAATGGTTCTAATTAGACGCCGGTATTACTCTTAACTGTCTCTGATGAAATGTTTTTGGAGCAACTATAATCAAAATTATGCCGCCGCCGCATATTGTCGTTTCTTTAATTGCAAGTTATGTTATGTCTCGGTTATATAATTGCAAGGTATGGTATGGCTTGCGCGCGTCTTTCTGGATTTGAATTTTTGATCCCTTAGAAATATTAAAAAAGAAAATGCAAAAATGCAGGTACAGACATAGCGGTCTCGCTGCGCTGTGAGTGATTATTTGGAAATATTTCAAAAATCTGAAAATACGTCGCATTCTAATACAGTGGTTTATGTTAATTTGTCTGTCCTCCATAGGTAGCTATACTAAAGCTTAAAAGTTTTAACAAGGTTAAGGAAAAGCACAAGAGCGTTTTTAAGACATGCTAAATATTTTTACTACATACGCAACAGATATTTTATTCTTCCACTGCTTGAAGTCGTAAATTATGCAGTGGCAATATTTGACGACTTTACCGCGATATGAGTATCGGCAGAACTGGTTGTACACGTCAGCAAATCAGCTAGGCCAGAAATAATCGCAATAATACTTGTGAGCGGCACTTTACCCTTTCATACCAACAATTTTACCTAGCTTGCACCGTATGTATCATGCATGACATATTTGAGTTCCTTGTTTTGGAACTTCCAGAGTTATCGTATAGTCGAAGATGTCAGAGGCGTACGACTGCGCCTGGTGCGTACAGTCCACACAGGACTGCCGTTATCGCCTCTCTCGCTGTACGTACGTGTGCTGCTGCACTGCACTCATCCGCTGAAGCGGATATACGCAGCGCATACAGTGAGCCACACTTGCTCTCTCGTTCCTCTCTCGCAGTATGACTCAGCGTTCATACGCTCGCGTTGGATTGAGTCCAGTCTGCGCATCATCACACAGCTGATGGCACACAGCACGTGGTTGCCGCCAGTTGCTTCTTTCACGCCATCAGACGCTCAAGAACCACTTTCAGCATCACTTGCTATTTAGCCATCAGTGCTTTGTTCTTGCTTTCCTGCTATTACGCAGCATTGTTCCCCCTTTATTTGTCAATAAAGTGCACTCGTGATCTCCTCGCGCTCGCCTGTTACATGGTGAGCAGATCGTCTGGTTTTCCTTCAACGGAACCTTTGAGGAGACGGTGAAGGCTTCATTTACGGAGAACTCGTTGGAACCCTTTTCAGTCACTGTCAGATAGATTGCTGAAGCAATCTCTGCATTGACTGTCGATCACACAGATCGCATCGTCTTACAGCTGAGGAATAACGGGGATCACTGAAGTGATTCTTGCCCAGCTGGTGAGCACAGTTTTTCTCGGTCTCTTCTACACTGAAGAGCATCCCAACAGCACGGACATTTTCTTTCTCAACTGACGGATCAGACTCAAACGAGAGTCTGCAGCGCGCACGGATTACTCCAATTATACGGGGACCTTCGCTTTTAACAGCGACCCGCAACTTTAACGGCGGATTTCAGCTCGGAAGTGACGGATTTCCGACCTCGGACGGAGGAAATCGACCGGAACCGACACCGACACCGACACTGGTAAAGTCACGGTTGTAGGTCGATTTTGGCCGAAACTAGGTCGGCTTTTTACTTTCCAGCGGTAGAAAACAATTTCTATCCGTAAATTTAAACTTTCTAACGCCGAAAAAGTAATTTTCGACGGAGAAACCGACTTGGAATTTTGCTTTTAGTCGAGAACCGACCTGCTAGGTCAACGAACCTGTCTAGACAGTTAAACAAAGGCTAACCGGCAACAGGTCGGAAATTCTCTTATTTTCGATTTCTAACGGTGTTTCGACCACCAGAAAATTTTCTTAATTATTAAAAATAATTTCTGACGGATAAAAACTCGAAAATTCGACTAAATAAACTTTCTAGCCGACCAAAAATAATTTGTTTTTCTCGCGGGAAATAGCGCGAAAATTCTTGAACTTTCTTGTGACGTCATAACGACCGCTTATCAGTACTTAAGAGGCAGCCAATCAGAGTGCAGGGGAAAGTTCCCATAGCTTAACATAGGCGTGACGGTGATTCATCGTTTTTTATAAATTTTGCACGCGGCTCGCATTCTGTGACGTAGGCAGAAGTGCAAGACCACTTAACCTGTTACGTCAGACTGGTCAGCACAGTAATATAGGACGTACTACACCGTACTACTATTACGTACTGTACTGTACCATTGTACTGTATATTAACACCTTGCGTACTGAGTCATCAACAGACACATCAACAACAATAACAACATATCATCGGACGTTCCTGACCCTCGGAAGTTCCTGAACCAAAAAGACGTTCCTGATTTTACCGAACAACCTTCACACAGAATATTGTTCAACTTTCTTTTTACTGATAAAACCTTTAAGGCTCCATCAGAGCCGACCTGACTCGACCACAATGTCCAACTCCCGAGAGAACGAATACGCCAAGAAGGTCAACAAGGACTACTCTCGGCGTGCGAACACGATCGGAAAGTACTCGCTCCGGTGCGCCGGTCAGGACAAAAGCCAGCCGTCCTCAACCGACTCGACTCGACCGTACGCGCTCAGACTCCGAAAACAGGCGGTCAAGGAATCGAGGAAGGGCAGAACGGATCGCCCCGGCCAGGAAACGGATGATACCGTCGAGATGTCTCAACGGAGTGGCCCGGCAACTTGCAGACCCAGAAGATGATCCGAACTCGATCCCACGGATCCTTCCGGACTACGTACGCAACGACTAGAAATCCACTTCGGATAGAACTGTAGCCTAACACCGACCGTTCCGACGTCTTCCCCTTGGAGAACATCAGGCACACCGGCAGATCGCGAACCACATCTGCTACGACCGGAAGCCAACAGACGCCCCGGCCGAAAATAGCAAATCGTGAATCACGATCATCAGCTAACATAGCAGATCGCCAACCACGTTCTGCGACCATCGGAGCCAACAGAAGCCCCAATCCGCGTTACATGGAGCCGACCGATAGTTACATGGTACAGATTACGCCATTAACCACGACCGGCTATGAAAATTACTCCGGCCAACCGACTCCGGAGTATAGACCGAAAGGATTACGCTAACATGGCGTGGAATACGTCGCTGCGTGTTCATCGTCATGTTTGCCAAGCATCCGTGGCCAACCTCGGAACCGGGTAGCCGAGCAGCCTTCACCAGTGTGAACAGCGGAAATCCCTCGGCCGAGTCGCCAACAGCGCAAGAACTCGGAGGTGACTATGTGTACTTGAGCCGGCCACAAAGGTCGACCTTGTACTCTATCCATAACTGGGAGACATTGAGGACAAAGCTGCATCAGCCAACCACACAGGTGGGTTGTGCAAGCCGACCACACAGGTCAGTTTTGGAAACGACAGCCAGATGACCAATTCTTAATTAGCTTCCTTAGCCGACCACACCGGTCGACTAGACACACGGCGGCCGACCAACGCTAAATCGACCTGGGAGAATGGATGAAGTCAGCAAGAGTTACGTGGTAGCCCAACCGGATTCTCCGTTTGAACCCAGACCTACAGGGACTAGGAACCTGTACTTGGAGTCCAACCGCAGTCTCCCCCGGACGATATCGGGTAAACCAGCCGATTCACCGGTGACCACGACTACGCGCGTCTTGAACGTGCTGCCATTCCCTGAAGAGGAACAGCGACGGTGATTTGGCCGCCACTCCAACGACTCCGCCGCGACCTGCTTCCCCATGTCTCTAATGGAACATCCTAGGCAGACCGGGTTAGAACACTCGACCTGCACCCCCTTAATAAATCCCCGATGGCGATGACCACTTGCCCGCAACAGCACCGGCCAATTGGACAGCGTCACCGGCAAGAAAATTTCTCCGTGGACATGAGTTGCCTACCCCCAACAGATGTCAGAGGCGTACGACTGCGCCTGGTGCGTACAGTCCACACAGGACGTACTTGCACCCATTGCATGCCGTTATCGCCTCTCTCGCTGTACGTACGCGTGCTGCTGCACTGCACTCATCCGCTGAAGTGGATATACGCAGCGCATACACTGAGCCACACTTGCTCTCTCGTTCCTCTCTCGCAGTATGACTCAGCGTTCATACGCTCGCGTTGGATTGAGTCCAGTCTGCGCATCATCACACAGCTGATGGCACACAGCACGTGGTTGCCGCCAGTTGCTTCTTTCACGCCATCAGACGCTCAAGAACCACTTTCAGCATCACTTGCTATTTAGCCATCAGTGCTTTGTTCTTGCTTTCCTGCTATTACGCAGCATTGTTCCCCCTTTATTTGTCAATAAAGTGCACTCGTGATCTCCTCGCGCTCGCCTGTTACAAAGACCTAAAGACTTAGGAAAAGAATGTCTGAATTCCAGAATATTTTAAAGTCGCACAACCAGATTCAGTACATTGTTTTCGCACTCGCAAAGTTTGTGATGGTCCTTCAGCAGAGAGCATTATTCCTAGCACTGTTACGAGTAACTCGTCAACGGGATGCTAATACGCTTTACGCTTCTCGCCAGTAAAGGTGAGGTCGTTTTATGTTCTAGTATATCATTATTATGGCACAGGTTGCGCTTTCCAAAGTTTTATTCTAACAAGATGCAGTCCCGAGCTATGCAGTGCTTCCAACAGGTTAAAAGTGTCATACTCCATTTGTACAAGTATCAAAGTACGTTGTCGCAGGTTGACCTTTTCTCGAAAAACCTTCTTTTCTGCACATGATAATTTTATGCGCCCACAGTTTCTACAGTATCCTGCAGTCTGGATCAAGAAAATAAAAAATGTTTCGGTTCCCACGCGAGCTTGTAAAAAACAATGTTGTGTGGTTAACCAGAGTACAGCAAAATGTATGAATTAAGGCTGCATAAAACAGTTCTAGCAAAATCTGTGAAGGGTTACCGTAAATCACACAAATGATACTATGTATACAGTATACCCATCATGTACACAAACCCTTTGTACCACATAATAATGTTTCCAATTGCGCCACCTGCGGTAACTGTTTTATATGTTAAACATATTATACATTTTTGCTTCACAGCCAACGCGTCAAAATAACATTATTGTACCGATGGGTCTGATTTTTCAGACTAGTATCATTGACAAGCTCAGCCAAACCAGTAATGTTTTCATATCGCTGGGATATCTCCAAAATAATGAACAGATAAGTCCCAAGCACGCCCAACACCTACAAAGGAGTACGTATATTAAAACTGTAAACAAATCGCGTAGACTCACGTATACTGTATATCTGTCACAAGAACGAGAAAACCATGATCAGTTCGAAGCGTACTTCTACTACTTAAGTACGAGTACGTGTTGTATCATTTATCGTATTTTCGGCCAAAAAGGCGTGTAACAGTAGCAAGACAGAATAATGAACAGAGAAATGTCATTGTTTGTAAAATACGAAAGACATACCACAACCATAAGAAAGACATACATACAAGAAAGACCACAAGAAAGGCATTCCTCGTACATACCACAAGAAAGACATTCCTGTCCAGAGCAATGACATTCCATAGCGTTAGTACCGGCGGGAAGTCTTTAATTGCCGTGGCTTTGTTGGTTAGTTCGTGTTTAAACTGACACTCCTGGTTTTCGTGCCCGACGAACAGCATTATGGGCTTCACTAACCGCTCTCCCTGGATATCAGCATTAAATGTGAATTAAATGCATCCAACTCACACGGTTTAAATAATCATACGCATCAACAAGTACAGAGATATTTTATAACAACAAAAAACCCACCTGCTGGTTTAGGTAAGCGCACGTCACAATCGGTCCGAACAGCACACACATCATCCATGTCAAATCCAGCGCGCAGACAACAGTTGATAACGCGGACGAGTGCGTCAACTTTCCATACACCAACCTATCGGCGACTGTCGACCCGTCGAACACATGCGCACAAATAAAAATGGTCACCGCTAAATCCAGCGCAACCGTCACTAACAAGATTGGTGACAGAATCTTATTCAGCGTCTCCACAGCTTGCGACAACGCACGATGATCACCCAAAATCTGTCGTAACTTGAGCTCTTTTATTTCACACGAATGCTTGTCGCGAAACAAGGTCTTCAGTTTCTTGCAGTAAACGGTGTACTGCAACCCAATAACCGTGGTCACCGAGGTCACCAGTACGTAGAACATCATTCGAATATGCATGGCCGCAATGCGTGTTAGCAGCAAGAAAAACGAGTACGTAAGGGTTTGCCACGTGTGCTGATAAACTATGACATCCATCAACCAGAAACTGCTGCATAAGATAAAGAAACCAAAGAAATACGCTGCGAGCATTGCCAAAATGGAAGCCAGTATGGTCTTGTAATTTCTCCAAGGTTGCTGGTTAAACACATCGTCACATAAGACGGAAATGGTACGAATCACGGCGTCTAGTTTGCGCGTTTTGTAGAAGCTAAGCGGTATTGTGATGGCAGCTGATAAACGGAAACACGCCATTGTGACTAAACGCAGCTGACCGGCAAATCCCGCCGTGTTGTGTTTCCCGAGGTCATCTATACAGGTGACAATGAGACGCTCCAGTGCGGAGGAAACCATTAAGAGAAACAGCAAGATACACGGACTCCATGATAGAAACGATTGTATTTTAGCGCAGCGTGTGCATTTCTTGGGCCATCGATAAAGTCCGGCTAAGGTTAAGAACGGGGACAAGCGTCGGAATTGTTGGTACAACGTGGGGTTCGATTTCCAATCGGATCTGGACAAGATGATGTCCACGCTTTCGCAGTCGTGACACGCCATTACTGTTGTTTCGCGTTTTACTTAAAACAGCCACAGAAAACTGTTATAAGGTGTTAGCGTTGTTTGCACATAAATGAATAGATCGTAAAATATTATCGGTGTTTGTATTGGATTCTCTATGCAGAAGTTGTTTTAGCGGCATGTCTTGGATCTTATCAAGCAGTCACAAATCAACGTGAACAAGTATGCTGTCAGATCTATGTATATGTATAGTGAATTGTTCGGTATTCATGCGTGACTGAACTTTTTGGTGCCGTACTATATATTTGAAATTACTGATCACTTCGTTTTGTCAAACGATTTCAGAAATTCCTTATGCTAAGATTTTTATAGCATTAATCCACTACATATATACTCCGAGTGCACGAAAGCCGCATTTGAGTGAAGTTGTGCCCATCATTTAAAAGTAATCAGTGTCCATATGAAGAGATACGAGGATTCTGTAACTTTAAAATTCTGTAACGTAAGTTTATTTCTCCGGGTACTGTAATTCCATGGTATTTTCCACTTTTCAGAGTAATTCCATGGTACTAGCCTCTTATAGCAGCAACCACCGCATTAAAAATTTATTTTGATGATGCAACTTATGTTCATTTCTGGTAAAATTGTTATGGTCGGTATCAACCAGTTCCGTCACATGTGGATGCCATTGCGATACTTCCAAAATGATGAAGAGATATGTCCCAAGAATGCCTAACACCTGTCGAGGAAGCATTTGGAAATGAGAAATTTTCGTACTACTCAGTAGACTGTTGTAAAATGCCGTTCGCGTTGGTGAATTAAAAGCATTACCATAAGAAACACGTTCCTATCCAAAGTGGTGATATTTCCCAGTGTAATGATCGGTGGGAAATCCTTGATTGCAGCTGCTCTTTTTGTTAGCTCTTGTTTAAACTTGAAATCCGCTTCTTCGTATCCAATGAAGTACACGATTTCTTTAACTATTCGTTCAGCCTTAACACACACAAATTAAAAATTTCTTTTAACCTGGAGTAACATGTATATACATGGAATAATTTACGCAATTTGATAAAATATACTTTTAACTTCAGGTAAGCCGATGCCGCCAGCGGCCCGAACAGAACAAACGTCATCCACGATAAATCAAACGCACACAAAATGCTCGATAAGACCGGCGACGATTTTAATAACTCATACGCCAGTTCATCAGCGATCTTCGACCCGTCGAACACATGCGCGTAGAGAAAAATCGTCATAGCCAGATCAAACGGTACAGTGACCAAGAGCAGTGGCGACAGGATTTTATTCATCGTTTCCACAGCTTTGGACAAAGCCAGGTGATTATTCAAAATCTCCCGAATCTGCTGCTCCTTCGCCGCCGTAGTTACGTTACTGCGAATGGTCCGCTTTAGATTTTTACAAAACACCGAAAACTGCAATCCCACCACCGTTATCAAGAGCATGACGACAACATGGAACATCATCCGAATATGCATCCCGGAGATTCGTGCAATCAATAAAAACAATGAATAGATAAACTCCGGGATTGTGTGCGGGTTACGGATGACATCCAGCAGCCAGAAACAGCTACCGGCGATAAAGTAACCGAAAAAGCATGTCGTCAGTACGACCGACAAAGCGGTGACCCCGGTTTTGTAGTCTCTCCAGGGTTGCTTGACGAAGACATCGCTACATAATGGCGAAATAAGACGGACCACGCCTTCCAGCTGGCGTGTTTTGTAGGAGCACAACGGTACTAAAATGGCGACCGACCAGCGAAAGCACACCATGGTCGCTAACCGCAGTTCCGCGGCCAGACCGACGGGATTCTGCACATCGAGGTGGTGGATGCAGGTGAAGATGAGACGCTCCAGTGCGGACGCGATCATCAAGAGAGAAAAAATAATGAACAACAGCCATTGTAGAGAACATTGTACCCTGGATGTTGTTTTGTGCCATGGGTACAATCCGGCAAAAGTTAACCAAGGCGAGAGCCGCTGGAACTGCCGGTATAAAATGGTGCTGGACTGCGGATCGGCGCAGGAGGACCGAGTGTCGCTGTGGTCGAACATTTTCTTACGTATAAAAATGGATGAGGAGTTGAAGCGAATACAGACTGACTTAAAAGTGCCGTGAACGCATTATCTGTGCGAGCGCGATTAATGCAGACAAGGTATACCTATTTAATGGTTATCGGTGTTTGATTTCTTTGACTGTCATGTTCAGTTTATTTTAACTGGACGATTAAGAATAACCTTCTATATTATTTTGTCCTTAGTTGTGAACTTGTATGGTTAATTTGGCAAACACCGCAATCGCAGTCACACTGCAATGCATCGACGATAATCATTCTTCGCAGACTTAGCAGCTTGTAAGTGTTGACTCTGCGGGCATGCTGTAACAAAATTACGTACTTCAGTAAATCGAAGTACACATCAGTAATTAATGACACTGGTATGTATAACTTTTTGTGAAACTCTGTGAGAGCCTGTATAAAGCAGTATTACAAGCATTTCAGTTTTTCCAACAGCGGCGCGTAATAATGCTGTGTATCTGAATCCACTGTACGCACAAGAAATGAAGCGGTCTACCAGGCAATAGTCAAAGTTTCATAAGTCCTGCGGAAGATGTAATTACGTACTCGGACTCCTACTTGAAAGTGACCATACATTTGACAAACCACCAAAATATAAGCTGTACAATGTTTTGCTGATCTGTAAATCTTTTGCATTTTCTGGGATTGCACTGTGCTGTTGAGTGCTGGCTACGAAACCCACAGTATACAGTCAGTTTTAAAAACGTCGTTCGTCGATGCCCTGTAAGCGCGACTTCATCTACATTATCTAAAGCTAGGAAACAGCTTTAAGGTCATGGCAGGAACAAAATGGATAGGTTAAATCAATATCCATAATTATTTTTCCGGGCTTATTTCGGTTCAACGAGAAGGAAGGTGCAGCCTTCCCGATGCCGCCGGCTAAGTGGGAAATTTCCAGGAAACACAAAGGTAATATTGCTGGTTTTGTATAATAACTTGCATCCCTTTAACCGCAATAATTTGGATGCCCTGAAGGAAATAGGAGGCAAAAAATGCCAAGATTTGGTAAATTCAACATGCAACGTATTTGTGACGGAATGCTCATTACTTGTGCATCACCAGCTTATACGCTTCGCGGCACACGTATCCGGTACCTTGTAAGTTGTAACTGCATGAGTACATTTGTACCCGCGAATTGCTCAGACGGGGAAACAGTATGACAAATAACAAAGTAAATCAAAGCACCGGCACACCCTGCGTAAACACGCCTTTAATTGAAACCCTGTTTTCATTTTTGTTCGTCTTTTCCCTGGCTGCAGGCCCGTGTGATGTCTGAGCTGCTTACGCAGGAAAATGCGGCAATTGGTTACTGTTCCATTTTGCTTAAATGAGTCCAATCACGGTGTCTAATAATTATAATGGGTGTTGGTTTGGCCCGAATATAAACTGCCGAATGCGCTGCGTCAGAATTAATCTGTCTGCTGAGGTAACCCATAGTGCAACTTTTCGGCTGTTACAGATGCACCGCCTAAAAACATGAATAATTCAGCAAACCGTACAACTGGGTTTTTGTATGCTGAGCCAAGTAATTTTGGATGGTTTTTCGTTATCACGGGTATAATTGGCTGCGCGGGTAGTTTGATATGTCTATATATTTTAGCCATCAAACGAACTACTTCTTACTCTTCAACGGACCCACTCTTCATCAGTCTTTCGGGTAAATTGTAAACGAGTGTTTAAGAAAACAATAGCTGCTCACCATCTGATTCTTTTTCTTGCAAGTTTACGGTCAGTTTATTTATGTACTCGCGTGATCTTTAGAATTAATTGTACTTACCGTTAAACGACAATTTTTTTGATTCGCGGCTAACGACAGAATAAATGCGCATTATTATGCAAAGTACGCTACGAATGCAGAAGAAGAGATGTCGGGCATTTGGTAGTTTACCGAGAACGTTTTTCCGTTGCTTTGCTGCCGAGAACGCTGTGAGTGCAAGTTGAGTGCAGGAGATTAGCAAAAAAAACCCTGCTGGTGTCTCTTTTTACGTAAGCAAGCATTCATCGGTTTGTTGTTCAAAATATGTATTTCTTAAACTATTACAAATTTTATTTTAAGAATGCAGACTGTATCACTGTATCCTACCCAAAAGTTAACTGTGAATTAAAACAATAGTATTTATTAGATTACAATTCCGAGCATTAATTACAAAGTAAATCTCCTTAGCGCAAGCCGATTTCTGCTCTAGTAATGTATCCGTAGTATGTAGTATGTAAGGGATGCCGAATCGAATTTGGAATGCAAATGAACATGGCGCACGAACATGAATAGCTGCTATGTACGTATATAACAAAAATAAAATCTTAAACACACTTATCTTGCGATAAATTTCTTTTCTACGTTGAGGATTCTGATCAATATCTCCACGATATAAATTTTTTTCCAGGAACTAGTTTGTGTATCAGCCTATTAGCTGCTCCCTGGAACGCATACAGCACCATCGTGGGTTATCCTAATTTCCTCGCCAGCGCTCAGTTTATCCCCTTATGCCGTCTGATCGGCTTCAGTACGCTTCTAGTTACCAACGCATCCCCGTTGGCCCACGTCTCCCTGGCTCTTAACCGTTTTGTCGTTGTCATCTGCAAATGGAACCATCTAGTCCACACCCGCAGGATGATTGTCCTCTTCGTGCTCATTCCCTGGACTCTCTCCCTACTCTTCGCCATCTGGCCGGTATTTGGTATTGCCGGGGATTATGCATATAACCCCAGTAACAACCGGTGCAATATGGCGGGAATCGCATACTCTATCCGCTATCACATCTTCATCCGGACTGCCGCGCCCATTTTTAATACCGCCGTATTGCTTATTTGTTATTTGGCGGTATACGCCAAGGTCATCCTGACAAGACGACGCATTGAGCATCACGATCCTGCTGGACAAACGAGGAGAATCCGGCAGCGGAAACTGGAATCTCATGTGACAGCTGTAGCGCTTTATTCGTGTTTGACCTTTGTGCTGACCAACTTCCCAATCGATTTGTTTAGCCTGGTGAACAAAAATCCCATTCTGTATGGAACCACGTCGTCCTCTATTTCCATGCTGCCATGGTTAGGTTAGTATGCAGTTTTTCGTTCTGTTCCGTACCAGTTCCGACATATTTAATTCGACAATGACATTCCTTAACTGCCTCCCTATCCAAAAGCTTCAATTTACAAAACAAAACTGCTGTAAAGTGCATCGCTGTTGGACCACCGCAAAAAAACTGTTGTTGAAGTTTATATGCTGGGGCGCTCCTTTAATACAGCAAGCATAATAAACCATTATGAACTACGCATAACGTCTGTCGTGAAACCGTTTGCTTGTAGGTTTTACCATGTCGCCATGGCTGGCAATTTGTTTGGACAAGACAATAAAATCTTTCGCTATTCAGCATTGCTGTTCTACGATAGCTGATGATAACACCTTGGTTTTGCGTACTGTGAGCGCACGTATACAAACTGAGCGCTTAGTGAGCAGCGCAACGAATGGGGTGACGCGGAAGGGCCCCATCAAAACCTGACCTTATACTGTGGCAGTGTGGCTTTCTTTCCTTTTCGACCGTGACTAATCTTTATTCTTAAAAGAACTGGTGGTGACTGTACAGGCAGCTGGCGTGATAGACGTTTTACTATGACAAATATTCCTTAGGTTGATCTTATTAAAGTTATACGTAAAAAGAGGGTAAACGCTGCGGAAGAAATTAAACGACGTGACGGTCGCACCCAACGCAGCTGGCCGTGGACGGTTGCTTTGGATCTAGAGATGGGCGTTAGTTTTGCGGTGCCATTGTCGTACGTAGGTTACTATTTGGTGAAGAGTTATAGCATTACGCACGTGAAGTAGTTTTTGAACAATGCAGGCTAGGTCATCGAATATATTTTTTTAGTACTTTTTTGCGACTAGGGTGTCTTGTCGCACCAGATGATTTTAGTTTTGAGCCTGCTCTGTATCTGTACAGTATGTACATACTTGTAAATCAGTCTTTATCATTACTGCATACGCGTATTTTACTGACGTATGAAAACAATAATTAGTACAATAGCTGGACAGTATTAGCAACAAAGCAGGTCAGTAAAGGCTTTACATCCTAAATGCGGCCTCTGCGTTCTTAGTGAAGATTTCGTGAGATTTTTGCTCGTTACCGTATCTACATATTTACCAAAATATTTAGCCATTAGTCTGTAACACACAGAAACAACAACGTACGATATTTCACGTGAATCGTCATTTCTGTTGATGTATGAATCATGCGAACTGGCTATGTTTCAAATTGTTTTCTTCGAGACAAGAAAGTAGAGCCACGGTATAAAACAAGCGTAGGATAGTGCAAAACGTGTACAATACTGTATCACTGTAGCGCACCCTGCGCACTTTTACTTATGCGGGAGATCGGGTGCCAGTAGCAACCTTCGCTCCTGCCTCCTCGCACCCTTGCTATCGCATTGTGTAAATGTTGACCGTTTCTGAAATTATTTTTTGTTCCATTAAAAATTTGTCAGTTTACTCGCAGTTTTCGGACCGGATCATTGACAAAACAATAACAAACAGCTTTTGCAGAAATGAAACCAGTTCATCTGGTAACTTTCCCAGGAAAACTAATGACGCATTTGCTAAAAGATACATGGCATTGCATGCATAATGGAGTGCGGCTGACAATGCGCAGTGTAGGTGTAGTAGAGAGTTAACGCTACCTCTTGATGAAAAATTAAAGAGAACAATGACAGGCGCGTAATATGAGAAAGTTAAAGCGTATTTGTTTGCTAAGGTTGCAGCGCTGCACATTTCTAGGCAAACAAGTTCTGCACCGGAAAGTTACGACTACAGTATGCAATCGAAATTTTGGCGTGCAATTTTTATTATTCTTTGCGCCTCGATAAACACATGTTGGGTCGCAGCTTGTGTCATGCAGCCCTTTACAATTAGCAAAGAGAATTATGGCAAAGCACGTTTCGTTAACATGGACGGACACCTAACTTAATTTCGCCAAAAGGAAGTGTGACCAGAAAAATAGAGGAGTGGTTACATAGGACGTATTTGTCGTTTGCAGCAGAGTAATTTCATAATCCAACGAATGCTTTTGAAGCGTCTCAGGGAAGCTAACCAGTTCTTGAACCGATGTTGCATCCATTTCGAGCTCATCATGTACAAAACCGGATCGAAGCTAGCTTGCAGAGCATACAAGACCTTTGTCACTTTGGAGAACACATCGTCCTGTTCGGCAGTTAGAACGTGCGTTATCGACGAAATCCAGTACAGCTTTGTTGGTATCCATGTTAATATGATGCTTAATGTCAATAAGGTCATTAGTTTAAACTGATACGTTTCCAGGCCTCTTTTGGTTCTACTTCCGCCATGGATCTCGCTTGTAGTAGGCATCCGTGCAACAACCACTGATAATTCAACTACGGAATTGGCCCTGGAAACCGCTAAACATCTCCGCCGATAACTGCGTGCAAAATCCACATATAACGCTAACACCAGGACAACCGGCAACGTGCCGGTAATTACTTCACTAACGATGGAATAGACGAACGGTGGTTTATCGGTATACACGCAGCCGTAAACACCTTCTGGTTTGCGATAAAAGTCAGCATCTATGACAATTCGCGGCATATTGAACAAGTGCCCATACACGGATACAATCGCGCACAACGCTACCGCGACCTTTGTAGAATGGTGCATTTTGTAATGCATCGGGAATTTAATGGCCCACAAGCGGTTTACCGAAATCAACACGTGAACATGAACCGGAACTGTTGCGAACACGAAGAGCATGTACAGGTAAACTGTGCAGGCTGTGCTGGATAATGGCCATGTGCGGTGGGTCATTCGCGTAATTTCCAATGGATATTGCACCAAGACATAAATAATGTTGCTGAACAAAAGCCAGACAATGTATACGATGAAAGGAGTGTGCAGTTCTTTAATTTTGCAAATAAGAATCAGCGTCAAGCCATTTGTAATCAAATGGATGATAAAGAGGATGCTGCGATAAATGGCAAAATTGTTGATAGCAAATTCATTTTGGTCATTATGAGCTGTGGAATTGTTTAAGCTTGCACTGGCATTCATCTCAGACGCAACAAAACGTGCACTTCCTAGGAATACCGTGAAATCGGAGCAGTAGTTGAATCAGGTTATGTATCCGCTGCCGGCAAATCTTTGCGTGAGGTGCGTATAACAATTTTTCCGTTTGCGTGCCTCTTATATTGCACTGGTCTGGGAGATCCTCTGCAACAGGAAGCACGCGACAACATCCTTAGAAAACATTACGAGGGGGAAAACTTGTGCAAAATTAAAGGTGTTTGCCTTGTTTTCCACTTTCTCGCAGATGAAAAACCTGGTACACAATGTACAGAGTATTGTTCAGCACAGATGCATGAACGTGAGATAACATTGATGCTAAAGTCAGATATATTTATATTAGTGCTGGGTTCGCAAGTTTTTCATGAAATCTCTGGTTCTGATGTGTCGCATAGTACAGTTTTATGGACAACAAATTACTCTGCTGGAAAAATCAACCGAGAGTTGACCGTCCGAAATATCCGAACGGCAATGACGCCCGCCGAAGCCTTGGTTGTGAACCGTTCACCAAAATACTACCAAAATTAACAAAGCTAAAAAACTTTTCCCACCAACTCTGTAGTGACTTTTGAGGATTAAAACAGGAAATACCGCCCTGTATGTAATTTCATCCCGGAGGCTTTCGCCTGCGCTCAGGTTTTACGTCGTAGGCTTCAACGCTTGGGATAACCCTTGTTTTAACACAAAAAGATACAACAAAAAAAACAACAACAAAATAGCACGTTTCGAAAACATCTCGTCCGCTATAATTTTGTGGACGATTCTTTATGTTTTGGTTAATAAAAGTATCATATAATTATGTTGTGTTAATTCGCCGTTTTCACGGATATGCTGATATCTGCAGACCAGGCACTACAATGGTCCGAAACCCTTAACTGCGCCTTCATACAAGTATTGGCCGATTCTGTGAAACGTCCCATGATTCATTAAAAATTTGTAAGTGTACTCGACATTTCTGGACTGTATCGGTAAAAACGATGACAAACAGATTTTACAAAGCTACATAGAGTACTTTTATCTGTGCCCTTTCCATGTAATCGATGACGCACTAGGGGCACGGACAGACAAGTTTCACTGTGATGAGAATAACAACACGAAATAACAACAGGCGCAGAAAATGTTTAATTAACAGCATAGCGATTTGATATCACCTATTTTATGCAGACAATATTTTGCATTTTGCTGTAAAAATGAGTACATGGTATCGAGTGCTAGTACAACATGACCCATCTTACCTTAATTAATTACCGTTTGGTGTTTCAAACTGCGCATTTCTCGAATAAAACAATCTGTATTTAAATATCAACACTGTTTAGCATTTACGGCAGACCTCTTGGCGTGCACTACTTTTGTTAGCGGCTTGTGGTAAATATTAGCGAAAGATAGTAAATGTACTATAGTGCATAAATAATAAAGTCATTTATTCGCTTGTGCTATTTTATGCAGTGCTAAACAACACAAGCGAACCGCTGCGAATGTGCACACTTAATTAAGAAAAAATACATCGACAAGCTGGTTTAGGTAGGGCGTGTTTGTCGTTTGCAGCAGGGGATTTCCATAATCCAACGAACCACTTTGAAGCGCCCGCCCCCCACCCACCCACCAGTTGTGAAACCCACCAGTTGTGAAATTCTTGCTGAACCCATTTCGAGCTCATCATGTACAATACCGGATCAAAACTAGCTTGCAGAGCGTACAAGATCTTTGTCACTTTGGAGAATACATCATCCTGTTCGGCAGTCAGAACGTGCGTTATCGACGAAATCCAGCACAGCTTTGTTGGTATCCACGTCAGTATTATGCTTAAAGTTAACAAAGCATCAGCTTAAACTGGTACGTCTCCAGGCCTTTTTTTGTTTTACTTCCGCCATGGGTTTCGCTTACGGCAGAAATCCGCGCTGCTGTTTCTGATTTGTCAACTGTCGTATCGCTTTTGGACACAGCTAAACGTCTGCGCTGATAACTGCTGGCAAAATCCACATATAACGCTAACACCAGGACAACCGGCAGCGTGCCGGTAATTACTTCACTAACGATGGAATAGACGAACGGTGGCGCATCGGTATACATGCAGCCGTAAACATCTTCCGGTTTGCGATAGAAGGTAGCATCGATGACAATTCGCGGCATGTTAAACAAATGCCCATACACCGAGACGATCGCGCACAACACAACCGCGACCTTTTTTGAATGATACAGCTTGTAATGCATGGGAAATTTGATGGCCCACAATCGGTTTATCGATATCAGAACGTGAACATGAACCGGAATTGTTGCGAATACGAAGAGCATATAGATATACAGATAAATCGTACAGGCCGTGCTGGATAATGGCCATTTACGGTGGGTCATTCGCGTAATTTCCAATGGATACTGCACCAAGACATATATAACGTTGCTGACCAGAAACCAGACAATGTATACAATGAAAGGGGTATGCAATTCTTTAATTTTGCCGATTAAAAACAACGCTAATCCGTTGGTAACGAGATGGATAGCAAACAGAGTGCTGCGATAAATGGCAAAAACGTTGATAATAAGCACATTTTGATTAAGCTGATCTGTAAAATTTGTTAAGTATATTAATACTCATTGCGGACGAGCGAGACGTGTGCGTTTTACGAATGCAGTGAAATCAGAGCAGTAGCTGAATCAAATCTGGACATCCCGCAAGTGTATAGCGTGCATGACGTCGGTTAATCCAATACGTGAAGTGAACACAACTTTCCTCTTTTACGAGTACAGATATATTATATGTCTCTTACGTTGCACTTGTCTGGAGATCCTCTCCGGCAGGTACAACGCAATAGCAAGCTTAGTATAAACTATAAAGGAGAAAGAAGAGAACTTGTGCAAAATTCAAAAAGGTTAGGGATGTTTACTATGTTACCATTTCTCTGGCAAAACAAAGACGTAATATATACGCAGTACATGAGCAAGTAAAAAACAAAATAATGTACAATATTTGAATGCATGCTGTTAAATCCCATAAGAAAACATTCCACACGCACGTCAGAAGGTAGTTGGTAGTGGTAGGAAGTTATTTAAACTAAACCTTAAAATGAACATGATCAGCAAACGGTGCGGAAGCGTCAACAGATAAACAACTCGGCACATGAGGGTTGGTGGTCAGCTAACCGCCGTAAAGAAACATGATCAACTATCAGGGTTTAAAAAGGTCAACTATTCAAGCCAAGCTTTACAGTTTTTCTATTCAATCTCTTGCGTTGACAGTTCCACATATCATACTTAAATGTTACGTTTTAAATTGGTAGGCATAAGATGCAAGCCGACTGGTAGTGCAACCGTCCAAAGCATCCCGACGACTACACATCCGCCGGAAGTTTGATCATTAAAACGTTCAAAACGTTCCGGAGCGCCCTAAACGTCCGGAAATTTTGGACGGAGTTTAAAGAAGGAAGGAGTTTAAGGAACAGAAGACATCCGACAGACACTTTGTCTGTCCTCTCATTTTGGACGATTGGCTTAAAAAGGCAAAAGCATCTGGCAGATATTGTGAGCGGTGTAATCCGTTTAAGAGCAAAGGCATCCGGCAGAAGTGTCAGCCGTCCGGGCATAGAGGATAGACATTTTTATAAAAAAGAGAGATGGCAAAAGCTGTATTTCATTGGTGATCAAAGCAACCGTGGAACCGTAAGATGGGCTTCGGTGGTACATGGAGCAGTGCGACAGTGGCAGTGTGACAGTGGCAGCTGTTATGAGTGTTGTTGATAAAATGAAAAAAATGAATTTTGATGGTGAAGCAGCAAACGGCATGGGAATACGAGACTAGGCAGGCATAGTGCCGATAAAGGACTGTTTACACAGTACACAAGCTTTTTTGCGTACTCTTCTAACCCATGGGTACTGACTTCTGGCATCCATACTACTAAGTACTAGTATTACCATTTTATACGGTCGATTGCCGTAGCAAAAAAAAGTGTCCGGAAGGTTTACGTAGCAGCATGGACGGTACCCAACACGTCTGTTTATGTTTCTGTGTTTACTAATTCTAATGAAAGTTAATAAAGAGTAGACGTTAATATCTTAATAAACTGAATTAGTAAATCACACGATCCTCTGGAATTTAAGTGGCGAGTAAGCAATAATATACAGTACATTACTATTTTTGTTAAATAATAAAGCATACAACCACCTTTGGGTGGGGGTGTCTGACAGTTTACCTTGTAAACGCTGGTTGACTGCTTTTTGGTGATGCGGTGATCATTCTAAATTCCGAAGTTTATAGTTTATAGTGTTGGTTCTCTGTCTTAGAAGAGGGTTCCTTAATGTTAAAATGTGTATTGTTAAAAAACATTTTTATTAGACATCAGCCAGTGTACACAACAATTCGTGCGCGCAGCTTTCCATTAATGAAAAGCATAAATTTTAAACATTAAAAAAAATCCAAAATCGTTGGAGTCACTCGCGATCATATGTCGTACTTTAAGTGTAACCAAAACAGTCGCTGCATTACCACGGACTAACGCTAGTATTGTTAATGAAGTAAAACGGGGGCGTTGTAGCGATTCCTTTGTGATACTAATTGACCTTTCCTTAATTGTAAGTTTCCCAGTTTCTCACCTACTGTACAGTCGTATTTGGCTATGAAGGTCCATGAAAAGCAGTTCTCTTTGAGAGCACTGAGTGTGTTCATTGTAATGTAGTGACGATTAATATCAATTACGTCGCTTGTGCGCAACCTAATAACCTAGTGAGTTTCGTGCCCGGTGTTCAACTGGCTTTACTGGTTTGACGGCTTCAGATATTTTCATTTTCTGCTTTTTAGATTTTGGTTTCTGCAATATTTCCATCTGCGTTCTCATGCAGTGTGAAGCCTAGAGCAAGCGCCAAAGTTACTTAAGTACCAGCTTCTTTATTACTGGCAATCTTCGAGCTCTAAGTCATTTAAATTTTATAAAAGGATTATAACAAAGCAAATGCTTACATGCATTGGTGTTGTATGTTATGACGAGTAGAAAGACCTTACCAGCTGCCAGCTGGTACCAGTAGCAACCAACCAAGACAGATCAAGACAGTTCGACAAATCAAGACAGTTTGTGGTTAAGGCGTTATCAAGGCAACACGAGTACACATAATCCAACACGGTAACTTACTACGCAGCATTGTATAACAATAAGTGCAACAAAAATAAGCAGAATGTAAAAAACATAAAATCCTTCCCAGCTACCGTAGTACTGCATGAGCGCGCGTTGGAAATATAACGGGCACCGTTAGCGTAAACCGTAAACTAACCTACAATCAGAAAATGTAGAACGCGGGAACTTTAATACATTGTACTTTTAGCGCAGCATAATAAATCGGTCGGTTTTCGCTGCCTGGGACTGACTTTCTGTTAATTGTTACGTACCTCATTGCCCAAAACAGAACTGCAGTACTTGTACAAGAAGATCTCTATCAACTTGACTGCTTGCACTTTGCACAAATATTACCGCTAACGCGAACAAATACATGATCACGCTCGAATGTAGGTTGCCGCATGACATTTTACGCGTTAACCTAGTAACCTTTAGTATAAATACGTATGCCGACGTATGAGAGCGCAACCATCTTAGATCACGGCAAGTCATCGAAACCGCTTGATGGATTCGATGGCAACTTGCTAATTAATGTGACTGGACCTCAAGAGCCAAACTGAAAACTGTAATGCTGTTATGATAAAATTGCACGTCAGACGGATGTTCGTAAGTAAAAAGTAGGTTAACGGGAAGGCGAAAGGAAGAAAGCGTTTCCGTCATATGTGCAAAGCCTACTGTTGCATAAAACAAATTTCGTGAGAACGGAAACACGACTAACGTTGTCAACCGCTTAGATCGAACGTTATAAGGCTATAATACCGGGCAACATCCTGGCCGGAACGAAGTCGGATATATAAAAGGCTTCTTATATCCAAGTGAATGCATGGTCATCAAGTGTTTCTAAAATTTTTCTTTATCGTGTTTCCCTTGTTGTACTACTTAGTTTATCGTAAATACGCCTGACAATGGCGAAAGTGACCCTGATGCTATTCTTCGTAATTTTGGTTTCTGCTGGTATGGTACTCTCCGCCTCCGTCTTGCCAGGAACAGAAACGGATGTAAAGGTGTGTTTTCTATCATATTGTTTTGTTTTCACAGTTGATGCAAGTTTTGTACATAATTTTATCCTGGCTTGGCTCAAGTTGGCTGCTTCCGAATGAGTACAAGCCTGTTGTAATGCATATTGTAGAACTATGTAGTACTACTCTAGAACGATTGCGGCGAAATCTACAATATTCAGTAGAATGATTACCTGAATAGAGACTACGTCTTTGTAACTGCGGCAAAATATTAACAGTTACAGTACAAACTGGGTTAACGTACTAAACCCGCAAACCTTCTATGTATCTAAATTAAAAAGTAAAACCAGCATTAAAAAAGACAGCTTCGTAACTACTGACCTAATCCTGCTACAGCGGGATTTGCATTTTTGCAACAGTTTTCGTAAAACAAGGTCAGTCACGTTGTACAAATTTCTGCAATTGCGGAAAGAGTGTGTGTGACTGTGTGCATGGTTGCAGATTGAATATGGACTGACCAGTCCTGCAATCAGCTATAAGGCGCTTGGATTCGGCACTCGACAGAAGCGTGGCTGCTCAGTCTGCTGCACTTGGCGTCCGTTCAACTGCAACATGTGCTGCGACTGGGGATAATTAGACTGGAATGTTACCGTGAAATCTTGGCTGGCCAGTTGTACAGAGTACTTCCAAATTCAACATGCCACTTAGGAGGTTTACCGGCCAGTGACGCCACCATACATACATACATACGTGACCGCGTTATCCTTCTTCATGCATACGTGTAAAATTAGTTTTTAAACAAAATAGCCCTGCTTCTTTGCACAATAGTGGAAAAACTGGTTTTACCCGCATTCATATTATATCAAGTACATGTATATCTATGTATATTTCAAGTATTTGCATACATGTGTATTTCGCGCTTTGTATACGGTATATATGAATATACGGCTTATTATATTTGTATTTTGTAATTATGAGATTGTGGAAGCAAGTAAAACTGCATATGATAAATGTGAGTACTGTGCTGCACCATTCAAAAAAAACTATAAGACAATATATTCTACGGTTTTTGGTTCTCGAGTTTGCTCATTAATTACAGAAATCCACTATAGAACACGAAAGAGTGCTACTAACACTAATGCCGAAAAGAGTAAGTTATAAGCGTATAGCCGCAGAATATCAAACTTTAGCAGCATGTAAACCCACCTTGCGTACATATAATATTATTAAAGCATGATGTTGCGTGATGTTGCGCCGCAGTATTTGCTCGTGCTTTCATTTAAATTTTTAGCATAAACCAGGCAATGCAAAATTCAAAACAGTATGACAGTCGTCAACTTTGCTGTCCCTGTGGATGATGATAATTGGTAACTGGACTGTTTTCCGTCTCCAGCAATGAACAAGTGCATCACTGCATACTCAAACTTCCAGGCATGCACAAATGCGCTATCGCAGACTGAACAGCCACATCAGGGGATCAGAAGCCATCTGCAGGGAATATATGGTAGTGGTCACACTGAAAATCAACTGCGTCTGTCGTATGGTGTATACATCAGCATAAAGTAACACAAAATAAATATCGGTGGGCACCCAGCACACAAGTACGCTGGCGGATGTCATGGTTAATACGATGAACGGCTTCACTTTCCGCTGTTTGACGTATTTCGATCTTTGACTCCGTCGTCGCTTAGCGGTATCATCGGCGGCTGTCCGCGTTGTCTGATGGCTGGATGGCGGTTGTAGCTCCATCTTATCTTCGATCACACGTCGCCTTCTCAGCCGCTTGACCATGATGTACACATAGATACCGATCACGATGACCACCGGTACCAGGCGGTGCAGAGTGACGTCCACAAATCTCCATACCTTTTTATTACCAAAGGTCAACTTACATATCCCGGGTACCAGTGTAGATTGATCGATTTCCCATAGAAACACAGGTAAGATAACACAGTGCACGTACGCTACGGCACCCAGGCATAAAAGCGTGGCCAGGGTTTTATTGTGACGTTCACGATATAGCGCCGGATATTTGAGTGCCCATAAGCGATTTAGGGAGATCAGGACGTGTAAGAATACCGGAACATTACTGACGACAGCCTGCACATACGAATACACGACACATAACGCGTGACCTCCTGGCCAGATTCCAGTTGTATTAAAAACGACGGCAACCGGCCGCAGCACGGCAAAATGCACAATGTTAGCGATGGACAAGGCGATGAGGTACACGGTAAATGACGTGATGTGCATTTGCGGTAGGAACTGGGCCAGCAGCATACCAACGTTCAGAATGAACGATACACTCGAGACGGTTATGACCGCCACAAAGGACGCTGTCCAGCCTTGAACTGTGGTCTGGTTCGAAAGGGCACTTGTCGTATTGTTCATGGCGTCCGACGTTACACTGATCCAAGGATTGTTCAAAAACCGACGGACGTTACCGAATCTTTGGCGAACATAAAGTAGGCGCTGACAAATTAACGGTAAACACGGATCTAATGTAGTAATGGTGTATACATCCACAGGCGCTGCTCGTGTATATGCAATCAATTAAACGGATCATTAGAGTACTTATATGGCTAGCAGAGGTGCTTAATAATGTGAAAAAGCACGGCTTCGTGTTACTGTCTTCTTCGCACGATTTAAGCCCACGCTTAACCTTCTCACTTATTCATGCTCGTCTTGATTATACGTATAACGTAATTGCCCAAACTAAGCCCGATCCAGTTCCAGACATTCTGCATTCGTCCGCAGTTGCATTCAAAGTCGGTGAATAACTGAAAACAAGCTGCTACGAGTAGACTCTTGCAGTTACACAACCTATTCTGCCCTTTCGTCCTCCGATGAGCTGGGCCGGTCCGCGCTGCTGCGAGAGGATGACGTGGGCCTGTCTTTGCAACAGAGAAGTACAGTAACATAATCTGTGGTTTTTGCTGATGAAATTGCGCATCACAAGACTAAGCCGTTACGCCGTATTAAAGATTTTCCTTTGGCTACAGTTTTTAGGGCTGTGATCAGCTTCGTCGATCGTAAAGCTTCCAGAGCCTGGTTTTTGCCGCATTGTTCGCACGGGTTTTAAACCATGGACTAAACCATGAGATTCTTTCTTGACTTGTTTCCACGTGATGCGTCGATTTCCCTAACACGGTAAACAAAAGAATTTTCGCGCGCCGGTCCCAAGCTTTACCCCGTAAGACTATTTGCGGAATCGATTCATGAGCGGAAACATGCTAGTTCTATCACAAAAAGAATTAATGCTGTAAATATAAACTACATAAATATTATTTATTACAAATACCGGTCAGTTTCACCAAGTACTGGTATTATAGCCAACAAACAGTGTACAACAAACGCTGAAGAAAACAAAAAAGCATTTATTTGTGCAATATTCATGAAACGAAGCACTCTAATTTTTTATATAGCACGCTGATCGTATTATTAAGGGTATGTTTTGCTAACTATCAAGTAAGCAGGAAATGTTTATTTAAATTATAATATACTGTATACATATTTCTTTACATATTCTGATTAATCCCATTCGTCCAAGGTTGCCGTTGGTGTGCGTAGGAAGCCGAAGTCGCTGCGACATACAAATGTAACTCTACATCCAATTTTACGCAGCCAAAGAACTGAGCAGGTCATTTTTACACCAGTTTGGCTATCCCTGCCATCTTTTTCTTCATGCAGACTACAGGCCCAGCGATCGATCGTTTATCGATTCGACTATATGGTATTCAAATACAAGGAGCGGCTCCTGCCTACGAAATCGGCTGAATGCTGGCCATATGACTAAGTAAGCTAAAGGTCATACTTCGCTGCAAGCGTAAACAAAAGCCCTTTTGAAAATATTACTGTTAAATGTCATGCAAATATCAGACAAAGTTCACTTTTTTTTCTATCGTGTACCACGCTCATAAGATGAATAAGCACCCAAAAGCGAACTAGTAACGCAGCACAGATACGTGTAACGAAAAATTTTGTATGTGAACTGTACGGGTGCAAAATTTCTCGAGGCGTTGTCTACAGTTGCTACGGTCTCTCTGGAAAATATTAAGCAACAAGGATGGCTTCAAATGAGCCGCGCATTTGAGGGATACGCTCCGCAAAGAACAGGTGGTGATAGACTTTAATGGATACGGCATCGTTGCTTCCATAAGTTATCGCGCAAATTAAAAGTTAGAGTAGACGATGGAGTCGTACAATAACACTACGAACTACCGGAACTTAACGCATCCACCATCGCCAGCATGGGCCCCCCTAACCAGCGCCCAGGTATCAATTTCTTGTCTATCAGTTCTCCTTAATGCGATAGTCCTGATAGTGCAGTTTTTACCACAAACTCACGTAACATCGTTTACAATTTACCTGATCTTCATCTCGGTCAGCAGTGTGCTGTGGCTGATCGCCACCCGGCCAATCCAGATTCTGTACGCGTTTACGGGATCCTGGCCAGGCGGTGATCCGGGATGTGTGGTGTTCATGTATTTCCAGTTTGTCGTCAGCCAAATTCCCGTACTGATTCATATCCTGATTTCTGTCAATCGTTTATGGGCGGTGAAATATCCCGTATCATACCGCGAACGCCATAATAAAAAGTTGGCGATACTCTTGTGTTTAGCCGTGGTAGCCTACGTCCACCTGGTGCATTTTTCCATCTACCTCTTGGAATTTTTCTATTACAATCCACCGGGAAAGACGGGAGGATGCCAGCCGTCGGGAGGCAGTCTGAATTGGCGGCGCGTGGATATTGTTCTGCATCGCATCATTCCTCTGTTCACGGTTATTACCATGTACGTCTACATTATGGTGCACCGATGGCGAAAGAAGGGTCAGGTTCAGAATCAAGAGAATAAAGCGTCCGGTCAGACGTCAAAAGGGCAAACAAGCCATGATACTGTTAAGCCGGAAAGAGGCGGAGCGGCGGGAAATCCTGGTCAGTCGGTTTACCAGCGCAAACGACAACAGGTCAAACCGTTTGTCGTGCTGACCGCAACGTCGATTGTTGTGTTCGTCTGCTGGGTGCCTCCGATTGTCTACTGGTCGATGGTCTATATGAATATTCCTGTGGCCAATTGGGCTATCAATGCCACGTCCATGTTTTATTCGTGCCAGATGATTTTTGATCCGTTGGTGTGGTTGTTCAGTTTGCGATGACAATTTTTCGGATAGCCATATACATTCTGGCCTTGTCTACTCGTTCAACTCATGTAGCCATTATTGCGCGCTCCATACAAAAAAATGTATTATTGAGTTCTTGACCAAGGCCGGATATCAGTCTACGCTTGTTAATTACGGAGAACAATTCCGTAGTCCATCTGCTGCCGAGTGCCAAGCGGGAAAATTAAACAAACGTTTCTTTATCATCACAGAATTGTATGCCGGAAAACTACATTCCTAACGCTATTGTTTGTCGATTTTTTTTACTCAACAGAAAAATGCTTTCCAGAACTGATGTTATTACAAGTAAACCGTATCGCCGTTGGCAGCTGCACAGATATAAGTGCCGCATATTACTTAGGTATATTTACTCATAAAACACTGTGTAATGCAAAATCGGTTAATTAAATCTGCCTCCAGCGCGGTGAATGTACGTCTTGTTGTTTCTTTTATCGACAGAAGCCAGCAGAACAAAAAAGATGGCCTTGATTTCATACTTCGTAAAAATTAATTATTGATACATGATTTAAGGACATGATGTAAAGAACGCACCGAAAGACAGAGCACCAAAGTTTTCAAGGACAGTAGGAAATACAATAACTCGCACAAGGAAATGAATTAACCGAACAACGCCCGAAGCTGCAGTTGCTTATAGCCAGAACGCACGTCGGAGAGCAGGGTGGTGCCGTACAGTCAAATTTGACTTGGGACACTTATAAACTAAACACTTATAAACTACACATTTATAAACTACACACTGGACCGGTGGACCCTAGGTATTTCCTACACTTAGATAAATAAATCTAACTGTACATCGAAAGACTGCGTAAATACATCAAAAATTATTCAGTAATTATACGCTCTTAAGAAAGGCAAAGTTTCCCACGGAGAATGCCAAGATTATGGTTTCTTAGACTTAAAGGAGAAGAAACGACTGGCGTGTAGCAGACTAGCAGTTCTTAGAGGAGCAACGTACTGTAGCCGCTAGATGAAGTGGCTTCACTGTTAGGTCCGACCGCTGCCTGCCTCTGGCCGGGCATTGAGCACGAGCCTTCCCCCCACCGAGAGGCGCACACTTTGCTTTTCGATAAACTGTTGCCTGCCCCTGCCAGGGGCACCCCAAAAACCACAACAAACCAGGTTTATAAATTGAAAACTGCCAGTGCTGTGACATTATGCTCTTACAATAATTATTGTACTTTGCTAGAAAATAATCAAACTCAGTAAAACATGTAGAACGTCAGCATCAGAGTCAAAATTGTTTGAAACCAAAAACAATTCTGCACGGAGCAATGTGTGTATATTGGGCTTGCATTTTCCCGTATACCAGACTCTGTGGAGCCGCTTCATCTAGCGGCTACAGTACATTAGTTCGTGAACAGTGTGCCGTAGTATGGAGTATGACGTAACCCGTGATTTGTGTCTGTGGCTGTATTGATGCGCTGGAAATAACGGGACAATCTTGTACAGAGGTTGTACGGCGCGTTTTATTTTCTATGGCAAGCTAGGCGACTTCTTGTATAGTCTGTATACGTATACCATTTAATCACTGCCACATCTCCACATTCGCAAGCCGAATCCATCAAATGTCGCTTACAGTTAGCCTAAGCAGTATCGTTAAAAAGGTGAATTATTGCGCTAATTGTCAGCAATCTAATTGCTTTCCACCCGGAAATTAGCGCGTATATTAGACATATGCAAAAAAAATTGTATTTTAGCATGATGAGTTCGCTCGTTTTTTATCGTTCAAATGCTAGTGCTCTAGTTATACTAGTACGTTTTTTTAATGGTTATTATTTTTTATTGTACGCATGAAGTTATTAATGTTGTTCTTCCAGTCCCAGATAACCTTTCTCCAGGAAAGAAAGAGCTCTTGCTCCGTTGCGTTGCGTGCGAACACTGAAGGGCAGATCATCGCAGCCCTTATTTCGTAATCGTAAACCGCACATACGATCGTAATTACTAATAACTTACTAGTATTCCAACACTACGTAGTTATTAGTATTACCAAGCAGATGTACCGAAATTAATTAAGGAATACTATTCCTTAATTTTGGTACATCTGCTTGCTTCCTGATAGCTGCTACCATTTCTTAATGATACAGTATTTATTTCATTGATAACAAAATCACAAGCCAAGCTGCCAAGAAGAACAACATCGGACACTAATCATTCCCGACCAGCCAGCCAATTTATAAGTCAAAAACAAAAGTCCTCGTTGTCTCTCATATCATTAAATGTTCCGAGGACAGACACTGCTAGCATTTCTCTTCTTTGTCATCTGTACTCTGTCGTATATTCTAACAACTGTAAAACATAGGCGTACTTACTAAGGAGGCATAAATACGAGTACATTAGCTTTGCAGAGTATTGTTAAACTCTGCTTGATGTTACAATACATTATTGGAATCTTTCAGATCCAAGGTTACCAACTGCCTGTACCAACTTGCTTTCGTCACCTATGGACAGAGAGAACTATTCGTGGAACCTCGCACGATTACATGCGTGCGCTGCTAATTCAACAATTGTACGGGTTGTGCACTTTATCCATATTAATTAATAGAAATGGGCGCAGGTACTCCATTATTCAAATTTGGGGTTTCGCTGCCGCATCCCTTCTTCCTGTAATAATCTCGGTCAAAGGCAGGCGCATCCCAAGCAGTTAAGCAGGAGCTGTAGCTACGGTATCTTCAATTTAGCACTGCCGCTAGAGCTCGTTATAAAACGTAAAATGACTAGTTAGAGCGGTTATAAAAAGACCAGAGATAAAGCCTTCCTTTCACGAATGACGTATCGGTAACACAATCCTGTATCCATCCACTCATCCAATCCTGTATCCATCCATCCCTTCCACTGAACTCTGCGTAGTGGTACCTGATTTATTCGTTTTTCCGATATAGTAATACCTTCTGCTGTAATTTGAAAAATGGAAGGAAATGGCTCCTTACAGATCGACACGAAATGGTCAAACAATTCGCTGGCAGCCCAGTTTCCCGTACGCTACCAATTTCCTGTTCTCCTCCAAATCTGGTATCATGGATCCAACATTGTCACATGCATTGGCTCGTTTATGTCGCTATTACTAATCGCCGCCAACGTTATCCAAAAACTTATCTACAAAGCTTCGCATATCCTCGTTGTCCACCTATTAATCGTAATTTTTGTAGTTAATGCCGGGATTCAGCCGGTATTCACCGTTGCCGGCTACTACGAAACGCTGCAGTTGTCACCGAATTCTTGTCGTGTTATGTACGGTCTCTACAGCACCTTTGGATCGGTGGCCTGTTGGGCGACATTCTTCCTCAGCATTAACCGGTTATCGGCTGTCACCTTTGTGCATTCCCAAAGAAAGTTCACCGGTCGACGCGCCGTCCTCATCAGCATTTTTGTCAGCTGGATCATCGGCATCAGAAGATAGATGTCTAATAGGCTGCGAACCTGGTTGAGCGGCATCCCCTCTGCTGCGAAACCTAATTATTAATAATAATTAATATTAATCTTATCAGTACACACACACACACACACCTGTCACGCTATGACTCACAGTGGGGAACAACCGGTTTGCACAAAACAACGGCTGACCGGTTGAGTCACCACACTGCCTCTGTGCACAACCACGCTGGCCGGCAACGCTGGCATTAGCCGGCAACACCGCTGGTCATTTATAGCCAGCAACACCACACAGGCACTGGTCAGTCTAAACACTGACAAGTGACCAGTGTAAACAATAAACTGGTCAATCGCCTGCCGCGCTAGCACAACACACACACTTACACACACGCTGCTTGTGCGTGTAATAATTGTACCTGTTTAAAATTTAAACAAGCTAACGGCTGGCTGCCTGAGCTGTATGGCGCGGTGGGTTTTATTGCCCGCCGATTTCTATAGTTCGGCTGGACATGAGTGACCATTGGCTCGTGCCCAAGTGACCTGAATTAACACACGCGGCATCACTTCACAAAATTCCGATACACTCATTACAGTAATTCCATTGTGCGATACGCTCATTATTATTATTATTCTTACAATCGTTTCACTTTAAGCCGTTATTTTCAAAAAAGCGTATACAATGGGGCGTAAGTGCAATAGCACCAAGCGTGTATTTTCCCAGTGTACTCAATGTAAAAGACGTGTTAGAGGAAGTATGTTCACACACTTCGAATCGAAATGTGAACTGTTTCGAGTTGCGTGTAAGAATGCCCGCGTGGACAAGAACACGAAGGAGCATTTTGTCGAGGGCCTCAGTTTACTGCGCCAACTTACGTATCCGGGAGCCGTTGTGACCAATCTCCAAGATACCGTTACCGATGCCATTGCCGGACTGAACAACATTCCTACAGCAAAAGTGTTGTATTGTCATAAGTACAATATTGCCCGTGACAACTTCTGGGTTAACGACTGGGATTTGCCATCTCTGGCACACAGCTTTGGATTGTCAACCGACAAGGAAGTAGTCTCGCTGCTCCTGGACTCGCCTGTATGTGTTATCCCGCTGAAAACTACTCAACCGCAGACGCATAAAGAATACGGACACCTATCCGTATTGATCGTCATCAATCGCGGTATGCGTAAAATCATTATTATCACTGTTACTATTATTATTTTATATATTAATACAGTATTATATCATTATCAGTTTTATTCTTCACGAAAAAATTATATACGTTGCATGAATTATATATTTTATATAAAAGTTAAATAATTTCAGGGGATGCTACGTACTTCTGCCACTTCTGCAGTAACGGCACACGCCTGTCGATTAATCCCGATTGGACCAACGTGTGCTACACGGCCATTCTCAACCTTATTGAGCGAGTGCGCCGATACACGACCAGCGTTGTGGACCTGCAATTGTACGAGAAGTGGAGAGCCGGATGGGCCCTCGATCGAGCCATTCTATGCTCCCTCAACAGTCTGAATCTGCAAATGGGGCATAACATGCTGAAAGGCTCGTGTTCTGTCTTTACACGATGGTACATTCATGAATTCCATAAAAT